CTCCCTGCGCCGCCCGCGCCCGCCGGCCCTGCGCCGCTGCTCCTGCACCAACCCCGCTCCCCGCAGCGCTTACAAATTTTCCTTCCTTCATCTGCTTCCTCCCTACCCCTCTCTGTACAGTGCTCCTACTACAGATTTCTCATTACCTTTTCCACGTAGTACATCACTTTTGTACCTACTGTTACAGCATTCAATATTATCATCTGGCTTATCTGATACATTCTGGTGGCATTGTGCCGCTGCTTAGTTGTTTGATTGCCAACACACTAATCACCACCTGAGAGTGAGCAACGTGCTCCAGTTCACATTAAACAAGAGAGCTAAGCTAAAGTGCGTAGAGGAAGGATCGTAGGTCGTAAAGGTCGTGAAGATACGAAGACGGTGACCACCGTTACCAGGGGCTTTGGTTGGGGGGCTTCAGTATAGCCAACGCCACCTGTGTGCGACGCTGAGAGTGAGCAAGGGTAGTATGGAGGGCGGTACTACTAGGTGGGTCTGGTAAGGCGTCAACATCGATGAACTCGGCTGTATGGACTGTGGTCGGAGTAGTGAGGGATGAATTAGGAGGCGTTGTTGGCGTGGGAGGCGTAGACGTAGAAGTAGATGCGTTGGAGATAGCTGTAGAAATTGTAGTCGACGTGGAAGGTACGGCTATCGAGGCGGATGGCACAGTGATGGATGGAACAGAAGAAGTGGTCGTGAGCAGAGTAGAAGAATATGGCATGTCTGGATCGTGGAAGAAAGCGCTAGGGACATCCCATTGAGCTATATGAATTTGTCAGATAGAATTGTTAGATGAGGATGTGTCACGCACAGTCGTTGTACTGCCACTCATCCATATGTACATCAGGCTGCATAGTGAAAGTGCCAGGATCATCAGGCGTTGGCATGTCAAGTGAGGAGCCAGGTTCTGTTCAGACGTCAGTTTTGATGGGATGGGACATATGCGGAAGGCGTACCATGTTCCCCGAGACCAATGGACGCTAAGCTACTGGTAGCCTCGTCGACGTGGCGCCGCACTATAAATCATTATCAGTGACATCTACATGAGTGCATCAAGATTGAAGGTGACATACATTGACGCTGTCCATGAGACTGAGCCGCCGGGGTTGATGCGCGAAAGCCAGATGATGGTGGAGGAAGGAAGAGAGGTGGGTTTGTCGGCACGTCTGGAATGGTGTCTGTATCACTTGCATCGGCGTCGGCGTCACTGTCGAGATCATCAAGAGCAGACTTTCCCTTGCCCTTGTCTATAGGGAGGAAGTCAGTGGGCCGGGTATATGGTTATAGGTCAAGTCGCACCAAGGAACCCTAGGCTTTGTCTCCATTGCTCATCAGGGGGCATAGTGTCCTCTTCATCGGAAGCGGAGGCCGTAGTGGACCATGGTGCGTAGGATTCCCAGTCATCGCGGTCACGGTTCTGAGGACACTTGAGGTTTTGCCATGCGATGAAGTGCTCGGCGCTGAAGTCGCCTTGTATGACTGTTCAACTCAGTCAGCAAGCAGAAAACACAAGCGCGTAATGCTGTTCTCACCAAAATAGCTTGTCTTGTTTTTCCAAGTTCCAGTTCCGTGCCGTTGCTCCAGAACCTCAGCACCACGTAGCCCTAGTTCAGACGGTAGTATGGAGATAGTAGTATTGTCCTTGAAAGCAAGGCGGATTTCCGTCAGGCTGTGATAGAAGAGGTCGATGTACGAGAAGAGCGTTGGATTGGCAAGTCGGAGAGTATGGTTGACGTCGTCATAGTTGTCCAACACGGAGAAGGTAGCCACTGGGAAGGTGGCATTGCGTACAGCGAGTTTAGTGCTTACGGCCTGCATGATCTGGGTCTTTGTCGGAGCCTTGCGCAGGTCGTCCGGCAGACTATCACGCTACATGTGTGTTAGACCTTTACATCAATGGGAGATACCCGTAATACACATACCTGACCACCATCTCCTATAGGCATTAGAATGAAATATATAGTGCTGACGCCCGAGAGATTGTCTTCATCTGCCGGACGACCTCGACGGCTACTACTACGGGACTAAATGAACAAAGCAAGTTAAGGTAAGCCAGAGATGTTTCACAGAACTGTCATAGTACAACGCACCTTGAACTGTGTCGCCTCTTTGCCACCTGCTGAGGGCTTGCGCACGCTGTCACTCCCGGGCTTTCCAGAGGACGATCCACGAGAGCGCTTTGATGGTCCAGATGAAGGAGATGTCGGGAACGGTCGGGGGCGTTTGGTGCTTGGCCGCGTTGATGGAGAGGACGCTCGTGGACGCTTTGGAACACCTGAGGACGTGGACGCCTTGCGTTGCGTATAGCCCGGACCGGAATGGAGTCCTTCGATTGCTTCCCGGGTTGCGGAGGCATGAGATGGAGGCTGCGAGATCGCGTCAAGCTGAGAGTCGATGCCGTCAAGCAGAGAAAGTACGTGGGAACTGCTAGTCCGTTGATTCTGGGTCCGGTCTATTGGTTGTCTGTCAGTTCACCATAGAACTACATGCACCCTACCTAACTGGGTGAACGTACCTCGCTTCTTGCGACTATCTTCATGTAGGGTGTGTGCCGTCTTTGAGGGTGGCGCCGAGTGATCAAAAGCAAAGTGTGCCGAGGCAGAATCCCCACAGGTACGACACTTGCGGGCAGCGTCGCCACTCATACCAGTGGGAAGGAAACTGGTACAAGCCATGGAGCAAATCCGTGGAGGAAAGAAGGGGCGCTCAAGGTTCTCATACACAGACGGTGAGGCTTAAGTACCAGAGGTATAGTAACGTGGTCACAAATTGCCACATGTAGGGGCAGCACGTCGGATAGATCAATTGAGATGCAATTGGATACAACTAGATCACTATGGCTAGTTCATGGTCTAAAGCATACAATGCCCGCACCCACTGCACAGCTCGCGGATGCCAAACCTCAAAAGGTAGAGCTATCATCTGAGTACGCGTCTGGGATCGACCTAGCGGAATCTCCTGTGCAGATGGGTAAACCTCCTCCTCAAACTCTTCATCATGCAAGTTGTGACCTTCAGGTACGACCTCTGCAGCGTTCAATGCATTAACCTTGGCCCAAAAGCGCTCTTCGCGTGCAAGATCGCCAATGAATGGGTTTGCATGTCGTGGGACTCGGATGGGACTGTGCCGGATGTTTCCTCGCATGTCCCGTGCAATATCGTGAGCCCGACGATCATTCCACCCCTCCGCACCAACCTCTGTAGCTATGTCCGAGCCAACATCATCCCATGCACCCTCAGACAGCATGTCACTGTCTGACAGAATACTCTCCGGATCATCATCTGAAAGAACAGAGTATGATGTCTGTGATGGAGAGACCTGACCGTCAGGAAGCGGCTCCTCGGCACCATATTCAGTCTGAAGCTCATGTTCATTTACGTTCGCGGTTGTCAGGGGGTCTCCGCGTAGGTTGGTATGAGCAGGCTTGCCATCATAGACACCCTGCTCCATGGATGCTGTAAACCAGAGATCCTGTATGCTCTATTACCGCTGTCCAATCAATTATTGGTCTGTGATGGTGCGTACATTGGGTGTTTGGTTCTTCTCTGTTGAGACCGGATGGTCATTCCAGTCGCGTTTGAACTGCGCGCAATCCGCATCAATGTCCTCGAGGAAGAGCTGCTGCAGGAGCCAGAGATGTGCGGTGTTCTTGGCATCAAGCCCATGAAGATGCTCGAGGCGCAAGAAGAATGCACGCCAAGCCCGAACGAACTGCCCGCCAACGTCACCCCACAAGCGTTCAATACGGACGTTGCGTGTTGATCTGGGATGATTCTGAATAGATAGATGTCTCTCCATCAGACTGCACTCACGTTCCCCATAAGAAACTGCCACGATTTGTACCGCGAGCCTTGATCATAGCGATAGCTACGTCCCGGTTTTCGCCCCCTCGATCACCCCTGACACGGGATGGTAGTCCATACTCTCGCACAGCATCTAAGAATACTCCCAAGACAACAGGTGCTGAGTTGTTATTGCTGGCACGTAAGCCGGTCACCTACATGACAGGCTATGATCGTGATAGCCGAAAACATGCAAGATGGACGCACGGTGCGTGTATAGCCATCAATGAAGCCATGGATCACTATGCCCCACCGAATGAGTTTATGATGCCCGTCGCCGTGCCAAAGGTGATTGGGACCCGGCACGCTGTAGCCACCACGCTTGATTGTAGACTGCCGACGCAGTACTTGCCCAAGTCCATCTACACGTTGAAGTGATCTGCGCAGCCGGCGCTTCTGTACGCGATGGCCATGCCGGCGCAAGTACGCATCAGTGAAGCTGCGCCCCGAATTTGGCTTGGAGAGTTTGTACAAACGGACCATGGTATCAAGATCGTCGTCTGTGATCGTCGAGTAACGTGGTGCGATGCCTGCCTCTCTTCTTCTCCGCAGATATGTTGACGTGCTCAACTTCAGAGCTGCAACAACGCGCTGATGAGTGATCTTCCGGTTGGGTGCATTGGCCTCGCGTAGGAAGTTCAAGTCAATTTCCATCCTGGGGCGGCCGCGCGTTGGCTTCCGTACAAGCTTAACCGGGTCAACGCGTGTCACATTCTCTGACCCTCTATTTCACACTGTGAGATCAGATCTGAACAAGCAGTCGACAATTACGCACTCAGAAGCGCGCTTTTGTTCACCAGCCAACCGCAGCTGGACTATAGCCCCTCCCAAGAGTTCGACGCAGTGTTGCGTCCATTCCTCATCGCCGACCTCCTCTGACAGAGAAGCCATCAACATGAAGGTATCCTCACGTAGGCGATATGAAAGCATGCGGAGTTGTAGAGCAGAGCAATCGTCTTGGCGGAGAAGCCTTACTGCGAGGCTGTACGACTTGTGGATCAGATCGTATGCGCGCAGTACATTGTTTGACCATAAGTCTGCATCAGGAAGATCAGGAAAGGCAGCCAGCTCTATCGTGCGGTACTCGAGAGGTGCATCCATGGCCGTTACAGTCAGAGAAACGATCATCGATAACAGTAGGGCAGCCATCAAGAACGTTGGTTCAGCAATGTTTCTAGAAGCTAAAGGCGGAAACATTTTTTATATCATTATCTGGCTATATAAGTGGCGACTTGAACAGAGGCGCCTTTCAGCTTCTCACTCCCTGTGTTCATTGCTTCTCATGAGTCTGAACTCTCTGTCGGTTATTCAGGATGGAGGTGTCACTCTCAATGTTGTCCGCCGGAGTGATGAGCGCTACTTCTGCGTATAATTCAGTCCACTCTGCCATCACTATTCACGACTGACTGACAGTGTACTTAGACCTCTGACGGGTTTGTCTTCGGACTTCCGGCCACGTACTTAGCCGAACGTGTTCCGCTTCTCGCTACCATGTTCTCGTTACCTCAAGGGTCCTCATCGGGCTCCCAAGAGGGTACAACTGAGACCAATACCATTGCCTTACCAATGCTCACGCGCGAGCACGTCCTCGTCGTTGAGATCTTTCTCTTCCGGAAGTAAGTTCATTGCTTATTCTCAGTATAGCCTGTTACTCATCAAGCAACAGCCGGAACCTCTACCTTCTGGGCAACTTCGAACGTCTGAAGCTTCTTCTGCATGTCGCCGACGCCTGGGATTTTGATGAGGCGCGCGACTATGTGCGTGTACAGCTTCCTCGTTGCGCTCAGTGGAGCACCGTCATCCAGCTCACACTGGCACTTCGGTACCATGAGGATGTTTGGTTCCGCGTCGCGTTTGAGATGCTGGTATGGCAAAAGGCGTCAGATCTCTTAGTGAACGAGCGCGAGATGTTGGGACATGCTATGCTCCGCATTCTGGACACAGCACGTGAAAGCATCGACGATCACCGCAAGATTCTAGCCTGTTCACGGCTCCCGTATATGCCAGGACCTGAGTGCAGCAAGCCGGCAGGCCAGTGCGAGGCTGTTCTGGCGCAAGCATGGTCAGACGTTGGGCCGAATATGCTCTGCAGTCCTGTTGGAGCTATACGTGGCAGGGATATTGTGGAAAAGCTGGATCAGATACTCACGAGTCTCACGGAGATATGTGGTGGTTGTCAGGTGCATTCCTTAGACTACATCCGGATGCGCCGGCAGTTCATTCGGGAAGATGAGATTCTGGAAGATTGTGTGACGGAGGCTTGGAAGCTTTAACTTACGCTGGTACATTTACCTTTACGCCATGTCTCAATGACTGAATGAACTGCTTTACTTGACGTCTGTCATTTGTTCCCGCAGGAGCATCAATCTATTGCCTCAGTTCAACGACAGTTATCACTCTTGCGACACACAGGATCTCGCAGACTCTACACAAACATCTCAATCAGACTCCTCATCATCCTCGTATCCCTCTTCATCTTCCGTCAATCCCTCCTCGAGCATCCGTTTGCGCGCATGAACCGACCGGTGCAGTAGCGTATGATCCGCGTCATCAGAGTCTGACCCTGAAGTCCAGTCCGTAGCCCCGTCATTGCAGCAGTACGAGCCAGTTGGATGGCTATATTCCTGAGTGATATGTCAAACGTCATATTTTTTGGTATTTGATTGACTTAAATACCTTCCAGGGATCTGCCTGGCGCAGCCGCTCAACATAGGCTGAAGCATCCCGCTTCAAACGCCCCCAGCGCAAGACATTCTCTCGTGCAGTGCTGAGACTGCGAGACGCCTTTGCAAATCCAACCCTCAGAGTAAACGACCGGTGAGCGGGTGTCCCAACTGAGTGGCGGGTTGACCGCCGAGTAGGCACTGCAGTGGCACTCCTAGTAGCTCCCACACGACGTTTGAGCTTATCGAAAGCCTTTTGAGCTCGCTGTTGATGCGAGATAGCATCCTGGAGCTCGCGTGAACAGCGAGCGCGATAATTCTGGGCGCGAAGGATGCGCGCAGGTTGGTAGCGCTCGTGGACTTCAAGCACATCCTCAGCGGTAATGTTCGTGAGGAACGGGCCATGCCGCATGATATCGTAGCGCCACATTGTAGACAGACCAAAGCAGAATAGCTGAGTGTGCAGAAGTCGCTGGTGAGGCCAAGATGGCTGTCAAAGGAGAGTGCGCTTGGCAGGCGCGTTTAGTCATCACATGATTCTGTTGAATGTAACAGGTGGTCACGTCGCGAACAAAACCCTCAGCGAGAAAGTCGCGACACCTCAGCCACATACCACTACCTGCCAGTTGACCTACGGAGACTGGGGAGCCTAGTCTGACTAGCGCTCCATGGGTAGCTGGCGGCTATTTTTTTCTATAACAATTTGATTCAAAACCTTCTCGTAATTGCCCTCAGTGCGCACAGCAAGAAATCCACCCTGCCAGGTATGTACCAGACCGTATGAGTGCATACAGAACCACTCTTACTACGTTGGCATGCACAGTCGTACTTGTGCCACAGTAAACGAACGGAAATGTGCGCGCAGCCACATCGCCAGCCCATCGAACTCCGAAAACGCGCCGTATACGGGCACGGCACCCTGGCGTCTTCTGCTACATCGGCTACCCATCCTCCAGCACGAGCGCCGAACCCGCCCTCTAACAACGACCCGACGACTTCCCCAATGACTGCCTTCGCGAGACGCGCCACCGCCGCAGCACGTGGCGCGCGAGTCCGCTCGTCGCGCGCGTGCATCCGCGTTTTGTCTTCGCCCGCCACCACTCTCCAGTCCCGCTCTCCCGCCCGCGCCGCCTTCGGCTTCAACATACGCCCGGTGGGCGCTCGTGCGGCCTTCGTCCACCCCAACGCGCCCCTCCCCTCGCGTCCGGTTCCGCCCGGGCCCTCGCACGCAGCATGCCTGCGCCACAGGCCGACCCCGCGCGCCACCCGCACCCTGCGCGCCACCCGCACCCCGCACGGCACCCCTCCTTTTGCGTCCGGTTTCGCCCGGGCCCTCGCACGCCGTGTGCCTGCGTCACAGGCCGACCCCGCGCGCCACCCACACCCCGCGCGGCACCCCTCCCCTCCCCTCGCGTCCGGTTCCGCCCGGGCCCTCGCATGCAGCGTATCTGCGCCACCCGCACCCTGCACGGCACCCCTCCTTTTGCGTCCGGTTTCGCCCGGCCCCTCGCACGCCGTGTGCCTGCGTCACAGGCCGACCCCGCGCGCCACCCGCACCCCGCGCACCACCCGCACCCCGCGCGCCACCCGCGCCGCGCTCCCTACCCAGCCCAAGCCGCCGCCGCCGCCGCGGCGCAGGGACCAGACGCAGGAGACGGCGAAGAGGAGGGAAAGGGGGAAGGGCCCGCCGGTCGCGCGGGGGCGAGAACGTCGCGGAGACGGGGAAGAGGACCGCGTTTTGTGTGCGGTTGTCGTCGCGGTCCCGGGCGCAGCGGAACGGGAACGAGAACGGACACGCGCAGGACGAGTCGTATGACTATGCGGCTGAAGAGCGCGAGGTTCAGGCTCGCCGCGTCCGACTCCCGTCGACGCGAAAGCGTACAAGCCCACAGAATCGGACTTGGAGTCCGAGTCTGAGGAGGACAGCGATTCGGGCAAGCCGAGGAGGAGGAAAAAGAAAAAGGGGGAGACCGGCGGTTTGTTGACCGGATTGCCGACTGTGGGGTATGGAGGGAAGAGAAGGAAGAGGAAGAGTATGGGCGGAAAGGAGGACAGTCTGGCTACGCTCGCTGAGGAGGATGACGGAGAGATCGTCGAGAAGATTGGCGAAACGGTGAGCGTTCTATTATTCGGCCAACATACATATTCTGATATCGTCTACAGCTGGACATGCAACGAGCAGGCTCGGTCCAAGCTCCCCCGCTCATCATCCGCCCCGCCCCGCGTCCCGGCCACCGTCTCTCCCACCCGCGCCGCCACAACCACAACCGCTCGAATCGTCCCTCGACTCTATAGACGAGAGTCAACCGCCTCTGATATCCGACGACTCGTTCAACACCCACCAACGTGGCCCCTCTCTTCCCCGCCGTGTACCCAAGAACCCGAAACCGAAACGAAGCGCGCGTTCGCTCGGCGCTCTCACAAGCCGCGCAGTGAACGTCGTCCTGCGCCTCATCCTCTTCGCTCTATCCGAATCTCTCCGCGCACTCGGTCGAGCACTCGGAACAGTATTCGACGCCACAATCCGTAAACCGGCCAAACTCCTCGTCTCGACGAACTTCACGCTGTTCATCCAGATCGCGAGCGTAGCGCTCATCGATACCTGTTCTACACCGGCCTGCGCTCAGTCAACCTCGGGCACCTCTTCTCGCCCTCGACCCCCCGCACCTGTGTACACCCCACCCGACGTTCCGGCCGCATCTATCGCCGAACTCGGTGCGCGGCTCCAGGCGCTTGAGAACGCGCTGGGCAAGCTCAGCCTCGAGGCGGCCCATGAACGCGCGAGGTTAGACGCGCATCCGGATGTCTCTACCAAACTCGAGAGCTTGAGGAAAGAGCTTAGTCGGCAGACGGAGATCGGGCGGCCGAACGCGCTCAAGCGAGCCAGGTCGTGCAGAGCGTTCGGAAAGAGGTCGAGGGGTTGAGGAGGGACGTCGACGTCAAAGGACAGGAGTGGAGTAAGGAGCGGGACGGGAGGAGTAAGGAGGAGTTGGATAGGCTGGAGAAGGCTCGGAAGGCGGAGGCCGGAGGCCGAGCGGGTCAAGGCGCTCGAGGAGCGGCTGGGAGGTGTGGAGGGCGGGTTGAAGGAGGCGCTCGAGGTCGTGAGGAAGCCGGTCGTGCTGGTCAACGACAAGTCGCATGTGCCGGCTTGGTGGACCAAGCTCTCTACCTCTTCGGCCAAGCCGCTTAGCATCAAGGGCAACAACGGCGAGGACGTCACGGTCCTCATCGGCGTGCTTGTGGACGAAGTTGTGTTGCGAACACAGGAGGATGGACTCGCGAGAGCGGACTTAGCCCTCCATTCCGGCGGCGCGCGTGTCATACCCAGTCTAACAAGTCCAACACTAGACGGCCCCCCCCCCGCATGGTCCTCGCGAGGCCCTACACGGTCTCCTCACAGGCTCCGGGGCGCCCGTCGGCCGCCCACCCGTCTACATACTCCACCACGACACCTCCGCAGGCATGTGCAGGCCCTTCGGCGGGCTCCCAAGGAATGCTCGATATCGCTCTCGCTCGCACAGTTGCAGGACGACGATGCCGAAGAGTCCTACCTACCCCGCCGAGCTCCCCAAAAGTGCGAAGTACGGCCGCATTGCGTCATTCGAGTATGATGCGAAGCAGGGGAGGCTCGTGCAGACGTTCGACATTGATGAGGGTGTTAAGGTGCTGGGTGTGGATTTTCGGGTGGTCGTGCTAAAGGTGTCTGTATAGATTAAGGGTGCATGGGAGGTGCTACCCATTGTATGTCATGTATGCATTGCAAAAGTGTATGCCGATACGCTATGTAATCACGCCGTCTGTCCTTCTCGTGCTCGTGAGATGCGACCTTGCCAGTACGCGTGTCGGGTGCGAGTAGCCTGCTGTACCTCAGCATAGTGGGTCGCTCGGGCAACATCCCTCCGGCGGTTTGTGACATGCACGCCAACTGAACCAGGAGTATTATCCCGGTCTGGCAGTAAGCCGGCAAGTATCCCAGCTCCTCCTCGAAGACGTAGAGTGCGTCGGACAGCTTGCCGTTCGATCTTGACCAGCTCACGAAGACGGTCAATGGTGGACTGAGCAGGCATGATGGTACCATGCATCTCGTTGCTGTGGAACCACCTATATGACGTCAGTACATGTACGAACCCACTAGATAAGACATACTCACCACACACTGTTAGGCCTAGTAACAAAATATCTTCCCCAGTGTGTCAACGCGAAGTTGAAGTCCGTCTCGGGATTGCCTCCAGCCGCCGCCAAATCCTTCGAGATCTGAGAGCACAAAGACCAACCTTTGTCTTTATCCTTGTGCTGTGGGGAAACATAGTTTGTGCAGTAGTATGCACTCGCACCGTTGAAGCCCATGCTCTTGTCTCCACCCTTGACATCCGAGACATGCTGGATATCGCGCGCGACTTCCGGAGCGTATTTCTGAACGGTAATGAACATCTCCTCGACGTCCTGTCAAATAGATCAACTTGGGACTGCTACTGTGACTGATGTATCTCACCTGGGTATGTGCGAACATCATCTCGACGTCATGGTTGCCGCCATCCATCTCGCTCTTCTCCGCGTTGCTTCTGAGCATGCCTTGAGGCCCCTTAGCACCTTCTCCCCTGGCGCCTCCGCTAGCTTTACGGAAGCCCGAGCCCACCATATCACCGACTGCGAAAGGCGCGAAATTGCTGCCGCGTTGTAGACCAGGGTGAAGAGAGACTAAAGCATGATGCTTGAGTGCCTCTCGGAGCGCGACGACCTGGTAAGCCTTGTAGATGATCCCGGCAACCTATAGACGTCAAATCTGATAACTCGCAGGTAGTGATAGGACTCACAATCTTCTCTGTGCCTTCCTCAACCAGGATATGAACGTCGCGGTGATATTTCTCTAGGATGTCTACACGCTGATCAATCTTGATAAGCCCAAATTTGACCGGGTCGTATATGGTAGGCGTAAACGTATTAGTGGGGGTATTGGCGGCCGTCGATGCAGGCGGTTTTGGGCGCTAAGATGATATCTGAGTCTCTCAAAGGCCAAATCAACTCAAATCGCATACCTTAGGTTGTAGCTGTGCCTCTGGGGGATGAACACTGAAGCCATTACGTTCCACCAACTCTAACCGGCCATCTGCCATCTTTGTCACAGGATGGATCTTCACCTCCGGCATTGACTTCAGCTTTGATATGGTCAATTCTACCCAAAAGAAAGGTGTACTTGAGCAGATGACTTACATCTTTCAAGGTAACCTTGCCCTTCTTCACGTAGGTGCTGCGGCGCTTTCGAAGCTCGCGCGACAGACGCAGCGTGAGTTCCAGACGAGGTGCCAAACCAAGCTCCACATCCTTCTTATCCAGCTGCATCAGTTGATTGTACGTGTCTACAACCTGCTCATCCGGGATCTGTAGCCCTTGTTAGTCTGGCGGCCGAAGTTTTCATTGAGAATACTCACATAGAGACCATATTCACGAAGAACCGCCCGCATCCATTCCTCGTAGTTCCGCAGGAAGTTTGCCAGGTCAAGAAGGAAGTAGGTGAATTGCATGTTGAATCGTGACGGCAGTGCTTCTGGATGATCAGACAAGAAGACATATAAAGCCTCACCCCAGGTCAACTCCCTATACGTCTTGTAGGGGCTGGGCTTGAACGCCAAGGGTCTTGTAGTCGTGTTCTTTGCCGCCTTTGCCGCTTTCTTCTCAGCCTCGCGCCGCTTCGCTTGTTGCCTGAATGAATGCTCCCGGTTCAACCTCTTGTTCTTTACCTATACATATAAGTGAGTAGTATATTATGATAGAGGTAGACAAGAAATACTCGAAGATAGCCAACTTTGGCTGTGGAATCTGACGCGTTCTTGGGATCATTGTAGTGTTCCAGAAGCGTTTTGCCAGTGTTAGGCGGAGCAGCCAGTGGGGATAGTCCCGCCGCGCTTTTCGGAGTCCACTCCTGCCAAATTGCCTTGAATTGCTCCCTCCACTGGTGAACGCACGAGGCGCGCATGAGCTCGATGCGCATAGCCACACCCAACTTCTTCACATCAAGTCCCCACACAGCAAAAAAGTCGTCGCTATCGAGCTTCTGCATCAACTCAGCGAGACCACTCGCCTAAATGTGATTGATAAGTAACAGTTCATGCGCTGTCAAATATGACCACTGACCACTAGTGCGTCTCGCCACTCTTCAGACCGTGCGACGTCAGATGGTGGAGCTATCTTCATCGCAACCAACACATCTACAGCGGCAGCCTTGAGGCATGCCGACTATTGGTATGTGAGACCTATGACATACACAGACAACTCATGAAGGACGGTACCTGTTTTTGCGTAGTCTCAGGTTGTATGGCTTGCGTGAAGTAGTCCCGCAGGATGCGGCACCAGTGACGGCAGACACGGAGCAGGAAACCAGGAACCGACTTAAACGCGTCAAGGAAAGATTTTGTAGTCTTCTTGTTGAGCTCAAACGTGTCCAGAGCATCAGGTCGGGTCCAGTCATACGAAAACTGGGCGTCACCAGCATCAGGGCTGTCATGAGGGATTTCGGGCTCCAGAAGTTCTCCTGTGTCGTTGTCGTCGGTACTAGCCTGCATGCCAACCTTCGAAAGCCAGATGGCACTGTACTTGTCCTGTCCAGCCACAATGAGTAAATTAACACTGAGTCTGTAGGGTGATACACACCTTGAGAGCCTCTCTTTCCTCATACAAATACTGCCTCACAGCAATGTTGAGCTCAGCTGGTACCTCGAGCAGAGTCTCTGAGGAGGCCACAGCGGACATGCGTAGAGCATGCACGAACAGGCGTGCCCCATCCTCGAACTCTGTGCGCATCTTCAGCAGTTCGCGTGTCCACCTCCAGATGCGCATTTGCTGGAGAGATGCATCAGCATGAGAGGATAGATGTGACACTGTCACTCACCCATTCGTCGGGATGCGTAAGGATGGCTGTTAGCAAAGCTTTCTCCAGTTTATCGTACGAACGAGAGTCAATCTTGCCCCTCGTGCGCTCGGAACGCCGAAGGGTGGTAGACCTTATAGTACGGATAGCATCCAAGAACGCCGTGATGTCCTCAGACCTCGCCAACTCCCATAGTATAGCATCGAACGTCGGTATGTAGTCCAGAGGTGTCTTTCCTTTCTTTTCTTTATCCTCGAGATCTTCCTCATCCTCGAGATCTTCCAAGAAGACCGAAGCCAGAAACGTGTGGGAAATTCGCTCTTGTCTGGAGCCAGTACCGTAGTCAGACATGGTAGGCAGCGATGGTGGTGGCTGATCAGAGTAAACACGAGACATCAGTCGCGATGCCCGAGTCGCACGAGAATTTCATTATGTCAGCAATGCAAAGGGTTCTATTAAATGCTGTGATAGTAGATACAGGGTTCAGAGTAATGTAGTACATGGAAAAGGTAATGAGAAATCTGTAGGAGGAGCACTGTACAGAGAGGGGTAGGGAGGAAGACGAAGGGGGGGAATATGCAAGCACTGAGGGGGAGCAGGGTTGGTGCAGGAGCAGCGGCGCAGGGCCGGCGGGCGCGGGCGGCGCAGGGAGCGTTCGAATGGTGGGCGCGGGTGGCGCGGCGGCCGACGCGGTCGGTGCAGGTGGCGACGAGCTGCCCGCGCAAAGGGCGGTCGGCCGACGACGGGTGCGGGCAGCGGCACAACAAGCCGCATGGCCGCCCGGACGCTGTTGCCCGCCAGCGGGAGCGGATGGCATAAAGGCCACTCGATGGCGGGTGCGGCGCCGACACAGCCGACGCGGGCGCAGGCGCAGGCGCAGGCGCGCTGCCAGCGCGAAGGGTGGGGGCCGATGGCGGGCGCGGGTAAGCGGCGCGGACTGCGAGCAAGGCGGCGGGCGCGGGAGGCAGGCGCGAAGGCGAGTCGATATTGCGAATGAAGGTGGAGGGAGGAGGGAAATAAATAAATTGAATGGGAGTGCGCGTACGCAAAGGAAATGGGAGTGCGCGGGCTAAATGAAAGTGGGACGATAAAGGGAAATGCGAGGCGCGAAAATGAAGGCCGGAGGCGGGCTCGAACGAAATCGACGCGCGTTAAAAAAAACCCCCATTTTTGACGCGTTTGGACCGCCATACGCGGTCACGAGTTTCTCTTCCATACACGTTTCAGACTCCAAGATATTACTGTCGCCGATAACGCACCGTTGGGCGATGTCAACTACATATGGGCTATGGTTACTGTCGCAACCGGAGGCAACCTCGCCTTGAAACCCAGCAGCCTGTCTTGGCATTAGTAGACTAGGGCTACGTGTGCAACAGAATAGACCCAATCCAGTAGCGCACGAACGTTGGTCTATACTACCATAGACAACAGATACCTCGATCAGTATACGAGAGCCCCCTCTCCAGCGAGTCACAAACACGATGTCCCGACGAGATACAGCCGTGATCACACGAAGCGGAGAAGCGACTTCAGTCGGACCATCATGAAACCTAGTTCAGTAACAAAGATCCTGCGCAAAGATCTTGACGAGTAGGGAGGCTCGGACTGCGGTCACGCAAGTGAGATGCTAGATGTGCAAAGCATGATTGCAAAGCGAGGGAAGGGCTACAACATAGTAGAGATACACGTTTAGTCGAACAGACCGAAGCCCATGTCGTCGTCGGACTCCTCCTACAAAAGCCCATCAGCACTCCCATCAACAAACGCCCACAACGGTATAGACATACCTTCTCCTCCTCCTTCTTCTCCTCCTCCTTGGGCGCGTCAGCAGCAGCAGCGCCACCAGCAGCAGCGGCACCACCGGACGACGCAACGGCGCCACCAGCGGGGACGGAAGCGAGCTTGCCGGCACCCTCGTTGATGAGAGCGGCGACGTCCTTGCCCTCGAGCTCGGAGATGAGGGACGAGAGACGGTCGTCGTCAGCCTCGATGCCGACGGCAGAGAGGACCTTCTTTACGTCGTCGGCCGAAGGGGAGGCGTTACCACCGACCTGGAGGAGGAGGTATGCAGCGAGATGGCGCATCTAAACGTGCGGATATTAGAATCGCGCGTGTGAGCGTATTTCTGCCGAGGACAAGTCATACTTTTCAAGTTGTATTGGTGGGTAAGGGGGTAGCCACAAATCACTGTGCAGAGTGGTCAGAACGGCACGGACGACACGGAGGACGACGGAGACGTACATTTAATCCCTAAGGAGGACCTGTGGATTCTACTCTGAAGTAGCGTTGGAGAGAAGAGGAAAAGTCCGTAGCGCGCGTTGGCGTCGGTGCGCGCGACCGGCAATCGCCGAGCGAGAAATGGGCGTGCGAACTGCAAAGGGCAAGCCCCGAGCGCGCACGTGAGACCTCTCGCTTACGTGATCCTCGCGCGGCGATCGACCGCGGCAGTTTGAGCTCGTCGCCGCCTACGACCTCCTCAAGACCCACCATGGTGCGTCCCTCGTCATTTTTGTCTGGGGAAATGCTGATTTTATGATTGATAGGCTGACGCCTCTGTTACGGACCCCGCGGTTGCGGCCGAGCTCAAGAAGAAGCGCACCTTCCGCACTTTCTCCTACCGCGGCATTGAGCTCGACAAGCTCCTTGACCTCTCGACTGAGGAGTTCATCGATGTGCGTCTCATTCCAATATCTTTTGGAATAATATCCTAATGAATATATTCAGGTCGTCCACGCCCGTGCACGCCGTCGGTTCCAGCGCGGAATGAAGCGCAAGCCTTTGGGTCTGATCAAGAAGCTGCGCAAGGCTAAGAAGGAGGCCCCGCCGAACGAGAAGCCGGCCGTCGTCAAGACGCACCTCCGCGACATGATCATCGTCCCCGAGATGATCGGCTCGGTCGTCGGCATCTACAACGGCAAGGTCTTCAACTCCGTCGAGATCAAGCCCGAGATGGTCGGCCACTACCTCGCCGAGTTCTCCATCTCCTACCGCCCCGTCAAGCACGGTCGCCCTGGTATCGGTGCCACGCACTCGTCCCGTTTGTGAGTGTTATACGATACGCGAGGGTACGACTGGAGACTGATAGAGATTACAGCATTCCTCTCAAGTAAACGATGGCCCGGGTCGTTCGCTTGTTGTGTTACTACATTTTCCCATGCATGTTGTTCCTTCTCTCGCCCACGCACCACAAAATGTATGCTCCATGATTATGGGCTCTGCCGCGCAAACAATGCTCGCTTTCTCGGAGGAAGGAATAAGTGTCTCAACTCACAGAGAGCCGCCTTAGGGTGTGTTCAGGACCCGCGCGGAGGATGCATATAGTACACCACGAGGCCCATGAGCATTCATGGAAACGATGAGCGCTGCAGGATCTGTATCTGGCGTTGGGAAGCTGAGAAAGTCAACGTCAAGCATGACATGCTCGCAAGAGCCAGCCTTTGCTCCGCGATAGACTCGAACCCAGTCACAGCGTAGGTGAAGACAACCGTTCATCTGGAGGTGACTGGCCCGCGAGTCTACTTCCACGACATGGTGCACGGTTTGGTCACTGTGGACTCAACAGCGAGCCATAAGTCTATGTCCGTGTGAAAATGCTTACCAACGAAACAGGCCCCGAAGGGCCCAATCGGATTCGCAGGTCGCCTTGTACCGTAGCCGCTAAACGCGCAGCATTGTTGGTAGCGTCTCACGCTACCTCACGTAGAAGGCGGCTGTATGACGCACTCAGTCGCCTCGTACATCTATGTCAACAAGTTTCAACGTTACGACCTATCTAAATCTGGATGCTCGCATATCGATAGCTAGTCTCTTCTGCCGAAGTGATAAGCGAGAGCGCGCGACAGATGTTCACGATGATGTTCGCAACTCAATCGCAACTAGATCAGCTCAGGATCCGGCTGTGCATTGGTGTCGTTCATTAAACTACAGTAGCTCGGCGTTCCAACGTAGACAGACGTTGAATCTATATCTCCCAGCTCTACCTTCTCGCTGCCATATGAGGCGAGCTGCTGGGGCACAGCGTGCGCGGTAAAGACGCGCGTGAGTACGAAGGACCTACACTTGCTTCCTACCACCATGTCGAAGCCGTCTCAATCGGCCGCCTATTGAAATGATATGCAAGTGAAAGCAGTCTGCTGAGGAGCCTGTATGCTAATACACTAGCGCAGAGCTATCATGATAGACTTACACGACGACGTGCTCAAATGCCTATTCGACTGGTTAGCTCTCATCGACGTACCCGGACCAACACTCAGGTTCAGCGAAGCATCCGACTCCGAGTACCACACGCTACCCTTCACATCGGAACCTTTGTCATTCCCTCAGACCCGACTAGGCTGGATTACAGCCTCGCACGTCTGCCGGCGATGGCGGGCTCTACTCCTGAACATGCCATTGCTTTGGGCTCAGATAGCCGGCGGAGTCTTTCCGTCTCGAGAGATATGCGAGACCATCATCGAGCGCGCTGGTGATCGCCCGTTACACTTTTCACAGTGGCGCGAGTACAGAGGAGAGCACGTCACCGCAGAGAGTCTGGCCTCTCGTGCCGCAACCGTCACGGAGCTCGTCCACTCTTACAACGATCGCCTGCAGGTGTTAGCTCTGCGCATCGTCGATGCTATGACAGATGCCGATGCGATTCTGTGGCGCGATTTCCCTGAACTGGAGAGCTTGCATCTCGAGCACGGCGATGACTTGGCGGGTCTCTCTTGTGCCAATGCGTTCAACGCTCCGCGGCTACGCAATCTCCGCATGCACGACGTCGTTTTCGCTCCCAACGCACCGGCTCTACGCAGCCTATACGTTGTTTTCACCGCCGGGACATACACCCTGATGCCGATACTACTGGAAGCCCTCCTCACTACGCCCTTGTTAGAGGATCTGGAACTGCAGGAGGCGTATAATGTCGACGGAGACGACGAAGAGTCAGCCGTGTTATCGCCGCAAGCCAAGCTTCCCAAGTTGTCCACGCTCACATTCACCGGCAGCTCTCACAACTTCGCGCTTCTCTGGCACTCCATAACGTCGTACCCCCCAGGACTCTGCATAGAAGTGAAATTCATCGGCCGAGGATCACAGCTCGATATCTTTGGATCCCTTGGAGAGGCGCTTCGGTACGAGGAGAATGATACCCTGCGCCTCTCGTTCTTCGACAGGAAAGAGCAAGGGCTCTTTGCTATGCATCTTTTCCCTTCCTCGAAGGGTCTCTACTACGAGGATGAGGACGGGAGGTACCGTCGCAACGGTGTTTGCATTGGCGCTATGCAATTGCTCCCAGATAACGATGAACCCATAATCGAACCTTCCATGCTCCTGAGCGCTCTTGTCGCTCAACTCATCCCCGGGAACATCCGCATCCTCGATCTCGATACCGCCGTGGACCGCACTGCAGAATGGGGACTCTGCGATCTGGACGCTATGTGCTCCGTCCTCCGGACGCTCACGAACATCTCCACGATCGCCATCGGAAGAGGCTGCAATCAACATGTTCTGGACCGACTACTTCACCCGGATATAATGACGGTTGCACCTTCCATTCCGCTCCCTCAACTCAGGTGTTTGCGGGTCAAACATCCCCGACAGTGTGTTCGCGGGAGGTTCACCAATACCAAGAATATGATAGAGAGTTGGGCGGCTCTGAGCGTTCTATGCGCTCTGCTCTTGACATATCGTCACCCTTTGAGCCATTTGCGAGTCTCTGCTTGGAGCTTGGATGAGCTTGATGGCCACGAAGACGCATGGGGTGTGCAGAAAAAGCTGATTGAAGGTGTACGGACGTTGGTCGATGAGCTCGAGGTCACGAATCTGGACGGCGAGGACGACCATTTTTGATGTTCTGCATGTTGTATGATACATACATATACTTGTAACGAAGTTTCCCTTTGTATACAATGTGATGAGTCGGACTGTACTCTTCTTCGACGTGAATGAATGCTTTAAGTACCCGTCGGAGATTCGGTCCGATGACCGAGTTCCGCGCGTGAACGAGACCTTGCTTCCTACCGTCATCATTCAAGACTCTTCCCGTAACTCCATCCCAGCTACAACAAATGCACGTTGTCATGATTTTTGGGATATTCATTGACTCACATACGATTACAGGGCTTCTGTCAACGATTTGCCGGAGGAGATGCTCAGTTATATATTTGACTGGCTGGCTCTCATGGATGTGCCTCCACCCGTCCTCAGGTCAGCACTCATGCTTATAGCGGAGCGTACGCGCAAGGTCGAACGACTTGGCTGGATCACGGCTTCACACGTCTGCCAGCGGTGGCGCGTCTTGATGCTCAGGATGCCACTATTATGGGCTGGGGTCTCCGGAGGAATCTTCCCCTCCCGGGATATTTGCGAGGTCATGATAAAGCGCGCTGGAGACCGCCCTTTAAGCTTCTTTGGAGACTGGCCTAGTCATGCCAACTACGTGAGGGGCTCGCTCGTTTCCACAACGGATACTGTCACCGAACTCATCCCCTCGTACCGGAGTCGTGTCGAGGAGCTAGCCTTGCGCATTGATGGTCGCGCAGAGGCGAAGACGATTTGTGGTCACCACCTACCCCAACTCAAACGTCTGTATCTGGAAGCCTACGATATTCTGCCGTACGATGATGCGGACGCTATCGACGCCCCGCAACTACGTTCCCTTCGGATGGACTACATCGTAGTACCCTTTCAGGCGCAGAACCTGCGCTTCTTGTCCATCGATATCGTTAATGCGGTCAATGAATTATCGCGAGCTGCATTTCATGTCATCGAATTGGCACCCATGCTGGAAGAGCTGGAGTTATCACACTTCGCCTTCAGAGTCGAGGATGACGAAGATGAGCCCGAGGACGATGAAGGTCCAATACCACTATCGACCCCGATCGATCTACACGCCTTAACCTCTCTCACGTACGACGGCCTCTCAAAATATCTCCATGTTCTCTTGCAGTCTTTCCTAATCAATGAAGGCGCTCGGATATCCGTTGAGATCCCAGGCCGCGACTCGCAGCTCAACCTCTTCATTATCCTACAAGACATGCTTCAACGGGTGGAGAACGACCACTTGTGCCTCTCCTTTTCTAGGGAGAACTCTACGTGGTCACTCTTCGCGCACGTATACCCTTCGGCCGATGGTCCTTGCCACGAAATAGACGTCGTGGACCGTCGGGGCCGTAATGGGGTACATATCAGTGCCATCAGCGATTGCATTGCGAATGCCGCCGAAATCGATATAGCTTTCACCACGCCTGACACATTTATCAGTGCGCTCGTTGCAAGACTGAATACCCACAATATCCGCTCTCTCGATCTCGATTTGGTCCTCAACCTACGCACGAATGAACACGGCGGGCCGAACGACATAGGCGAGGCTCTGCAGCCCTTGAAGAACGTCTCGACTATCGCTGTCGGCCGAGGATGCGACATGAACGCCCTGAAAGCGTTATTTCTGCCAGAGGACGCAGCAATACCCCTTCCATTCCCTGATCTCAAAACCTTGGTCCTCAAACATCCTCGGGAATGCGCATCGGAGGGACTCGGAGGTATTGACCAGATGCTGAGGACCTGGGCGACCTTGGGCCATCTGTGTGGCGCGCTCATGGTGCGGCATCATCCGTTGAGCTGTATCAGAGTGGCTGCATTCAACTTGGAGGAACTCGGGGGGAATGAAGATGCATGGCGTGCACAGGAGAGGTTGATCAAGGGCGCGAGGGCATGGGTCGACGAGGTTGAGCTTACGGTTTAAGACCTCACAGCGTAGAATGACTTCGCATAGATTGCTACCAGACTATCATCAGCTTTTTGAAGCGACAGGCCATAGCTAAGTATGGAGATCGGAAGGCACGGTGTGTGAGATGGTGAACTAGCACAGTGGCTCTAGAGTACTGAAGGCCAAATATGAGTCCCTGCAGTTCCGCTGGGAACCTAGTAACGCACATCAAACGCGTCGACCGAGAACGCCGGGATGCGGCGCCCAGACCCCAAGGTGGATCTGCAGTTGACAATAGTGTACCGAGCGGTTCTATTCCTGTGCCCTTGGCTTTGTTGGTTCTTGATGGACCGCATGGTCCCTTGCGAGAACGGCAGGCGGGGTATGCATGTGAAGAACGTGGGAACCGCTGCTGCGAAAGGGCCGATTGAGATGCTTGCTTTGTGCCATCACCATCGTCGCCTCGTCGCTCACGCCTGGCCGATCTATGAATGACCTACCGTTGGACGTGCTCAAGTACCTCTTTGACTGGCTCTCTCTCATCGACGCACCCCGGCCGATTGTTCGGCGGCACGAAGTGAATCAAACAACATTGGACTCAAACAGCAATGTCAAGACGCGGAGTATAACCGTAACCAAAGACGGGATTTGGCTCGGTTGGATCACAGCGACGCAAGTGTGCAAACGATGGAGGGCTACAATCTGCAATATGCCTTTGCTATGGGCTGGAGTAGCCGGCGGCGTGTTCTCTTCTCCAGAGATGTGTAGCCTTGTCATAGCACGCGCTCAAGACCTTCCACTGCATTTTTGGCATTGGCATCTGTACACTATGGACGACGTCACACAAAAGAAGAGGGACGCACTCTCAGACAACGTCGCTCAGATGTTTCCCTCTCACCTCGCTCGCCTGCAATCACTCGCATCGCGCGTCACCGCGCAGAATGTTGCCGCCATGCTCGGTCAGCATATGCCCCGGCTCAAGCGCTTGTATGTGACGGTCGACGAAAAGCCTGTGCATTATCGTGGCTCTCAAGTTATCGCTGCTCCAGAACTGCACACTCTGTATATGAATGGGATCTCTCTGCCATACTACGCACCCAACTTGCGTTCTCTGCGTATCAGATTTCGACACAACACCCAGGTGCTATTGTCTTCCTTACTGGACCCGCTCCGCTCCGCATCCTTGCTAGAATCGTTGGAGTTGCAGAACGCCAATAACGAATTTGGACCTATGGACCCCATGTTGCCATTACGCGTACCGGTCGATCTGCCGCAGCTGGCCTCTCTCATATTCGACGGTACCTCGTTCAACTTCAAGTCACTCTGGAAGTCCATACATATCCCTCTGACGGAAAGCGTGTCTGTGGAGGTCATGGGTAGAGACACGGAAGTTGACGTTGTGCGCCTGCTTCGGCCGTTCTTCGAAAGACCCACGAACGATACTTTGCGCTTGTTCTGCAACGATGACTTTTGGAGTAGGAGGATCTCTATGCGCGTCTGCGCATCCGCGGATGGGCTCATACACCCGATGGCGTACGGAAAGGCTCGCCTTTCTGGCGCGCAGATCAGCGCCGTATACGAGCAACGACATCACGAGCAAGCGGGCGACACGTCAACGCGACCGGATGTATTCGCGTCAGCACTCGTCGCAAATCTCATTCCCGAGAGCATTCGCTTTCTCGACCTCGACCTTGCCTTACGGCGCGGTACAGCCCTCCAACTCTCCGAACTTGATTCGATCCGCGATGCGCTCCGGCCACTTGTGAACGTCTCCGCCATCTCCGTTGGGCGAGATTCCGACATGAAGATACTGAAGGAGTTGCTCTGTCCGGAGTCCGCGTCCACAACGAGTCCTTTCCCACTCCTGCGCACTTTAGAGCTCAAACACCTTCGCGATACAACGGCATGCGAAAGATGGTGGCGTAGCGATTTCAAAGACGTTCTGGAGAATTGGGCGAACTTGGGCATACTCTGCACCACGCTCTTAGCATATCGTCGCCCCCTGACTCGCGTTCGAGTCTCCGCGCATACCTTGTCGGAACTTGGCGGGGATGAGGACGCATATCGTGCACAGGAGAGGTGGATCAGAGGAGCGCAGTCGTGGGTCGATGACCTTGAGATTACGGATCTTGCTGTAAAGCGCGTCGCGGCGTAGGAGTTTCGCATAGGGTTTCGATGTAGTCTTTCAACGATGGTTCTTGTTATGCGTGTAGCACCAGCTTATGAATATGTGACATCTAATGGGCCGAGATTGAAGTGCATGCCCTGACAGACGCCCACAGTAAGGAGAAAGAGGTACATTACAAAGAATAGAGTAAAGACAGGATAAGACGCCATGGATGTGTCTAGTAAGCAGAGCAACACGATGCTCACATCAACTATAGTATGCGTTTCGCGCAGCTTCAAGAAGAAGTACGAAGGACTCGGCTTCGGGACTGCCTGTCCCTTGAGCAAGCGAAGTACTGAAGGTCTCTGGGTCAACGACGTTCTTGAGAATACCCGTCGTCGAGACGATACTCTTCGAGATGCACGAGTAGGCGAGCTCGGCCTTCGTGATGAAGGAGCTGTCTCCGGAGTACTTCGCGAGCCGGTAGGTCGCCGCTGCGACGAGAGCCGTACCGGCGGAGTCTGGGAAGGTGTCCGGCGACGAGACATCGATATAGTTGTAAAGCGTCCCGTTGGAATGCTGAGCGACTAGTTAGACAAGGACCCTGGACACCGTTCGGATTACGCACCTGGTAGTTGTATGCGCCGGTCAAGATCTCGCCGATCCACAATGCGAGATCGGCCTTCTGCGAAGACAGCTGGTTACTCTGCGGAGACTTGTCCAGAGTCGCAAGTACCCGCATCATCCCGTACGCCGCCCAACCGTTCCCTTAGCGAGTGCGTCAAAAGTAGCCGTAGGTAGAAAGGTGATTCACGTACCAGTGGCCCAGTGTTGAGGGAGCGTCCACGTACCGAGCATGATATGTCTCCACAAGCTGACACTGTGAGAGCGTCAGAGGGTGGAAAACTGGCGAAAGGGCGTCGACGTACGTCGTATCAAGAAGCACGGTGCGATATGCCTTGCACTGATTGTACGCTTCAACGAGAAGGTCATAGCCGTCGGTGGTGTCGCCCAGAGTGAGACCATAAGCAGCAATGAACGGCGGGGCCATACTGACGTAGTCCGCCCAGAATTGCACCATATCCTCTCTCTGAGAGATACCCCCCGTCGTAGAATCGCGTGGAACGTCGTTCAGGAGGTGGTTTAGTTGAAGTTCGAGAGCATTTGCATAGCTGCTGTTGTTCAGAACTTGGTTTACGAGAAGAAGTGCGGGTCCAAGGCCTATAAGAAGAAGGTAATCAAACATCATGGCAGAGACTGATCAAAACCCTCCACTCACTGGCGGGGTCGCCTGCCGCACCATCTCCGTCGACGAGTGTAGCAGAATTAGCCGGGCGCGAGTTCATGATGCTAATTGTGGTGAAGTCAGTAGTCAACTTCGAGCATACGATCAAGGACACACTTGGCAGCAATAGTGTACACCTCCGAGTCAATGGATGCTTTGCATGCGGACACTGTCCCCGTTCCGAACACGGACAAGGAGGGGCTATCATATTCTATCAAAGCCTCCGTCAATGTGCCCAGCTCCCAGCTAGTTGCTCATCGTCAGTCAATGCTGATGCGCACAGAGGCTGCTCTCACGCACCTGTGAGAGGCAAGCGCAATAGCCTGCTTCTTCACGGGATCTACGCTAATGGTAGAAGTAGCCGTGGACGCGCGCTTGCGCAAAGTGTGCCGGCTATGGAAACGATGGTGATTCTCAAAACGAGTGGACGCGTCGACGACGTGAGCCAACAGCAGAGCTGTGCTCGCGACAGTGACGCTCAGAACGCGCATAGCAGCAAGGAATGGACAGGAAGCAAAGGGATCCAAAAAGACTGACGAGCATCGCGCGAAGCAGTTATATCGCCATTAGTGCAAGGCACGAACGATACATATGTCAAAAAAGCATTTAGGCCGGAGCGCGTTGCGCGAATACAGCGGAGAGGGCGGGACCGCACTGATTGGACGTGCCGCGGCAGCTTTACCTGCGCAGTAACACCAACGCTCACACTCTAGGCTTCGAGCCCATATTCTTAAAACTATACTGTCTGGTGTAAGATGCCCCACCAGCATGATATTCAGACTAAAGTCTGAGGGCAGTGCTGCCGTTGCAGGTGGTGGTGGTCGAGAGCGTCCTGCAATAGACGCTCGCCGGAGCCGAGATAGGTATGAGCGTCACGCTGTCACGGGTTACGTTGCTCTCACGACAGGTTGTTCTTTCTTGACCTTCCGCTCCATATCAAGGGTTGTCAAGACAAAATAGGCAATATTCGCTATACTCTATGCAGCAGACAAAGCCGTACAGAGTGGGCATGGGGTCAGATGCTCCAGTAATCGTTCCGCGCCGCCACCAAAGCGAGCACAAAGGACTGTCCCTCGGGGCTCCTGATATCGCCGGTGAGAGGAGTATCGAAGGTGAGCGGGTTCACGGCGTTGAACAACCACCCTTCGTCGTCGATGCTCTCAGCTACGAGGTTGTAAGCCAGCTCCATGTTGGCGAGGTAGGTCACGTCGCCAGTAATGGAAGCCAGGCGGTAACCGGCCGCTGTGATGAGCGCGGTCCCGGCAGCGTCTACGAACGAGGTGTCGGGTTGATCGATGTCGTTGTAGAGCGTTCCGTTCAGAGCCTGTGCGATCGGGTGAGCTACTTCTTCTCAGGGATCGCGTGACTTAGGCGTACCTGGTAGGCGTACGATCCGGCTAGGATCTCGTTCGTCCAATCAATCAGGTCTTGTTGTTCGGACTTGAGTTCGTCAGCGACGTCCGACGCTTGGATGGTGGCAAGAACGCGCGTCATGCCACCAGCAGCCCAAGCGTTGCCTATGGAATCTGTGAGCTGATGTGCTCTATTGCATGCCAAACCACCGTACCTGTGGCCCAGTGATCGTTCAGCTGCCAGCTTCCGCCGGTAATGTGACGCCAGAGGCTGACGTCTTCATCAAAGAGCGCTTCTCGGTACAGCTTGCATTGAAGATGCGCGTTCTTCAGGAGGGCAGTGGCGTTGTCGCCACCCAGTACGGCACCGTAATAAGCCACAGTTGGTGGCAACATATACATGAAGTCTGCCCTACATGCACGTGGAAAAGTGTGAGGGAAGTGTCCAAAGGAAGGTTGTGTAGGACGCACCAGTACTGAACCTCATCCTCGCGTTGGGAGATGGCGCCCTCATCCGACTGGGGGACGTCGTAAAGTACGTGATTAAGCTGCTTCTCGATGTCCTCGGCCCATGTCTCGTTGTTAGCGACGGTGTTGACCAAGATCGCGGCGACTCCGAGGCTCGCGGGATCGCCCGCAGCACCGGCGCCATCGATGAAGACCGCGTCGCCAGGCTGCTCTGCATCTAAAATGCTGTAGAGCGCGCATTTAGATTGAGTGATATATGAATGAGGCTCCACAGTGCAACGCACCTCGAGATGATGTCCCATACAGCTCCCGGGATGTCGTTGCTGCCCGTCGGAGGCGGAATGGACTTTTTGCCGGCAAAGACGGAGAGAGCGGGGGACTGAAGCTCGATGAGGGCTTCGGTGAGGGCCCCATATTCCCAGCTAGACGATGACTCGTTGAGTGCTCGGTGGAGGAAAGACGTTGTAGGAGACGCACCTCTGGTTCGTGGCAGCAATGGCGTTCTGCGCGACCAGGTCTGTGTCAATGGTGAGCTTGCTGCGGCAGCTCAGGTCTACGCCCTTCGTGGGCGCTGCGAAAGCAGACGGGGCGAACGCGCAGACAAGGGAGAAAACGAGTGTGGTGGCGAAGCTAGGCATCGCGAGTAAGGAATGACAAGTTGCGAGACGCAACGGTAGACGAGCTTCGGAGAAGTTTGGGGGAAAACAAAAGCACTGAGCGCTCACGACGACATCTGGGCCCTTATATCAGGTAGGCCGCATCGACCTCATTGCGCAAAGTGCCCTAATAGGCGGGGTCAATAGACTATCGCAGCACCCCCTAGCACCCCGGACAGTCGATCACCGATACAAAACCTGACATCAACTCCGAGAGCATCCGAGGTGGGCCGTCGATCATATACGGAGCGGTGATCGCAGGAAGATGTCAACATGCAAACGAGCTTCTGAAGTGTGAGGATAGGCGCGATTGGCTATGATTGGCCTGAAGATCGTCGGGCTCGTCACGGGAATATCGGGATGGTCTCCGTAGACATTCAGAGCGTGGAAAGCAAAGAGGGATGGATCTTCCAGTACCAAGATGATCTCGAGACGTCGAAGTACTTAAGTGTTAAGTGTCAAACGTAGTAGGCATACGATGATACTGTGCATTGAACAACTTGGGAAGCCCCGCTTGCACGATGCCCTCCGTGTGTCGCTCTGTACAGAGCCATATTCTGCAATTAGTGCGAAGAACATGTATATTGACATCAAGTACGGAAGCGCACCGAATACGCGGAGGTGAGAATGTGTCGCCCTACGACATGAGTAAGACGCGACCACCGAACGAGAAACCCGCAAGCCTACGCATGCAATGGCATTGTTGATAGCGTTCACGGGTATGGCGCGGCTGCGACTGCATTCCATAGCTGACCTGAGCGGCAATGAGATGGCATTGCGATGGGCGCCAAACCCGGATATTTTGCCAGTCCCGACGCCTGCCAGTAGGCCAGGTAGGAGAAACGTGTATGCATCGAGATCGTTGCAGGGGTCTAAAGTCTAGAGTTACAAGAACCTTTCTATCCGAGGCGTGCCCGAGCCCAAGTTCTCAAGCACCCCCATTCGTGGCCCGCTTAGTACCATCTGCTTTCAAGCCATTCGCGTGTTGGTCTTGACCAGTCGGCCTAGCGAGTACGCTCTTGATAATCTGGGCGAGCGGTGTCGGTTCTGCCTCCAAAGCCATCTTGAGGAACCAATCCTTGCCGATGTAGTTACGAATACTGCTCCCATGGGTTAGCGCGAGGAGCAGATAAGCTACAGGTAGATGCACTTACCCGTCAGGCAAGAGGACTACAACGTTCTTCCCTTCCGTCTGCGCTACTTCCTTTCCAGCATCCGAGCGAAGCCATGCCAGCGCACCGGCCAATGATGACCCGCTGCTACCGCCAACCAGTGTGCCTTCGCGACGCATGAGCTCGCGAACAGCTGCAAAGGCGTCTTTGTCGTTCGTCTTGACCCAGTGGTTGATCAAGCCTGGCTCGCGCGACAGTACCTCCGGAACGAAGTCATAGCCGATACCTTCGACGATGTATGATTCCCACGGGCCCGTGCCATTGAGCGAAGACGGGAGTGCAAGTATGGAGCCAACCTGGCACGAAATAGTCAGCACCACGCATGGATTTCACAAAACTAGTATACATACCGGGTCAACACCAACGACGATGCAGTCTGGATTATGCGCCTTCTTGATTGCCTTCGCAATGCCGGACACTGTACCGCCGGTCCCAGCACCCGCGAAAAGAACGTCGACTTTGCCGCTCGAAGGGTGCTCCGGCGTTGAAGGGGTGTTAACAACTGCTTCGATGATCTCTGGTCCAGTCGAGAATTCGTGCGCCAGAGGATTGTTCACCTGAGTTGGCCTGTGAGTACTGAACGAAACTTCCGAGATTGGCACGTACATTGCGATACTGGTCAAGGATGATACCTCCCGGTATCTCACGTTGGAGGCGCGCGGCAACACCTGAGAGAATCGTGGAGGAATTCAGCCACGAGAAGGCAGTGCTATCAATAGTGTGCTTTACCTATGTGGCTCTCCGGCGAATCCCAGGCGGCTTCCGTCGGTGTGCGAACGACTTCGGCACCCAAAGCACGCAATGCGGCCTCCTTCTCCTGTGAGCTCGCGTCAGTAGAGGCATAGGGTATGAGGTCAGAGATGAGATACGGACCAGTGACATCTTCTGTGGCATGACGATAATCACTGCATACCCCTTGTCTATAGTATTCAGTACCCGTGCCTGCCGCCCTCATTGAAATATTACCTTGATAGCGCACGCCATGGCAAGTCCTATACCTATACAAGAGTATCAGCATTCATCTTCGACTCAACCTCGTGTTGCACATTGATGTGGCGCGGATGGAAGGGGGCGATAGCCACCCGTACAGGTGCGTACAGCTCCCTTGACAGATCAAACTCTACTCACCAGTATTGCCCGATGTAGGTTCGATAACGACACTCTTTCCGGGGACAAGTTTGCCCTCTGCCTCGGCTGCCTCAACCATTCGTTTCGCAATGCGATCCTTGACAGAACCGCCGGCGGACGTGTATTCGAGCTTGCCGACTACGAGTCACCAATTGATTTGATTAGCATGTCATGAGTAGCGGTAAGGGCGGATTGTCGTACGGAGATTGCACTTGAGCCCTTCATGGTGGGCGAGGCGGTCGAGACGGATGAGTGGCGTGTTGCCGACTGCACCGAGAGCACTATCGAGAACTACTGCTGGTGGGGACATCTCAAGAAAATAGTACGAGAGACGTCGAGAAGTTTATCTCGTTGCGGGTAAAGTGGATGGTGGTAAGAGCGAAGGAAGTGGAAGACGCCCGACTTGGCGTCAACGCGTCAACTTGCGTGCTCCGGATCTTGACACAGTTCCGACGCTCACGGCCACATGTGTCCTCAATTCGCCACACCGCGGGTTCTGCGTGGAAGACCGCATGCATCCATGTACACTGATGCGTTCTACCGACGCGCTACGGACATAATACAGGACGGAAGTACATGGTTCGCTATATACTGTCGATCCGTCCAAGCACAGTCACTCACGAAAGCCCAGGCGTGTCGGCGATACGGAATATGATCTTCTCCCCGCTGACCTGCACACTGAAGTGAGTAGATGCGGAGCTGTTGGATACTCTGAGGTATACCTTGCCGGCCTCCATGTAGTCCATAGCATCGCCGACTCCCTCCAAACCCTTCTCCCACACGCGAATAGGCGTCGGCTTTACTTTCCCCGACACCAATAGTTGTGTTGCAAGCTTGGCATATCCCGCCGCATCACCCAGGCGCGAAGGGGCGTCCTTCCTCTGAATCCATCCATCAGCGCGCGTACGGGGAAGCTAACAAAAGAATGCAACGTACGTCATGGATCAGATCGTACGCGAGAGAGTGTACTGCGACATATTTGGAACCCAGACCCGCCTTGTTGACTTCCTTGAACGGGATGATCGCGATCTTCCCGCCCTCAGACGACAGGGCGGATACGATGATCTTGAGTGAATCGGTCGAGGATATGGCATCGACGGCAGACCGGATTCTACCTCCCGAGGCAGCCTTGATCTTGGTGCTGACCTCAGGGTCGTGATAGTCGTACGCCTCAACGGCACCAAAAGACCTCACCAGGTCGAAGTTCTTCGAGGAACAGAGAGCGTAAGTCTTCAGCCCGGCGGCTTTCGCGACTTGCAGAATATAGAGGCCTACAGCCGACGAGGCGCCATAGACGAGCAGAGGGGTACCGTCGGACGTTGGGGCCAGAGGTGTAGGTAGACTTTGACTTTGGTAGAGAGCTTGGAAGGTGGTATAGATGGCGATCGGAAGCTGTGCCCCCTGCTCAAACGTCCACGACTCCGGAAGATGGATGAGGATGTCGGCTTTGGCAGCGACGTATTCGGCGTATGAGCCATTAGACGTAGTTCCTGTAGTATGTCCATAAGCAGCAATCCTACACGCAGGAGATACAGTAGCATACCACCGTGGACAAATCCCGCGACACGATCGCCCACTGGACGTGCATAAGACAATGAACTCCCATGCGGAGACGAAGGAGAACCGCACACTGACCTTTCACTCCCTTAGCACTCGGGCCAAGCTTCTCGACCACGCCTGCAAAATCGCACCCAGAAACGGCTCCAGGCTTCGTTAGCACATCGCTCTTCACATGCTTCCCTGTGGCTGTGTCCCTAGCGCTTCTCAAAAGAGCGAGTACTGGACAACTCACAGTCGGTAGGATTGAGCGCCGCGGCGACGACCTTGACGAGGACCTCGCCCTCGCCTGGCGTCGGAATCGCCACCTTCTTCACCTCTACCGTCTTCTGCTCTGCGACGACGACAGCCGTATGTGTGGATGGGGCCATTGTTGCGATAGTGCGAGGAAAGCCGAGGAGATTTACACAGGTTCGTTGTCCGGGTCAACGCGTTCAAGCGCCGGATACTTATATAGGTGCGTAGCTGTCCATGAGCTTGCGCAGGGTCCATGATCAGATTAGCTCTGGTGGTGGTAGTCCGCGGCTGCTTCCCCGTGTATATCCCGATGGTCGGGAACTGACAGAGAAACCCGACGCCGCTGACACTCGATCCGGAGTCGCTCTCCCGACAACCTATTGAGCAGCACTGCACGAGGCTTCTGCAGTTGAGCGTCTGAACTTGAAGCGCTGTGTCGGTACGTTCTTTCAGAATGAAAAGAAGGGCGTAGTATGTGTTCGTTATGGTCAAGTAATCTTCGGAAATCATACTGCATTCATACAAGTGAATAGAACACATCCTTTTCACGACGAGAGACCAGGCGTGTCGGCGATGCGGAAGATGATCTTCTCTCCGCTGACCTGCGCATCAGAGTAAGCAAGAGTAGTTCCTTCTAGTTAGTTCAAGGCATACCTTTCCGGCCTTCATGTATTCCATAGCATCATCGACACCCTCAAGACCCTTCTCCCAGACGCGGATGGGCGTCGGCTTGACTTTGCCTGATGCCAGGAGCTGCGTCGCGAGCTTTGCATATCCAGCTGCATCGCCCAGGCGAGAAGGTGCGTTTGGACGCTACAGGGGACCGTCAGCGCAAGTTCACATTGCACAATTTTCGAATACGTACGTCGACGATTAGATCGTAAGCGAGAGAGAACTCAGCGGTATATTTGGACCCCAGAACAGCCCGATCTTTGTCTGCGTATGGCAGAATGGTCGCGACCTTCCCGCCCTCGGAGGACAAAGCGTTGACGATGGTCTTGACGGAGTCGTGCTCTGATATGGTGTCAACAGCAACCTGGATCTTTCCATCTGAGGCAGTCTTGATCTTGTTGCTGGCCTCGGGGTCGTTACGATCAAACGTCTCATCGGCGCCGAACGCTTTGACCAAGTCAAAGTTCTTTGGAGAGCAGAGAGCATAGGTCTTCAGCCCGGCGGCCTTAGCGACCTGCAAGACGTACAGGCCGACAGCGGAGGAGGCGCCGTAGACGAGGAGGGGGGTGCTTTCGGACGTTACGGCCAGAGGTGTAGGAAGATCGTGGCTCTGATAGAGCGTTTGGAAGGTGGTGTAGATGGCGATCCCAAGCTGTGCGCCCTGCTCAAATGTCCACGAGTCCGGGAGATGGATAAGGAAGTGGGCTTTCGCGGCAACGTATTCAGCATATGCACCGTTTGGCGAACGTCCTAGCATGCCTGTTAGCCCGAGTTCTACCGAGCAGCTTTACGCCTCACCTCCCGCTACAAACGTTGCAACTCGGTCGCCAACTACATTGACAGTGAGCCAAGATGTGGTGATAAAGTGTGTGCGCGCGCGATTGACCTTTCACACCTGCAGCACCCGGGCCAAGCTCTTCAACGATACCGGCAAAATCACAGCCAGAAACAGAGCCGGGTTTGGTATGAATCTTGGCGGTCTTCCCTGCTGGGGTTGAGACTCTTGTTCGCGCGGACATACACCAGAGTGAACTCACAGTCGGTCGGATTGAGCGCAGCTGCGACTACCTTGACAAGTACCTCTCCTTCGCCAGGTGTCGGTACTGCAACCTTCTTCACTTCTACTGTTTTCTCCTCAGTGACGACAGCGGCGGTATGCGTGGAAGGGGCCATGATCCTGATAGTGCGGGGAAAGCTGGGGAAAGTCGCAGAGGTTCGTTTGGTGAATATAGTGACGTGATGGAGTCCAAGCGTTGCATACTTATAGGCATGCAGGTGTGCATGAGCTCATGCAAGTTCTACAAGCTTCTTTGGGTCTGGTGTGCGACATGCGTGCCGATGAGAACAGCTCTGATGACAATACACGGTGGGTGCGCCGCTATATCCCGGTGGTCGGGAACTGACAGATTCCCGGCCGTCTCGCGACTTTTGTTCAACGCGTCCCCGTGACTTATGCGAACACCCGCGACGCGTCTGACGCCAACCGCATGCTCTCGCATGCCTGCCTAGCAGTAATCACAGAGTACCGTTGTACTCTCCGAGATGCTCTGAGGTGATTGCACTCCAGGGGTGAAATCATGCTACGGTAATCAGACCAATGGGCCCAACCGTGACCCGACATCCGTCGGCTCCACAGAGCATCATGAATACTAGCTATTATAATCTTTCTCACTGCGCTATCGCGCCACAGTCCGCACTGCACCCGCAAAGCTGCAGTTCTTCAATAAGTTTGGAAGAGTGTCATCTCCCTCTCACTGCTAAGCAGCCGTAAAACCCGTGATGATATCATCTGTACACCATTCTGTTAATCGCACGACATACGAGTGACACAAACGAACAAGAGTCATATCCAAGCAGTATTGTTACACTCATTAGTCCGATTCGTCAAGAGTGAGGTCCATCATCTCCGGGGAGCCCACGCGCACCTTGACTCTTCTCTCCGTGATAGCCGACTCGATCCGGCGACGTTTAGTTCCTTGCGCGATTCGGTTCAACTTCAACTCCAATTCAACTTTCTTGAGCTCCAGCTCCAGGCGTTTTCTCTATGGATGGCAGAGTCAGAGAGCAGTAACCTGAACGTCCATGAGGACGGACCTCCAAGTCATCTAATGCATCGACGTCCGCTATAACTTCTAGATCAGCGACATTCGGTTTGATGTCGGGTTTGACGTCCTCCTCTTCTATCACCGGTGAGGTGGCGAGCTCAGTGGAGGAGGCAGACCCCTAATACCAGTTCAGACACGATAGATAGCATCGACAACACTTGCGTACCACTGCATTGGAGATGGCCGACGACGTCGATGATGGTGGCATTTCGGCCTCTGGTTGTGCCACTCCCGCCGTGCTCGCGCGAGTTTGCATAGTTGGTGGCACTGATGGGGATGTGGGAATCTGCAAAGAGTCATCCTGAGCCGGCGTAGACGAAGGCGTGATCGGAGCATCCTCAGGCGGAGGCTGTCGGATGGTTGCCGGAGGTGGCTCCAGACCTTCGGGCACGGAACGGGATTGCTCGACTGACGTATGTTCCTCGACACTCGACGATGTAGATGCTTGACCGTTGTCCGCTGCTGTAGGGGTTGAGTTTCCTTCAGTCACAGCAGGGGTCGAAGGGCGACTTCGCGGCATCCAATGCATGGCCTGTAGAAACTCTGTGTCTCTTCAGAGGGAGCCTGGTATAGTAAATTGCGAAGTAGTGGAATGAGCTTACCTTTGGGATGATGCCTGAATATGAGATGCGCTCTGGGTTTGTCCTCAGGCTCCACGAAACAGTATTGCCATGTGGCTTTTGCCGGCTTTGGAGGTTGGTAATCGTCGTCTGAAGTGTGATCTGCGTCGAAGTCTTCAGCCAATTCCTCCTCATCTGCATCCTCCTCATCCTGCTCTTCCTCGCTTCGCGAAATAAGGCCGACGAGTGGCGCTTTTGATCTGGTACCTGCAATCTCGGGCCCAAGACTATACGAAGACGAGAATGAGAATGCTCTCAAGTCCAAGACAAAGACCCAACGCACCTCACAGTATTCAAGCCCTGCACCTTGCACGTTTCATTAACTTCCCCAACAAACTCTACGGCCTCCTCTGGCCGATTACCCCACCCATGCTCAGCGTTACGCTTGGCGGAATGAGCGGATTTCTTCGGTGACCGTTTATTCTTGAGGGGTTCGGCAGGCGGTACCAATTGACGCTCTAGAGACCATATCTTCACTTCGATGATGTTCAGCGAGTCGACATCAACACTCGCATTGATCATATCGGGTCTCTCCTCTGGGAGGAAGTGTAAGATACGCATGTATCACCAGTATGATTGTCATGACTCATGGGTGTACGGTGTACACGTACCCGCGGTTTTCACAGCGTCAAACATGAGCTTGCGATGCGAATCACCAGAGATGACTCGATCAATCTCAATGGAGCCACCTCTGTCAAGATATCTACCCGTTAAGAACTGCTTGTGAGCGTAGAGCCCTACGTAAAGCTTTTTGCGTCTACTGCTGCGCAACCTGTCCGTGACGCGTAGGGAGAATTCCTACAGAAATAATATGCCACAGTTATAGACGGCATACTCGAGATCTTCGCCTAAGATAGAGATGCTCACCTTGCCCGCCTCGCTGGGTATATAGCACGCCATCTTGTCGTTGCCGACTCCGGTCACAACGAATTCGGGGAGTCGTGCGCCATTACAGTATACGTGTGCCTCGTATCCATCGAGAACCATCGACTTCATCGTCCTTATAGGATAGTTCACAGCTGCAACATTTGCCATGAGACGTCGACAATACAGATAACGCGTCCGTGATGGCTCTGCGATCGTGGTAGGCGGCAAGGTTGCATTGGCGCGCGCCGCGGGAACATGCGTCCGGCGGTGGTCCTCGGGCCGTTGATCCGTTATTCAACAGCAATCACTGTCCTAACATAGCCTCTAAGTTGGCGATTCACGGGGTCAGAAGATATACAATAGTATAAACATGGTATCATGTTGCTGTACTCATGGTCGCCAAATACACGAGACCACCCATCATAATACGTTAAGTCCCAGATCCGGCGCAGACAAGGAGCCAAGGACTACCCGTCCAGAGTCAAGTCGACGGTTTCCCCAGACAATGGTACAACGATCGGCTTGATCTCTCTCTTGACACTCGGATGACGACTAGAGTTGGAACCCGGTGTACCACTCCTCCGCGCTAGATCCTGGCGATCTCGAGCTCGCGCCAAGCTCGCTATCTTCCGCTCAAGAGCTTCCTGAGGGAGTGATAAGCACAGAGAGCACAACATCGACGCTGGGAGACTCACTTGCGCAGCCATACGCTCGATCTTGAACCTTTCGGCCCTTATCTCCGCCTGTGATCGTATGTCAAAATACCCACGAGGAGGGAAACACAGACCCGACTTACCTCAAGAGCCTCAATCTCGCCGGGACCGTCAGCCTCACGCGTACTCTCGATGATGGGAGTATTCTCGTCTTCGATCTTCTCCATCTTGACAATCGGCTTGAGTACCTTCCGGCGCTTGGTGTTATCTGTTGTGGTAGGTGCTTCGGGTGCGGGTCTTTTCTGAGGTGCGGTTCGTTTCTGAGACGCGAGGGGACGTTCTGGCTGCGGTTGCTGCTTCAGCGCAAGTGGGGCCCTTGTCTTCGGTATGATCCCCGCAGCTTCAAGGTGGGCTATACAGTCTCCATTGAGCGCTAAGATGATGCGCAGTCAAGAGATGCGTACCGAGCGGCTGATGATAGAACTGAAAGATGGCATCGGGTTCGGTGCGTACGTTGCGAAAGACCCACTGCTCCGTGGTGTCCACGGCCTTGCTTTCCCCTAAGCTACAGGAAGATGTTCAACGTTACATGTCGCCGCGAATGAATGAAAGGGAGCGTACGAGGTCACATTTAACCCTGCTATCTTGGAACGCTCGTTCACGGTCGCCGCATCAGTGGTGTTGGCCGTCCATATCTGCGGAGAGGTAGTCTTGCGCTGCGCCTGCGCCCAGAACATCTGGACTTCTATGACACCAGCCTTGGAAATATCATAATCTGCAGTCGAGTCTTCGCAGTCTACAGAGAGTCACAAGGAGGGTCAGAAAGCACGGTTGGCAATGCGATCACTTGACAAGCTTGCCTGTAGTTTGGATGGCCGCAAAAGCCAAGTTCCGAGCCGCCTTCTGAGCGACGCGCACGGAGTGGATGATGAGTGTCCTCTTGTAATCCATGGCTTCGCCGGTCACCAACTTCCCCTCCGCCAGGAGGTCCGCAATGAACCCGTCTTGAGGTGCATAGATGGGGTTGACGACGGTGGCAACGACCCGATAGCACTACGGTCCAGGAAATGTGAGTGCGCAGCGGGTGGCCGGAGTGAGTAGCGGCGTACCTTCCCAGCCTCGCTTGGGATGTAGCAACGAACCGTAGTCCCATTGACATGTTTGACCTGATACTGCGGCAGCTCCTTCCCATCGCTCTCGATATGGACATGGAAGTTGTGCAGCTCGAGCGGCATGATTCAAGCTGTAAGAGCGGCCAGGAAAGCGCAGTTTAAGTTGTCTTGACCGTAAGGAGACGAACTTGACAGACGTCTCCGATAGCGAACCGCCGACGTTGGAATTCGAACTTTGGGTCGGGCATCTGAGCGTTGACGGAATCGATCGCTTGTCTGTGCATCGACCGTCGCTTCGGACCCGCGATAGATGCATAGCATCATGGCATTGCACCTCATCAGCTCAGATAAGCGTAGCCGTTTTGGGGGTATAGTTGGTGGTTCAAAGCAGACCGTGTCTTGGGCGCGCCGAACATAGTCACGTCATACATGTATATTCTCACGCATGCAGCAAGCCTCGCGTCCTCGTCTCCTCCGTCCTCCATCGGCGCAGGAATACACGTTCCGCCATGTCAGTCGGCGCATGGTCGCTATCATAAATTTCACATCCTCAGTCATCTGTCGTGAGATCGACGACCTCCCTTGTGCCGCCACCATCTCTCCGTTGACTCGCCTGGCGCGCCCGAAGCTCCAGCGCCGCGAGCTCAGCCTCCTCAATCGCCAGTTGCTCCTGCCGTCACAATCAGTCATCGAGCTCTCGTTACGCCAGCCAGCTTGGTCCCAATCCATACCTCTTCTATGAGCCGTTGCACTCGGATCCTGCGCGCGGCGATACGCGTCTTGAGCTCGGCCTCGCGGTTCAAAGTGCTGCTGGATTCGGCTTGTACCGTCTGTAATTGTTGAATTATACTATCAGAAGGACCAGATACGGTGGGAAGGTATGGTTTGGTGTCTTCCGGATGATCTTGATGTACATCTGGTGCCTGTTGTACAGCACTGTTAGTCCGAACTCGTGCGTGCTGCGAATACTGCGTAAGAAGGGAGGCGCCCGACACAAAGTAAACTAGATATACGAACTGTGCCCACGCTCAGTGGTGCGTTTGGCCTCGCTTCCGCGCTTGCCAGCCCGACTGGCGGCTTAGCATCATCTTCATCCACCACGGCACCCACATCTTGCGACTGTTGCTTTGGTGGGAATGTTAGAGATGCGCAGATTCCGACGCTTCAATCGGAGAACGCGTACCTCAGCATGAGAGCTCCGTCCTGGAATCACTAGGTCGTCTGAGCCAGTTTCTAGCTCGTTCCTGATACTGTTGTTCACTTCATGATGAGAGACTGCCGCCAATGGCGGCGGGGATTGTAAATGAATCCCATCTCCAGTTTGAGTGGATGGGCCTGCTTCCGTTCTTGCACCTACTTCCACGATAGGCCCATGCTCTCCCGTTGGCCCACATTGTGCGATCTCGGAGCGTAATCGAAAGTTCAGTTTAGCAGGCGTGGCAGTCCGTGGACGTTTGCTCGAACCGGCTTGTGCTATGGGGGAAACTATGGCCAGAGGTCGCTTCTTAGCCAACTGCGTCGACGATGGCGCAGGAGCTATACCGGCAGCTTGCAGCATAGCTGAAGATGCGATAGTCAGATCCTTTGTTTGCACTAGTCACTGTTGTAAAGTCATACGCTCACCGATTGGTTGGTGATAGAACTGAAAGATGGCCACCGGAGCATCCGGGTCACCCTCGATCATATAGGGCGACACGATGTTGCTCTGCCGTTCACAGCGGAATGCTTCGCCCAACCTGTACATGTCAGCTACGGCGTAAGCATTACGAAAGAGGTATCCAGAAGGAGCGCATATACGCACGAAGAGATGTTGAACCCAGCCTTCTTTGCGCCTTCATGGAACGTCATAGGTCTCGAGTCGCCCGACATGCCGTGAATACCGTATGGCCGCCCCGCTGGCCTCTCGCGCTCAGGACCTTCCCGAGCCCAGAACACACGCACTTCGATGAGGCCGACCTTGCGTGGATCAAGAATAGGCGTATGGTCGTCGTCATCTATGGCGCATACCGCTCGCAGGCTGAGTGAGGCCACATAGTCAATTCGTATGATACGCACCCGTCGTCTCTATCGATGAGAAGATCAAAGGCTGCTTGTGAGTTTCCGATGTGCGAACGTGCTGGATTCTGATGCGCGCGCGCTTGTCGGCACCGCGTCCCAGACATTGATACCCGTCGGTGAACAGGCGCGCGATGAAGCCGTCATGTGGGGTCAGATCCGGGTCTGTGGCTTGCACAATGACCTCGTATCTCTGCACGGCGGTAGCTCAGTATAGATCGCCGTATGAGGCCTACACTACGAGAGCATGTCTTACCTCTCCCGATTGACTGGGGACATGGCAGCGCGTCGTACGCTCGCCGACCTTTGTGACTTGGTACGCGCATAGGTTAAAGGTCTTGCAACAGATGGAGGCACGGAAGCCATTGAGGTCTAAGAACCGAAGCTGACTCTGTTCATTCAGTCGGCTCATAGGTGGAATCGCGATGAGCAGCAGGATCTTCGCGCAACGGTCATGTACAGTGGTAGTATAGGAACAGGTCGTCGTGGCGCGTGTGGCGAAGCGCGATCGCGCGCGTGAGAAGGGATTGATCCGAGTTGGCCTGCGGACGCCCCACAGAAGGTCTACCGATGTGTACGAGTGCAAGGAAGATGTCGCATAAGTTCTCGTTCGAAAGTTCGCGATTGATAGATGCCTGAGCGCTGGAGGCGGCGACGGGGGCAGGGTTCTTCATCTCTGGCGGTATGGATGGAGTCGAAAGTCACCCCGTTCGCGGCGGTGAAAGACTCCGCCTGCTGTGGACGATGATTCTCGTGTCAAGCAACCCGCTACGAGGCGCGCATAATGATGATTCCTCGTCCCGTCGCGACTGGCTCGGGCGACGAGGTGTGTCTCGACGGTCACTATCTTGCCGTTGTTGACCATGTAGACGTCGGCAGCGACGTAGGCAGCACCCCGGATTGCATAAGCCGGATCAAGCGCGATCACGTGTATTTATCCCGAAGCGCACATATCAGACGCGCGTTCGCCGCGCGGGAGGTGCCTGGGGTGACATGCAGATGTGCAAGAAAAGCCGCAGCCAGTGGAGCCTCACTAGGTGTACGGATTAAGCAAGAAGAGTTAAGTACAAGTATCAGCCATCTTCGCCCACAACCGAAAGTTCATGCTCGCTCCTTCCCCTTCCCCTTCCTGTCATCTTTCTGCACTTGAGCTTCGAGCGCAGCGAGCTCAGCCTTCTCAACCGCCAATTGTTCCTGAAATGTGCTCGCAATCAGCAACAGGTTCGAAAACGTCCAGGCGCTCTATGTATGACTCACCTCCTCGGCCAAGCGCCTGATACGGATCTCTCGTGCGGCGATCTGAGCTTTGAGCTGTGAAGCACGATCGGCAACAGGAGGCGACTGTGAGGGCGGCACGGCTCTCTTGGCCCATGGAGGAAGAGGAGGGCTCGGCTTAACTTTCTGCGCAAGTTTGTGCGATGAGGGCTGCAGGCCTGTGTGAGCACCCACTACTCGGTTGAAGAGCTGTTCGAACGTGACCCACTGCTTTGATGCGAGAACTGGACCCGGCTTCTGCGCTGGCGTTGTTTGAATGTTCGCTCTCTGCTTGTAGACGACGACCTTTTGACGAGCGTTTAGGTGCCGCTGACTTGGGCTGCTCGCTGACTACCACTATCTCGTCATCGTCTGAGCCGTGAGCGACTTGCGTGGGCGCGAGGGGTCTCTCATCGGTGATGTTGACGGACGTCGGAGGCTCAATCTGTACAGACGTCTTCCTCCGCTTGCTCGGCCCGGCTTCAGCGTTTGTAGTCTGGGACGCAGGTCGCTTCTTCGATGACGTCGCGGGCAGATGAACTGGCTCTGGTGCCGTTTCCGGTTTGGGAGCTATACCAGCTGCTTGCAACATCTCTGAGAGAACGAATCAGTACGGTATCAGTATGCAACGCATCAATGTGCACTCGAAAATACTTGCCGAGTGGCTGATGGTAGAACCTGAAAACGCAGTGCGGATTGTCCACAGACGTAGTTCTAATATGGTGAGCCGATGACGGTTTAATCGTGGTTTGAAAGACTTCGCCAAGTCTGCTATACGATGAGTCTGACAAGTACAACCAAAGCAGATAGGAGACGCACGTAGAAACGTGAAAGCCGGCTTTCTTACTGCTTTCGTGCACGAGGGGTGCACTCCCATCTTGGCCCATGTGTGTAATCCCGTACATCCGTTTGGATGTCGACGGCCTCGGTTTCCTGTTGGAGTACCAAACACGTAGCTCAATAAGCCCAAGGTCCTCTGGTTTGATGAACGTCGTATTGTGGTCTCCATCAACATCTGGAAACGACCATGAATCCAACATAATACACGTGCACAGGTCGATCACCAGCTCACCCGTCGTTCTTACGGTAGAAAACATAAGAGGCCGTCTAGAGCTATTGGATATGGCGAGATCGTGCCTCCAGATAGACTTCGTTTTCGCGTATCCTGTCCCGGCTCGAAGAAGACCGTCTGTATAAAGACGGACGAAGAAGCCGTCTGTAGGGATTGACTCTGGATCCGCTGCGCGCATATGGAAACCGTACTTCTGAGCGAGCAAAGTCATCGACGTGAGTCAGCGCGTCGAATCTTATCAAGAGAGGCTCCAACCTTTCCCGCTTCACTGGGTATATAGCATTTGACGGTCCGTTCGTCGACCTCAGTTACTTGGTAGACGGGTAAACTCTTGTTGTCCGAGCATATTGACGCGTAGAAGCCTTTGAACTTCAGTTCTGTCCCAGTCATGTGCAATATTGGCAGCGGCGGAGACTTCGGAAAGAGGTGTACGGAGAGACGACGGTGGTGGTGGTGGTTCGTCGTCAAGTCTACGCGCGCCTTCGCGTTGCGCGGTCACGTCAGGAAGCTCGTCAGTCACAGTCGGTCTGACTGCCATGTTCATGGCTAATCAGGAGTACCCATGGCCTCTATGACTTTCTGGCATCCTTGGACAACCCTTGTGAGCCCAAGAAGGAGGACCATGTAGCGCGCAGCACGACTCGAAGCGCGTCGAGACGCGTTGAACAGTTCCCAGCGCCTGGCTAGTCCTTGCATTCCACTCGTTCAGTTGCCCACTCCAAGCAGCTGCCCTCTAAGGATTATCGCACTCGCGGACATGCTCTTATTGATGACTGGCCATAATGCATAGCCAATGGTGACCAGTCACTGACCGTAGAAACTCTGCGACCTCGCGACTGTGGCGAGGCGCGTCGCGTCGCGCCCGTGAGAACGCGTTGATGCCAGGTGTTAGCGCGCGTACCGCAGCCGCGAACCTACGCCCATCATTCCCCTTCCATCGCGATCCCTTTATCACCAAATATATTCGGGAGAGATGTCTAACTTTGATGATCTCTTGAACCCTCGCTCTCTCGAAGACAACCCATTCGCCGACTCGAACCCGTTCGCGCAGCCCACCACGCACGACGACGATCCCTGGGCCAGTTCCGCGCCCTGGGGCTCTGCATCCTCCATCCCCTCGCACGACTCCCACGGCGGCGGATTCGACGAGTTTAATCATCATGCATTTGCCGACGTACCCGCACGTGAGCGGGAAGAGATGATGGAGGAAGTGGATGATGAGGAAGAGGTGGTCAAGACGCCCGTTGCGGCGCCGAGAGAGTTGGAGGTCGAGCCGGCTGTGGACCCGCTTGATGCGCCTTCTGCCAATATTCCGGAGGAGGAACCTACGCCTGCGCCAGTGCCTGCACCCCGTACACCTACGCCTCCAGCGCCGGCTAAAGCCGAAACGCCACTATCGCCAGGATTCCGCGAAGTCACATCTTCACCTCCACCCACAAATGATGAAGAAGAGGAGAAGGCAAAGAAGGACGAGGAGGAAGTGGTGATTGGCGCTGCCGAAGAAGAAGAGCGCCGGCGAGCCGAAGAGAAAGGCAAAGCCCCAGGCCGCGCAGAGGATAGCCCACCCACGCGACCCGTCTCGCCTCCATCCCCACTCGAATCCACAACACCCAAAGACCTTTCCGTGCCAGCCAAAGACGAAGAGGATGGCGCACCTCCAAGCGCACGGATGCCCCATCGGCAAACTCCGCCGTTGCCCGCGCATCCGCCTACGCCTTCGCAATCGCAGACTCTCGATCCGCCCAGTCAGAGTCAGAGTAGCAGCAGCGTGTTCAGCCCGCTTGATGGAGCTGGTGCACCCGTTGCCCCGTTCAAGGGCCTGAGTTTAGGCGGGAGTAACGATGCGGGGATTGGAGGGTGGGACGATCCGTTCGCTAGGCCTTACCAGCCTGCTGTCCAGACGCCTGTGTCTGCCCAAGCCGAGGAGGAGGAAGATGACGATGATGATAAGCCGTTGCGTCCTCGACCTATTGAGGTAAATATAATCTCGTATATTTGTCCCTCACTATCTCACGCTGTCGGGTCGTGCGCAGAAGACCACTAGCGAAACTTCGCTCTCTGGGAGTACCGACGACGTAGCAGCACTGCAGAACGGCGTGTCCGAACGCAAGGATCAACCTCCCGTCTTCCAGATTACAGTCTCGGACCCCCAAAAAGTCGGCGATCCTATACGCGGATATACTATGTATACGGTACATACGAAGGTATATCTCTATGACCCATCCCAATACCGATGACGCTGATTGATCGACGGTGTGTATAGACGTCAAGTCCTCTCTTCGCAAAACCGAGCTTCTCAGTTCTCAGGCGATACAGCGACTTCTTATGGTTGTACGAGACGCTCGTGGCGAACAACCCAGGTGTCGTCGTGCCGCCTGTACCAGAGAAGAACACCTTCGGCCGGTATGACTCCCTTTCTCTCAGTAGCCGCCGACTCAAAATGCTGATGTAAAGAAACGTGTAGGTTCGACGAAGAGTTCGTCCAAGCCCGCCGCCGCGGCCTAGAAAGCTGCGTATGCAAGATGGCGAACCACGAAGTCCTATCAAGAGATAAGGACTTGAAGCTCTTCCTGGAAAGCGACACGTTCTCGCTCGACGTACGTTCTTCCACGCGAAGCGTGGGAACACGGGCATTGATGGCTATGTATAGATCAAGCACCGTAAGGCGGAAGTGGCCAACTCGCAAGGAGGCGTGCTCAGCAGTATCAGCTCTACGCTCGCTGGACCGCGGTTCGTCGAGAACGACGAGGTACGTTCATCGTCGTATTGGCATATGATGGATGGTGTCGCTAACGAAGGGTATCCTAGTGGTTCGACAGGCAGAAGATGCACCTCGACACGCTCGAAACCCAACTCCGCGGCCTGATCAAAGCCATCGACTTCGTTGCGCGCCAACGATCCGGTCCGTACTTCATTCGCTGCCACATCCTTGTGCCTTCACGCTAACACTCTGCATATAGAGCTGGCAGCCCAAAACGCCCTCTTCGCACAAACCCTAACAGATCTCTCAACATCCGACATCGGCGCCTCCCTCTCGCACTCCATAGGCGCATTAGCTGAAATCGAAGCCCGAGCCGAAAAGCTCGAGGCTGCGCAGGCTAGTGCGGATGCTACGTCCATCATGGCTGTTGCGGAGGAGTACGTGCGATTGATTGGTTCTGTGCGGGTGCGTCTCTTTTACTCTTCTCGCGCTATGCAGGGGAATGAGGGCTGACGGGTATCTGTAGATGGCGTTCAATGCGCGGATAAGAGTGTATCATGCATGGCAAGCCGCTGAGCAAGAGGCAAGGAGGGTACACCGCGAGCACGAGCGTAACCGCGCAGCAGGCCGCATCGCACAAGACCGCATCCCACACGCACTCAATCTCGTCGCAGACGTACGTCCCCTTGCTCACACCATCCAAACCTATGTAACCTATACTGATCGAACTATTACAGGCCGACCGCCGCGCCCACGAAGCCCAAACGCACTTCCAGTCCGTCTCCCTCCTCGTCAAACGCGAAGCCGGCCGCTTCGAGCGCGAGCGCGTGGCCGATTTCCGAGCGGGGCTCGAGAAGCTGCTCGATGGGATGATCGTGAGGACGAGGGAGAGGATTGCGATGAGGGAGCAGGTGCAGGGGGTGCTGTTGAGTAAGGTTGAGAGGGTCGGGAATGGAGGAGGGGGGCAGGGACAGCAGGTTGTTGGGAATGTTATGTGAGAGAGGGAGTGGGTGCGTGTTGTATCTATTTAGGATTGAGGATGGATGTTTGTGCGCGTTTCAGCATCCTTAGAACGCCTGCACTCGGCCTGCCCGTATACACCGGGCTCAACACCGTAAGCCGGCCAAGTCCCGAATAAACCGGCGCTGACACGCCCGTTCGCGGGCGGCGGCATCGGCGCTCAGAGCTTCGGACGCGCTGTGGCGTGCTGACAAAGCAGTTTGTGGCACCGGCGCGGTCCTTCCGGCTCCCGCGTCTCACTCATCGGCGGCGATGCTCAGCACATCCGATCAATTCTCTTGCTTTGTCATCCGATATTGGCGCTCTTCGTGAGCTGAGCGGGTTGAGCTTACTGAATATTCTGGGGTTTGGATTTGAGTCTTTGGGTTGATATAAAGGGTGGCGAGTGTCGTTGGGATGTAAGGCAGCACACACTGCAGCTCTTAAGCTCAACAGCACACCTCCCTGTTTTCTTTTCATTGTCTGCATCTATGACGTCAGACGCGCCATCTCACCGCGCTATCGTCGCTACCAAATTGGGCGGTCCGTTGCAGACCATCACTGTTCCGACGCCGTCTCCCGGTCCAGACGAGGTACTCGTGCGCGTGTCGTGGGCATCGCCTACACCATTCGACAGTACGTCTCCCTCATACTCTTTCCCTGCAATGCGCAGCTTTACTCACGCTCAACATGTAGACTGGCAGAAAGACTTCGGACTGGCCGTAACCGAATGGCCCATCTTCCTAGGCGAAAATTCCGTAGGCACAGTAACCGCTCTCGGCTCTTCCGTAAAGACCCTCAACATCGGCGACGTCGTGTTCGGCTTCACGCACGGACCCGCGAAAACCAAGGCGTTCCAGGAGTACATCGTCGTACCCGCCCGTCGTCTTGGACGCGTTCCGGCTGGCCTTGATCCTCGTGCAGCTGCTACGGTTCCGGATAACTTCGTCACTGCTTGGTGGACCTTTATGCACTACTTGGGGATTGAGCTGCCGTATGAGCTGCCGGTGAAGGAGAAGCCTGTTGGGCTTGACGAGCCTATTCTGATCTGGGGCGGCGCGACTTCTGGTAAGACTTCACTCGCCGTACTCCTACATTTCGCATCATGCTGAGATACTCTCGCAGTTGGTCAATACGCCATCCAAATCCTCGCCCAAGCCGGCTACACCAACATCATAACAGCCGCCTCCCCGCGTCATACCGCCCTCCTCAAATCCTACGGAGCCCGCGCCGTAATCGACTACCGCGCCCCTCTCTCCGACATACATGCCCAGCTCCTCTCCGCCGCCAACGGACAGAAGTACAGCAAAGTCTTGGACTGCGTTGCGCATGATAAGAAGACGATCGCGCTGTATCGTGATGTCGTAGCGGCGGGAGGAGTCGTTGCGTTGTTGTTGCCTGTACAGGTATCGGATGAGAAGGGGGAGGTTGTGGGTGTGCGGAGTGTAGATAACGAGGTTGGGGACTTTCCGGAGGGCGTGAAGAGTGTGGGGGTGCGGACGCACTTCTATCACACTGTAAGCCTCTCTCGCAAGTCTTGATAGTGATGAACAGGCAAGCTGACGGCGATGATGCGTAGAATGAGGAGCTCTATGAAAAGCTCCAGCCAGAGGTTATGCCGCGTTTGCTTGGCTCGGGCGCTATCGAGCCGAACGCGTTTCGCGTCGTTGAGGGCGAGTCGTTACAGGAGCGCGTGGTACGTTGAAACTGTACATAGTCATGTCTTGCGTGAAGCTGATTGCGCTGTGCTTTAGGAGGAGAGCCTTCGGATTCTGCGGGAGGGACTTGTGTCGGGCGAGAAGCTCGTATTCAAAGTGAATGCGTAGGCCGTTGTCGCTCGCCTACAATACGTCGTTGAAGGTCCAACGGGTGGAGATCGTGTCATTGGTATGACTATCTGATAAGGATATCGTCCGGCGTTATTGCGTCAATAGAACAAGGTCCGCATCGCACCGGCCCCATTCACATGCAGTCACTACAGTATGACTCTTGAGCTCGGACATCTCGGATTGCAAGTCGCACCATCTCTCAGTGCAAGCGCTGCATCGGCGCACTGGGGATATTTGACCACACGCACGCCTTGCTCCCTTTGGGGTTTGGATCGTTGAGGTGGACCCCGGATTGGTCCGACATTGTCCTTATGTTGAGCAATGACTGTAGAATCATGCTGTCAGCGCAGCCTTCTCTTCACTGCTTGTGTGAGTATACGTCGCTGAACTTGGTGGGGCTTATAGATCTTTGATACGGAGTTCCGACATCTCTCTGGGGTTGAATGTCCAACTCTGAAGATCAATCTGCCTGTAGCGTTACAGAATGACTCGATCCAGTCTTTACAGCCTAAGATGCTGGTGAAAGCTCGTACGCACAGCGCTTATCAAAGGAGAAGGCATATAAGTATCAGCGTAGGTGACCTCACATTGACCATTTCATAGCACCTCGACAATGTCCGAAGCCACCTCACGCCTCTTCCAACCCATACAACTCGGTCGCCTCACTCTACAGCACCGCGTCGTGATGCCCGCTCTCACTCGCAACCGCGTCGACAAGAAGACGCGCGCCGTCGGAGACAACATCGCGGAGCACTACGCCCGTCGCGCCATTGTACCTGGTACGCTGCTCATCACGGAGTGCACGTACATCACCCCCAAGGATGCGGCCATCAAAATCTGGCAGTACACTCCTGGGATCTGGTCGGCAGAGCAGATCGCGGGTTGGAAGAAGGTCAATGAGCTCATGATCCTAGACTATATGCTCAGTGCTGAACGTTCTATCGTAGGTCGTCGACGGCGTACACGCGCGCCAATCTTTCGTCTTCATCCAACTCTGGGCCATAGGGCGAGAGGCAGACCCCGACATTCTAGCCGCACTTGACTCAAGCTTTCCATACATCTCAGCGTCGGGTATACCCATCGACAGTACGCGCCGTCTTCCTCGTGCCATCACCCACGAAGAGATGAAGGAGTACGTACGTCTCCATGCAGAGGCCGCCAAAGCCGCTGTGGACGAGGCCGGGTTCGATGGTGTTGAGGTCGATGTGGGCGGCGGATACCTGCTCGACGAGTTCCTCAAATCGTTCCTGAACCATCGCACGGACGAATACGGAGGCAGTCCTGAGAACATGGCGAGGTTCCCGCTGGAGGTCGTAGATGCAGTTGTGCGCGAGATCGGCGCGGACAGAGTCGGCATGAAGCTCACGCCTTGGGATACCCTTCGTACGGGTTCTGGTTCGTCGTTCACCCTAGCTTCACGGTGACAGTGCGCTGAACACTCTAAAACAGAGAATGAGGACCCCATTCCGGCCTTCTCTTACTTCATATCAGAAGTACGAAGGCGCCATCCCGACTTTGCCTACATACATGCCGCTGAGCCTCGCTATGGCACGGTTAACTTCGGCTTACCCAAACATGATCACGAATCGAACGACTTCCTGCGCGATATCTGGAAAGGCAAGGTCTATATCGCGGGCGGCGGATACACGCGCGAGACGGCTATGAAGCAGACCGACGCAAATGACAACGAGCTGATCGCGTTCGGGAGGAACTACACTTCGAACGTAAGTTGGGATTCGACTGTTACCATTGGGGCTTGTGTCACTGACTGCTACTAGCCTGATCTGCCCATCCGGCTTCAGCATAATATCCCGCTGACGCCGTACGCACGGGAGACGTTCTATGCAGAGCTCAGTTCTGCCGGGTACAACACCTTTGGGCTCGCCGATGAAAGCAAGAAGATACTTGCTGCGCGCGGTGTTGACGTTGATGGACACGTGTGACCGTGGGATCAAAGGCTTGAAATATATGTATGATAAAATGCATGAACACGTCCGTATGAATGTGATAGAGACCATGGAATATAGAGCCGTAATGAATGCGAGGGTGCAAGGGATACAGTGAACAACATGAGCTCATTCCCAGTAACGCGCAACCTTGTTCTCCCCATCCTGCGCCGTAACATCAAGGAAGTCACTTGGCCGATCGCGCTTCAAGGGACCGCGACGCCTGTTATTGACCGGTAGTCGCTGGTACGCGCTGTCACCACTTGGTTGCTGTTGATTCTGGAATCCGCCGACCCCGCCCATCCCAGGCATCACCCCAGGCATCGGCGGACCCATAGCCATCTGCGGCATGCCCATAGCAGGGTTGAACCCGCCTCCCATTCCCATCATCTCAGACGGCACAATACCCATGCTGAACGCCTGTTCCATCTCCTGCGCTTGCTGCAGTTGCATCTGCATCTGCCGATAGGACGCCTGCGAGCGTTGGCGCACGTCCGGTGCGAGATCCGTCCGGTTCAGACTCTGCTGCAACTGCCGTATCTGCGCCTGAAGGTCGCTGATGCTCTGAGCCAGCATCTGTCGTATCGTCTCGGGATCGCCGAACCCGTCCTGTGGTACTTGACCCGACGTTTGGCCTGGCTGCGCCTGCTGTCCGGGAGCGCCCGCCTGAGCGCCTTCCTCGGCTGCGACGCGGCTCTCCTCAATCGTGCGCTCAACGTATTCGTGTACGCGGGCACGAATGACGCCATCTGGTGAGAGCTTATCCAAGCTCTGGATGCGCGTGCCACATTGCGGGCAGATGAAGTCCTTCTCGAGAAGGTGGTTCTGGATACAGTCTTCGCAGTACGTGGAGCTACAGCAGGGTGTCTTGACGGCTTGCGCGAATAGCTTGCCGTCCAATGGGCAGGCCAGACCAGTAGCAGGAGGTGGTGGGCGGTCGCGCACTTCTGCCTCTGTCAGAACCTTCGGCCGCGTTGCACGTTTCGCCCACGACGCGCTGGACGAACATCGTCAACCAGAGTACTCGATTAAGACATGATGGGTTATACTCACACGTCCGGCTGCGCCACAACGTAGCCACCTTCGGGTGTAACCATGACGCCGGCGCGTCCGGGACCAGCATCTGGATTTTCGACAGTTTTGAGGAACGAACGCGGGATACCTGTCGTGCGTTTGATGCGCGGTTTGTTGTCGAACTCGCGGTCGCTGTTCGTCGGACAGTCTTGTATCCAGTGTCCCTTCTTTCCGCAGCGGTAGCATACGTAGCTGGCTGGTAAGGGGCGGTCGTTTTGAGGGAATTTGTTACCTCCCTTGAAGCCTGGTCGAGGGTTTGTATAGATGCGTTGAGCCCTGTGAAACAAGTATGTGGTTATTCGCTCGAGCTACTACTACAGCAGAGAAAGTAGGTACGGACTGCGACATCTTCTCCTGTGTTTCCTCCCAGTTCGCGGACTGCATTTGGAACATAGCCGCAAGAGCTGCTGCTTCGTCCGAATCCGCCGCTGCCGATGTCACCGCCTGCATTGCTTGAGAGGCCTATGTATAATGTTAATAAATGATATACTACCGTGATCAAGTGTGGCGTACCGGTGCTGGCTTAGGTGGCTCCTCCTTTCCGTCGAATCGCTTCGACATAGATCCCTTCCAGCCAGGTTTGCCATCCGGGTTGTTGCCACCCAATACACCTGCCGTGTAATATGAAGCCTTCCCACGTCCAGGTCGCGCTGCGGGTACTCGCTTGACCACTACGGATGAAGATCGCGGGATGACCACTGTATCTTCCTTGATTTCTGTACAACGATATCCGTAAGGATACAGGCAGGAAGGGCAAGTCGATTTACGCACCGTCACCTGAGGACGGGTCGAGCACGACAAGGTCAAAGTCATTCGCTTTCGCGAGGCCATTTGCTAGTATAATCTCCTTCTTGAGGTCAAAGACGGATATACCAGTGCCGTCAAATGTGATACGTGACTCTTCTCGTTGCGACTTGAATTTGTAGAATACCGAGGACGCCATTCTTTGGCTTACACACAGAGTTCGGTGGTTCAAATCAGTATATTCTCTGTGTCAAGTTTCGACTACAAGTAGAATGGGAGGGGGAGTGTCCAAGCGGGAGACGATGGTGGTCGGAGACAAGCCACGGTTGCATACGCGACGCGATTGACGCGCGCGGCGCTTCGAGCGCGTCCATCTCTTCCAAGTTGCCATGGTCTTTCTCCTACCACCACCATCCATCCTCCATACTGCATACATACACTATGCGTACAGGCAAATGGACTATCAACATCAGCCAGTGGCCTCTGACGGTGGAAGCGTCTCTCCCTCTTTGGGGTTCCATTACGCTCTTCTCTTCACAGGACCACTCTCTGGGCTTGGACTGCGTTTCAGCGGCAGAACCCGACGTCTTCTCTGATAAGAACACTACTCTATAGGTCTGGCGATTTGCTCCGCTGAGCGCACGATTGACGACAACTTTCGCCTCCATCCTCGTTCTTGTCGTCCACCTGCAACTAGTTGGACTACCGAAAGCCCCGACGAGCACCGGTACGAACGTCGCGATTGTGGAGAAGGGCGCTATCTGATACTTACTTTGTCTCTGTAGATGCATGACCATAACACTCCAACTATCCTCGCTGTGAAGCATATTGGGTCCGTGGTCTCTGACACGGTGCTTGAGCTCGACGTTGGCATCACCAACCCATTATCGCTCCACGATACGGACGCAATACTATCGAACGGGTACAACAAGCCAGGTCTCACAACCTACTTGGTCTCTGGCGCCGGAGGTCTCCTCGGTTTACTGCCCTTCATCGCCAGATTCACGACGTCTCCGGCCGTATTGCACATCGCCGTCGCAGGTGATCTTGCCGACGTCATGAGGCTGCATTCCGGCGTATCTTACTTCATATACTCCTATGGGGGCCAACAAGCATACGATAATGCGCTGCTCGCGTACGCAATTGCTCGCATCGCGCAGAAACCCGTCATCCACGCATACCACCCTGGATCTCCTTCCGACACGATCCATCAACTTGTAGACGAAGACCTTAAACGGCTTTGCGAGCCCGAGGCTACGGGTTTTGAGGGACTGCCACTCGTTATATACGATCGAGCGGCCCTTCGTGTTCAGTCCTTCACAGGGCGTGAACTCCTTCCCTTCGCCCAGGCTGGCGAACGTCAAGCAACGGTCGCTGCTGTCGTACTTGGCTATCCCGAGCCCGGGTCTGTCGATCCTGACGCCAGTCTTATCATCAGGATGTCTCTATTAGCACCCTTCCCCGAGCATGCTCTTCTAAAAGCGCTCATACCCGCGAAACGCGTCGTCGTCCTCGACCAAGTGCTTCATTGGGATCTGAAGTGGACACCTTTGTTCCTTAGCATCGCGAATACCCTTCAATCGCAAGACGAGGAGAGCAGACCCGCTCTGGTATCACGCGATAGCCGCTCGGAAAGGTTGTCCGACTTGATCGCACGGGGCGCTTCGGCCAGCGCTCCTCTTGGCTCCCCATCATCGCCAGCCCCAAATACCGTCCACGTCCCTTCCCACGAGTCGTCGTACACCGACATTCTTGTCCACATGTTCGGAGACCGATTGCACATCTTGAACGACCCTGCCCTTGCCAAGCAAGCCGGTCCAGCGACCGCTTCTCCAGAGTTCGCTTTGGGCCGCGCTCGACGTGAACTTGAGGAACGTGCAAGCCTCGTGCACGTCGTGCGCAACTTGCTCGAAGATCCTCAGACGCCTTCCACTCTTCATGCTCAGTTGGGCCGCTGGTTGTGCGCCAAAGACGACCCCACCAAGAGCAAGACCTATGGGGAAGAGATAATAGAGACGCTCACGGCGAGTGGCTCAACCCAAGAGCAGGTTGCGCGCATCCTTGCACTCCGTTCACACTTACCTGCACGGTCTCGCTGGATCATTGGCTCAGATGCCTGGTCCTACGACATTGGCGCCTCTGGCTTGCACCACGCGATAGCGTCAGGCCTCAACATCAACGTGCTTGTACTCGACACTGTCCCTTACTCGACGCGCAACGCAGATCCAGACCGTCGCAAGCAGGATGTGGGCCTATACGCGATGAATCATGGAGATGTCTACGTGGCGAGCATCGCGGTATATGCTTCGTATGGCCAAGTTCTACAAGCGCTTGCAGAGGCGGACGCATACCCCGGACCATCCATCGTTCTGGCATATCTTCCATATAGCCGCGAAGACGAGCCCGTCTCGTCGCTTCTCAAGGAAACGAAGGATGCCGTGGACTCCGGCTACTGGCCGCTCTACCGATGGAACCCATCCCGCGAGGCGCGTGGAGAAGAGGTTTTCCAGCTCGACTCCCCATCCATCAAACAGGAGTTGCAGGCGTTTCTTGATCGCCAGAACCATATCAGCCAGCTTGTGCGCAACGGGCCTCAACTCGCCGCGAACGTCGTCTCAAGTGTTGGTGAATCCCTTCGCGCCGCGCGTAAGGAACGCGCACAGGCCGCGTACGCAGACTTGCTAGCTGGCATCGATGCACCTCCGATCATCATCCTCTATGCTTCGGATGGCGGCAATGCGGAGAAGAAGGCGCGCCGGCTCGCTCATCGTGCAAAGGCCCGTGGACTTAGCGCCACCCTCTCGACCCTGGATTCCTTCGGTCTCGACGCAGTGGCGAAGGAGGAAAACGTCGTCTTCATCACGTCCACCGCGGGGCAAGGAGAACCTCCGCAGAATGGGCGCGCCTTCTTCAAAGCCATCAATGCTGCGGCGGCGAAGGCCGAGCGCCCGTTTGCCAACTTGAAGTACACGGTCTTCGGCATGGGAGACAGCCATTACTGGCCTCGACCGGAGGATGCGGGTTACTATAACCGCCCTGGGAAGGAGCTTGATGCGCGGTTATCTCAGCTCGGCGGCGAGCGCTTCGCGCCTCTGGGGCTAGGTGACGAGCAAGACGCGGATGGGGCGGAGACGGGTTACAAGATCTGGGAGCCGCTGGTGTGGAAGCACTTCAAGGTGGATGCGGTCGAGGTGGAAGAACCCGAACCCGAACCTATCACTGCCGAACATATCAAGGCCGCATCGAACTACTTGCGGGGAACGATTGCCGAAGGACTTGCGGACACGAATACAGGCGCGCTTGCTGAGTCGGATACGACGCTCACCAAGTTCCACGGCGTATACCAACAAGACGACCGCGATGTTCGCGAAGAACGTCAGGCAGCAGGCGTCGAGCCTGCGTACATCTTCATGATTCGCGTGCGAGTGCCAGGCGGCGTTGTTACTCCTGAGCAGTGGCTCACGATTGATCAAATCGCCGAAGAGTACGGCGCGGGCAACTACAAGTTGACGACGCGGCAGAACTTTCAGATACACGGTGTTCTGAAGCGCGACCTCAAGGCGACTATACAAAGACTCAATGTCGCGCTCATGGATACCCTGGCCGCTGGCGGAGACGGAAACCGGTGAGCGAGATAGCATTCTATGTCAACGATGTGCTAACCGCTATTCAGCAATGTTCTCGTAACCGTTATTCCAACACTCTCGAAGCTACATGAGCAAGTGTATGCTTTCGGCAAGAAGATCAGCGAGTACCTGCTACCTCGCACGGGCGCCTATCACGAGATCTGGCTCGACAAAAAGCTTGTTGCCGGTGATGCTCTACACGACCATGAGCCGCTCTTCCGCGACACCTTCTATCTGCCTCGCAAGGTACGCGTGTAACACAATACCAATCCCCTGTATCTGACCCGGTTTGCCAGATCAAGTTCGCCATAGCCGTTCCTCCAGTGAACGACATCGATGTCTTTTCCAATTGTGTTGGCTTCATCGCGATTGTGGACGAGAGTGGCGATCTTGCCGGTTTCAATGTTGCCGTCGGTGGAGGAATGGGCTTCACACATGGGACCAAGAAGACCTATCCGCGCGTCGCCGACGTGATCGGCTTCATTACCCCGGATCAAGGAATGGCGGTTGTGGAGACCATCTTTCTATTCCACCGCGATAACAGTAACCGACAAGAGTGAGGTCTACAGTGCTATACTACGTTCCTGACTCGCTCACTTCCTCTCATAGTCGCAAAAATGCTCGCCTCAAGTACACCATCGACCGCATCGGTCTGGACGTCTTCAAGTCCGAGATTGAGAAGATGCTTGGCTTCCCCTTTCAGCCAGCGCGCGCTTTCGCGTTCACCCGGAACACTGACACCTATGGGTGGCAGACAGGCATTAATAGGAAGCATCACTTCACTTGCTACATTGAGAACGGGCGCGTGCGTGATACTACAAACCATCCAATCAAGTCGGGTCTACGCGAGATTGCAAAGGTGCACAAGGGCGGCTTCCGGCTCACCGCGAACCAACACGTCGTCATCGCCGATGTTGCGGACGAAGATCTACCTGACATCAAGAGGTTGCTCGCTCAGTACAAGCTCGATAATGTCAGCTTCTCTGGTTTACGACTATCGTCATCTGCTTGTGTGGCGCTACCTACATGCCCCATTGCCATGGCTGAATCCGAACGGGTATGTTGATAGCCTGCACGCAGTCCTCATGCAATGCTGATGGGTCACATAGTATTTTCCCTTTCTGCTGAACAAGATTGAGGCTATACTAGAAGAGAACGGGCTTCGCGACGATGCCATTGTCGCTCGTATGTCTGGTTGTCCAAACAGCTGCTCGCGACCTTCACTGGCTGAGCTCGGCTTCATCGGCAAGGCACCCGGCTCTTATCTCATGTTGCTGGGCGGTGGCCACCGTGGCGAGCGCCTGGCAAAGATCTATCGTGGTGTGTACGCTACCTTTTACGCTCGCTCCTCCCTCACACAGGCGAGTAGAGAGCGTGACCGAACCCGAGATCCTCGCCACCCTCAAGCCCATGATCAAGAGATATGCGCTAGAACGGCTGGACAGTGAACTCTTCGGGGATTTCGTCGTTCGTGCTGGATATATCGCGCCTATGAGGGCGGGCACAGATTGGTACGAGCATATTGGCGGTGAGGGCGACCACTCTAGCGGGCAGTCCCACGGTCAGGATGTTTAATCGATGTACTGGTTACAATCATAGCACATGTGCACATATACATCTGATTCATGTTCGTGGAAGAACACATCATTCTCATGACTGTCAACTCGCTGTTCTTCGTTTAATCACCGTTCCGCCTCGTGTCCCCAATGAGCTTCCCTCACCTTCCCGAGTCTGTACGTATAAAAGGGCCTGCCGATCTCCCCTCTGTGCGATCATCGTCGCCGCCACCAGCACCACTTCTGCCTACCATTTTCAGCAAAGCGCCTGGGAATCACTGTCGTGTAGTTTACTCTGTTCATTGCAGAGGATGGACACAGCCGCTCATTCGCTTTGCAGGCGACGAATTTGATCCCCTCTTGATCGAACCCATCATTATGAGCGATGTGCGCGATTTCGGGGAGCCCTTTGACGCCGCGGATGCAGACATCATACTTCGCTCCGTCGATGGTATCGATTTCCGTGCACATCGTGCTGTCTTAGCACAGGGTTCGCCACTCTTTGCCTCCATGTTTAGCCTACCTCCTCCGGCTCCGGATTCCACCACATCTCTGTCGAAAGACGAACAGAAGGATGGGAAACCTGTTGTCTCTATGGCCGAGGACAAGGATGCGCTCCATCACCTGCTGATCCTTTGTTATCCCGCTTTCCTTCCTGCTCTCGATAGCATGGACGAGCTGTCTTTGACGCTCCGAGTGGCGCAGAAGTACGAGCTGCCATGCGCATCGAGTATCGCCAAGTATAGACTGCTTGCGCTGGCTTCCACGGCCCCAGAGCGTGCGTATGCCCTCGGTTGGATGATCCGGTCGAAGGAGGTAGTCCATCGCGCCGCCAAGGAGTCCCTCGCACGACCTCTCCTGGACATCTCGCCTCAACCTGAATTCGCTCAAATACCAGGATCGGCGGTATTTGAACTACTGGCTTATCATCGCCTGTGTTTGCGTTCAGTCTCCAGCATCGCGACTTCACTCGAATGGCTGAATCCAGCCGCAATACCCGCTGCGGTACTTCAGTGGCAGAACATTGCCGGCGCAGACAACAACGGAAGGTGCAATTGCAACATCCCCCTTGTCTCAATTGTGGTATCTGGAGGCGTCGTACTCTGGGTCAAAACTTGGTGCAAGTTGTACTTGAACGCGGCGGTCAGCGAGCTTCAACAATGCATCAGGGGATCGACGGTCAAGCAATTCAAATTGCTACGAGACGGTGTCGTCAACAGCGCATCGGGTTGTCATACCTGCATGAGTAACTGTTTCGCGGCGCTGGACAAGTTATCAGACCTATTGGCTGTGGAGGTTGAGAGAGTGATTACAGAGGTCTGCAGGCATCATTGTATGAGAGTTTACATCAACTGATAAAGCGATTTTAGGCATTGTCTAAACTCGAGACACCCTTCTGAAGCATTGTGGGTGTCGAGAATATGCATGTAAATGTATGCTAGGAAGATGAAAAACGAAGAGCTTTATAATCAGGCGCAAGGTCGTAGTCTTGTAGATCGAGTGCAGAGGAAAATTGACCGTCCGAGATGAACTCCAAACCGGCTAGCCCAGCCGGTCCAGCGTCAAGTGACCAAAGAGATACCGCAAGCGTGTTTTCGTTTTCACGCTTCAGTATGCTGTAAGAGGAGGCGCGCCAGCGTAAGCCGTCTTTACCGCTAGACATAGAACGCGAGACACTGACCCAGGTGGCAAAACAAAGACGGTTTGGGGACTGAAGAAAGATGAGACTACGACGTGTTAATGAGACCTCAAGTCACATACCCAAGATTATTCACGTATTTGCCCAACTGCCATCCATTCAAATAGATCTGAACACGAAAATGTACGTCGATGTCACTTGGCGTGATGGACAATCGCAGCGGAGCATCAACATCAGGCGGAGCCGTCTGTGGGAACATTGAGCCTTTTGTCAGGATATGCTTGTTCGATCACGTACCCAAGTAAATGAGGTCCTGTAGAAGTTCACTCCAGGGCCATTTAATCCACCGCCATCTGCGGTAAGAGGCGAACCGTTCGTCCAGCTTGAATCGTCAAATCCAGGGAGATGAGCGCCGATGCGCTCTGCGTAAAGACCGCCTTCATTCAGGTAGCCACGGAAGGTATCGGGGGCCTGGCGTGCACCACCCTGATGGTCTTCAGCAAGTTGACACGAACAGACTCTCGGTGTCACAACACATACCTGATTACCTTGGACCTTCCAGTAAGAGAAGGTGGTATTGGAGCCCAGAATCTGGTAACCACGAAGGCCTCGGGGTTCTTTACCATCGTTAGCTGCTGATAGGTGAGGAGATGTACACAAGCATGAGAGGACAGGGCGACGCACAGCTTGTTTCTGCAAGACTGACGGACAATCGTCAGTGAAAGCTCACGCTGGATGCACTTCGCGCTTGAACGTACCCCATATGATCTAAATACGTGGAAGTTAGATAGTCGTCGAGGCCAGATAGGACGATCCCGCACCTTGTATGATAGTCAATACATTGTCTTTCCCAACTCTCAAACTGTCGTTAAGGAAGCTCCAAGTATCTGTGACTTCGGCTACTGTCGAATTGCCTTCGCCAGAGCCAATGAAGTGACCGTTGAGGAACGCTGAGTATGCGAATGCAAATCCGCCGATGACTGTAAGCTCGACGCCTGTCTCGTTGCCTGACGCGTTGAAATGGCCGCGGAAGATCAAATTGCCCCCGAAGAAGCTGGAAGCCGTCAGCATTGAGCAACGTGCCAATTTTGAAGATAAGCACACTCACTCGTATTGCTGCGAGTAGAGCACAACGTCTCCAGAGAGTGGAGGCAGATTAGTATACTAAACTCGATAAGCAATCGAAGATGGATGATTGAAGGAGTGGACGAACGTTCGTGTCTGTGAGGTCCGCTGTCACAAAGTCCGAGTCATCGAAGTCCGCGTCCGCCTCGGGAAGGCTATGCGATGTCGTTCAGCCTCTCGGATAGCATATATAGTGGATGAGACGCACCTGTCCAGAACCTTCCACGCGCCGAGTGTCGGGAGAGCGACGGGATCGGCGGCCTCGATATGAGCGACGTACGATCTGTGCGTCGTGGGGTTGACATCGTAGGCCTTTCCGTTCCAGAACAGCGAGTTCACGTTAGAGGGACCAAAGACCTCAAGAGTAGTAGTACCGTTAGTGTCCCCTGTCTACGACATCATGCTTCATCAGTACTCAAGGAAGGTATATCGATGTAAGGGTGTTCACCAGGAAGAGTGTGTCGCCGGAGATACTTGCGTTGCGTACGAGGTACGGACCCTTCACAAGCACACTAGGTCCCAAGTCAGCATACAATACATCAACATAATGCACGGACACGTACGATGCGTTCGATCCGATCGAGAAGAAGTTCGGGAAGTCGCCATCACCGGGCAAGATGGGCGCGTGCCAGTTGTATGCGGATTTCTTATCCAGGACGATGATAGTGGTCGAACTATTCCCTTCGACGTCAATGTATTGGTCACCGTCCAAAGCGTAGTTTAGGTATAGAAGACCATCTTCATAGGCGGAAGTGGCGGTGGGAGCCTCAGTCAAGCTAACAGTCGGCTCGTTGTCGAGCTTCAGCACCGTCTCCCCATTCTCGCCCGGTTGAGCGTACAGTACCAGGTAGTCGCGATCACCGATCCTAGAGAATATGCGTTCACCATGCGGCATTGGCGTACTATAGTCCGGCTTACGTGGTCCAAGTGAAGATCCTATTGAGCACGTCAGGATAGGATTCTTGTGATGACCATGGAGAACACACTCAGTTGTAGAGTACAGTATCGAAGTATCATCGGTGCCGAAGACGAAATCCGTGACTATGATCTTGCTATCGCGCCCCGTGAGTGTAATGTTGCCGAACTTGGGAATCTCAAGGTCGCCCTCCGACGTGACGACGCTGAGCGAAGTTGAGGTTATCTCAGTCGACCTGTGTGGCGCGTCAATCAGTACTTGTCATCGATCAAGCGCTGAACATACGTGGAGTCGTTATGGCGAAGAACGTAGAACGCCGAGCCGCTCTCAAGGTTGCGAAGTTCGGCCGTGTGAATCGATGACGTAGTGGTGTAGTTTGTTCCGTTGGAGATCAGTGTGGCCCCGGTCAACTCGCGAGCGACGCGGAGGAAAGCACCTGAAGATCTCCATCAATCCCTGCTCAGCCGGGAGAAGTGCAGGGAAGAGTTACTGTACCTTGAAGGCGCAGTTCATTCATCTTCAGCGTAGCTACGCGATTCTCGTTGAGAGCGCCTCCGTAGTCATAGCTTGAGTAGACTGTGGGCTCGGCTAACATGGAGTTGTTAGCGGGGGCATCGGCGAGCACTGGAATACGCCGGACCTGTCTGACCCCAGTTTGTGCCGCCGAAGATCACTATACCATGTATCAGGTGGCACGCATTGCAGTTGTGTCGCTTACACTTACTGTAGATGTTAAAGATCGTCGCCGTCTGCCCACTGTATCACAGATCAATAGCGCAGTCACGAGGCATATGGGTATCTTCGCGTACTATGCATCCTTGTAGAAGATAGATTCTGTACATGTACATGTCAGTTCCGGGGCCCGTCACACTCGACGTGCCGCATTACCGAACTCGCTGTTGTCCAGTGTCGTCGCTGGGCATCTCGGTGAGGGATTATGATGTGACGTAGAGGATATGGAACCCACTATACTTCTCATAACCAGTACCACCCAGCGCATTGGCTTGCCATCCTAGGAGCTTTCCATCGCCGAACTGTAGAACGGGGGTTCAAAAGCTGTGAGCGACTGGCACGCGTCCACTATCTAGCGTGTCGAACCTCAGCCAAACAAAGTGGGTTACTTGGCGCCTCGGCTTTATGGTAATCATAGTAGACAGTTTGGGTTTGCGCCCATTTTGATTTCCCTTGCGGATACGTGTCACCGCTACGACGCAATGAGAATAGGAAGTAATGCGTATCAGGTAGTAAAGAACATACCAGTAGATGTCGACGGCTCCTTGGCCACCTTTATCCGGACTGAAGTTACCAGCTTGTCCCGAGTGAATGTCGTTGTGCGTTAAAGCTATTCGGGCATGAGTTGAGCATGCACGAGAGGAGGACTCTGGATGGGACGTACGAACAACGATGCCGTTTGCTCGAAACGTGTCAATGACATGCTGCATATAGTCGCTTCGGCCAGCCCCAGCGCTGAACTCGTTCTCGGCTTGTACCAGGATCACTATGACGAGTCAGTATACTGTACGTCGGCAAACGAGTTCTGATCACGCACCTGGGCCGCCGTTGGTAATCTGATTCCTCGCTATGATCTTGGAGACGGAGGTCAGGTACGGCAACCAGGCTTACAATTCGGCCTCAGTTCACGCTGGCCAATGCTCGGAGACTACAAGTCGAGACGTACCTTCTGTATAGTTGACATCATCGGTCCTCAAGCTTCCTGCGATGTTGCCTACCCATCCCGGGAACCCACCGCCGGTCGTTTCGGCGTCTGTACGCTAGTCAGTATCCCACCGAGGGTGGTCAAGAAAGAATGCGCACTGATATACGGTCCGGGTCTGTGTATCCGAGCGTAAGTGTCTGAACTGAGATCGCCCGTAGTGGTCCTCACCTCACGATCAACCACAGTCCTGCAGCTTTGGCGTCGTCGATAAATCTCTGAATGTCCCGATAGGTGCCCTCCTGCCAGTCACCTTCGCCGCCGCCAGCGTCCGGGGTAGGATAGTGAAGAGCCCAGTTGATGCAGAAGGACACCGTATTGAAGCCATTCGCCTTGATCTTCCGAAAGACGTCAATCCAGAGGTTCGGGTTCGGCAGGCGCCACGGGTGGAATTCAGCGGAGAGGATGAAGACGCGTTGACCTCGGATGAAGAGCGAGTGCGTGTCCCATTCGACATCTGTGGTAAGGCCGGTGGACCTAATCTGAGCATGGACCGGGGCAAGTAACGCGTGCCATACGCCGCACAACGCGAAGACGAAGCTGAGCGCTCTCATAGCGCTGCACAATGCGAATGGTCACTGTCCGCCGGGTCTTTCTCTCTTATACTGCCCGCTACTGATACCGTAGAATATCCGTCGCATAGACGTTCTTCCAGCACCAGGTACGACAAGCACACCATCGAGCGGTGAAGTGATACTTCATTGCGCAAAACCGCGACGCAACTCTGAGCCGGTCCGTGCGGCCAGCTCTCCCGGCTCATCGAGTTCTGATGGCAATATCCAGACCACCAGCTTCCATAGTAGCTTTCTAGAGGCGAGGAGCGGTCGAAGTGCCACAATTATGACACGCGAGCCAGAGAACCTCGCCGAAAGCCACCAGTGGCAACCCCTTGACCTGTCGTGATGGTAGAAGACAGGACATACTGCACGCGGTTCATCTGGCTTGGGAGTGAGGTAACGCGTGACGCGCGCCAGTTCCTTCGAGGACTCTTCAAGTTCACGATAACCCTCATCGAGCGCCCAGCTATGCGCACCGCGTCAACTCTGGGCTCATGACCCTGTTCTTTGCTCTCTTCTCGAACGCCCCTGGAGGAGAAGGTTGGGAGAGCGTGTACCCCGCGATGCCTCGTGTTGTAGGAGGGGGTCCGGCTCGCAGACGAAGGTTCTGCGGCGACAAACAAGACACCTATAAAAGACGGCTGGCATGCGCCCTTTTCCCTACAGTGCCACGCTAGTCGATGGAACTAGGAAGACTCAGTACAAATGTGTGCCACTCCCGTACATATATCGATCAACCTACGATTGATCTAGACCATGTAGACAACGACCATGTCGACGGACGAACCAGTACCCAACGCTATCCGCAATTTCGGCAAGCCTTTCCACGCCGCCGACGCGGACATCATATTTCGCTCGAGCGATAACGTCGATTTCCGCGCGCATCGTACTATCCTCATTCACGCGTCACCATTCTTTGCGTCTATGTTCGCGCTTCCCGCCCCGGTCGCTGGCACCGCAGGAGACGATCGGAAGGACGGCCTGACGGTCGTGTCAATGACCGAAGACGAGGTCACCCTGCGCCACCTCTTGTGCCTTTGCTACACCGCTCTACTTCCTTCTCTCGATACCATGGACGAGCTGTCTTTGACCATACGCTTGACGCACAAGTTCGAATTGGGTGGCGCAACAGCCATCGCCAAATATAGGTTACTCGCACTTGCAGTCAGCGATCCAGTGCGTGCCTATGCCCTTGGGTGGATTCTGCAGTCAAAGGAGGTCGTGCACGCCGCTGCGAAGGAATCGCTCGCAAAGCCCCTTTTGGATATCTCGGCCCAACCGGAGTATGAGCACATTCCTGCATCAGCCATCCTCCAGCTTCTCGCATACCACCACCGTTGCCTTCGTGCCGTACCAAATGGTTCATCGTTACTCGCTTGGGCCCCGGCGGATTCGCTGCCTGCCGCGATGCTGCATCCTCACGGTGGCAATAATGTAAACAATGCGGGCCGTTGCAGTTGTTCGAGCTATACCTCAGCAACATTCTCTGGAGGCTCTCGCAATATCAAGCACTGGCCACTAGCCTACTTGGGCCTTGCAGTTTCCGATCTCCAGCGAAATGTTCGGGGGTCCACTGTCAAGCGTTTCTCAACACTACAAACCACAGTGACCTCAACATACCTGTTCAACTGCAGTAATTGCAGAGCCGCTGCCAGCGCAGCAATCGAGACGTTGTCAGAATCTCTTGCCACTCATGTGGAAGGCGTCATAACAGAAGTGGGTCATTTCAAACATTATACTAATCTTGCAATACTGAAACCGGTGTTCAAGGCCCTGGATGGGTTACAGACTCCTTTCTGAGCCGATACCGCGCGAATATTGACACGCGACATTTTGTCCTTCCCTGTTCTTCCACGATCCGGATGTCCTAAGTTATGTACGTATACAGTACCTTCCCGGACTACCAGGCTGGTGTTAGATCGGTGTTGCCGTTGATGCCGTAGAAAGTGAAAGTTGCCCGGTGTCAGACAATCCGTCTCGCGATCTGCGCCGCAGGGAGGGTATCTAGCTGTACATAGAGTGCCCCCAGAAAGATATACATATAATCTTTATTTGTCTGATGGTGGAAGGCAACTCGCTCTCGTCGGCTCCGCCAACTCCTTGAAGCTTGAGTCCGACTTGCGCCTGTCGTGCTCGACTCGGCACTGGAAACCCTATCGTCTGGTGCTCGTACACATACGCGTTTAGTCACTGCCACCTGTGTCGAAGATAAAGTCACAAGCTTCGGGCCATCGCAGTCTTGGATACGGCGTACGAGATGATCGTCTGACCCAGTTACCGGTCAAAGTCGTCTCCGAGCCGGAGACGCGCCGGTTATAACAAGCCATCACCCCGCGTTCGTCCAAACAAGCGCTCCTGCACTGCTTCCCCGCCTTCTGTCTCCTACCACGTAGTCTGTCGCTGCCAAATATGTCCATCAAGACGCCCATTACAGAGCTTTTCGGCATCCAGCACCCCATCCTGCTCGCAGGTACGTCCCCCGCGCGCTAATCACAGTTCATATTCTGAGACAACGCGGTCCCCCGCTCACAGGTATGAACGTCGCTGCTGGCCCTGAGCTCGCAGCGGCAGTCACGAATGCGGGCGGTCTGGGTGTCATTGGAGGAGTGGGGTACACGCCGAAGGTTCTGCGCAACCAGGTATGTGCCGCGCACTACCTCTTTCGCCACATAATTCTCACTGCGAACGGCACATCTGCAGATCCATGCCATAAAGAAGGACTTGAAGGACAAGAACGCTCCCTTCGGCGTCGACTTGCTCATTCCTGCAGTTGGCGGTAACGCTCGCAAGACGAACGTACGTTTATCACATGCGAATGGTTCCGCTGGTTTGCTGACTGTTCGGGTAGTACGACTACACCAAGGGTCAACTGCCGGAGCTCATCGACATCATCATTGAGGAGAAGGCGAAACTGTTCGTATGCGCTGTCGGTGTTCCCCCGAAGGAGGCCGTCGACAAGCTGCACTCGGCTGGTATCCTCGTCATGAACGTGAGTGCCTCATCGCCAAGGAAAGCCATGACCTCGTATAATAATATTCATTTCATAGATGGTGGGCCACCCCAAACACGTTGCAAAGGCGCTCGACGTTGGGTGTGATCTCATCTGCGCACAAGGTGGCGAGGGTGGTGGCCACACCGGCGACGTTCCCTCCTCGATCCTCATCCCCGCTTGCGTTGACGCGGTGAAGGGCCGCACATCTCCTCTGACCGGCAAACCCATCTACGTGATCGGTGCCGGTGGTGTCTACGACGGTCGCGGACTGGCTGCCAACCTCATGTGGGGCGCACAGGGCGTCTGGGTCGGCACACGTTTCGTCGCCTCCGAGGAGGCTGGCGCATCTCCCGCGCACAAGAAGGCAGTTACAACCGCCGATCATGGTGACGCGATCCGCACACTCATCTACACTGGTCGCCCGCTGCGTGTACGCAAGACGCCATACGTCGAGGACTGGGAGACCAACCGCCAGGCGGAGATCAAGGACCTCACCAGCAAGGGTATTCTTCCGAACGAGCACGAGATGGAGCAGCACCCCGAGAAGCGCGTTAAGGCAGTAACCTTCCTCATTGGTTCAGTATCCGCCAACATCAATGAGGTTCTGCCCGCGAAGAAGATCATCGACGATATGGTAGCTGTCGCTGTCGAACAGCTCCAGACGCGGAGCGCTGCCATCACGACAAAAGCTAAACTTTAGGTTCAGGGTCCCTCGGGTAGATGTTTGTACCATGGTATCTATTGGCGTCGGGATATGATGTGTGTCTCTTTCATGTTCATCTCTAGTCTGATGCTCCTTCTTCGCTTCTTCAAGAATGCATCCTTCTGCGTGCAGGCATCTACGGCGCATATGTGGCGACGAGCAAGTTTCACCGGATGAGAGTATTTGTGTAGGACCATGAAGATGCGCACTGAATACGATACTGGTTCCAAAGCCGAGTCGGGCTACCACGACCTTGCAATCTTTCTCGGCGAACTGCTCCTGGACTAGTTTATTGTGGGCGTCAACGTCAAACATCTAATGCTCCGCACACACTTGAGGTTCGAGTTTCATGTTTGAACAGGCTCCGATATTTCTGAACTTCTGCCAACTAAATCTCTATGACTATGGAATACGCCGGGATCGCAGTAGGTCCCGCGCCACACCTCGCACGATCACGGGCTCCTGCGCGAAGAGTACTAATATTTCCTAACGACGCTTGAACTCCTTAGCTCCGTATCCCTACAGCTGCGCCAGCTTCTTCTCCGATGCCCCTCGAAGTCGCCGGGTTCAGAGCGGCCGTATTCTGCGAGGAACATGCGTTGCCCCAGTTCCACGAGTCCGAGGTTGACGCTGTGACAAGAAGCTGCTATATCCCGAGCGAAGTCGGCAAGGTGAGTATTGTGTATCTCGGTGCTATGTCCTGCGTCTGACGTGAGCTTGCGCGAACAGAAGTTTTCCGTGCAGGTCGAGAACTATACATGGACGGAGGGTGCCAGAGGGTCCGTCATCGTCGACCTTTACGCCGGCTCGCACCTGCTCGTAGGCCACGCCTTTGATCGCGACAAGTTGATGATTCTGTCGGAGGCGCGCACCTCTGGCGCACCTCCAGAGACACCACGCGAAGCTTGGTTTTCACTGCCGTGGACATGATCACCCGTACGTATGTCGCGATGTCACCATCCTTCCGAGCGCTGACCCCCGTCTTCAGACTCCGAAGATAGCGAGGACGAGCTCGCTCAGACTGGGAACCATGCGAGCGAGGAAGATATCCGCAAGGCCTGTACGCTCGAGATACGTATCTACACTGCGAAGCGAAATGGATATACCTACAAGCCTCGCAGTGGTACGAGTCTGATAGAGAAAGAGGATAAGCCGTTGGACGTGGCCAACGAGCAGAATGTCAAAGGAGGACTCCATTCCGCCGGGTTAGTACGCCGTTCGCGATTCTTGATATCACGCGTTGATTTGATTGTCACTAGGCTTAGCCCTTCGCAAGAGCATCACTTTGAAGGAACACGTTGGGAGGATTGGGATCACGTCGAACCTCTCGATAGGCCTCTCGCGTGCTTTCAGTTCATACAACGCCCCGAAGGTACGCATGTCCTCATACAAGCTGAGCGTGACATGTCCATCTGACCAGATCATCTGTAGCGTATATCAAAAATGTCCTCAGGTATGGCAGAGCTCAGATCCAGAAGCGTTCGCGCGAGCCCAGCTGCGTTGGCTTTACGGAGGTCAAACGTCAAAAGCGCACCGATGTTGCCGAGCCTACACAGGTAAGACTCACCCGCAGCGATCTCCTCCCGTTCCACATATGACTATGCTCAGGAGCGGACACGTGCAAAGGGCAAAGGTAAAGCGGCAGCCCCAGCGTCTGCCTCGTCGGGGACTTTGAGCTCGGTGGCAAGTCCAGCATCGACCTCTTGCATCGATGTTGACGCGCCGGTGGCGGGATCAAGTCGACCTGTCCTTGATACGGCCGCGCGCAACGATATGATACGCGAGAACAAGGTACGGATCCATGCATGCGGATCACTTTCTCATGAGATCTTACGCGCGCGGTGCTGTAGGCGTTGCATCAGGACCATGAAGACGCCGTCGCCGAGTTGCAGCTGAAGTTAGAGATGAGGCAGCGACAGGTAAGCTCCTTGTATCTTCCACGCACTTTCAATACTCATCCAGTGCTCAGGCAGCTATGCGTCGCCTTCAGAAGGAAATCGAGGATCTGGAGCGTCAAAGCAGGGAGGATAGGTCTGCTTAAGAGCTGAGCGGGACAACACGACAAGTTGTAAATGATCGGTGTATGATATATTACTTCTGCAGCAGCTGTCTGAATGTGTATACGTATGCGGTTTATCGTTTGCGGAGGAAGCGTGATGTTTTGGCACTTGATTGGCGCGGCGCGGTGCCACGCGAGCCACGAGGCTATCAACCGGCGTAGCGGATTGATCGCACATGTCTCCGTCATCCGGCGCGGGTGTATGTATGTCTCAACCCCGACTCGGACAGATAGAAAGACCGCAGGAAGTATTGGGAATGTGGCAACGAATGGTGATCGCGTAGACTGCTACATGCATACTACGAATCAAGGGCAAAGGAGTAGTCGCTTCAGAATGTTACGGCCCTGGGGAACATCGCGCTCAGAGCCCTTCGAAGTCGTACGCCAGTCTTCAAATCATTCACCGCCTCAAACTGACATCCGCACGAGCCAGCTCGTCGTCAACGAACGCGACGTCAACATGATCTCGATCTCCAGCGCTCGGACTAGCCCGCTGACCAGACCCGCTCGAACAAGAGTGGAGCGCCGCGGACCCAAATGCGCTCGTGATAGCAAGTCTCAAGACGCCGAACGCGGGGCGGGGCTCGAAACATACGCGGAGATAGGGCTCATCGGAGACCCGAGGCGTCAAGTAGACTCAGGATGGGCTGAATCGGGCGCGTTGTACTACAATACTGTGCGCGGAGGCTCGGTGCGACAAAGACGCCGCGGCGCCTGGTGCGTCGACGAGCACAGTCCTCGGCGGCCTTGGATGATGTGCGCTGAGTTCTGCATGTTGAACTCGGAACGGAGCTGAACATATCATCCCAGCGCGATCGCGATGTCTCGGGACACGGAGCCACGACTGTGGCCCCAGTGCGCTCCGCGCCTCTCCGCGCGCCGTTATACGATCGATGAATATGCGCGCACGCGCCACATTGATCTGTAGCCGCTAACTCGAACAAGCTTATACGTGACCGCTAGCGCAAAGCCAAGCACTTGTAGTCTTTGACTCGACCTCTTAGCTAGTCTTACAGTAGCTCCCCGTCTTTCCGCTCGTCCGAACTTCGGGCCACAGGATCGACCCGAGGTGTATCCGTCTTCTGTCGCTGAGTGGCGAGGAGTGGGAGGGTTGGAGACGCGGTAAATCGACCGGCTGTTCGCGGCGGGATGGAGCGTGTATGACAGGACTGCGCCTTGGATGTCGGGAGTGTGGCGCGCGTACGTACGGTCAAAGGAGAAGCCGAGGAGAAAAGGTCATCTGCGGGGTGAGAAATGTTGTCAGGAGCGGCTGGCTATATGCGCTCTGAACTCTGTATTTCGAACATCGATTGGGCGCTCAGCGGAGAGGTGGCTAATGCACGCGAAGGGCGTACCTATACGCAGAAGTGCAAGTATAGCGCTATGAAGCCGAAGTGGGCGTGGCATCCGAGCAAAGGATGCCAGACGCCAAAGGAAGCACGGACCGCATCTCGCGGTCAAGTTGGTAGTCATCTGTCCCCTCCAATCGTTCGCAAGCCCACCAGGTCAAAGGGTTACCGCCATCGGGCCCGTATCCAAAGCCAAAGGCGGGCGCAGATGAAAAGATGGTGCGACGATGAAGAGAGATGGGTGGATTGTATGCGCATGTGACCGGGTCAGCAGAGTGAGGCGCGCATCTCAGCCATCTTTTCAATCGCACGGCACAATGGCCCAAGTGATGGGTCGGATTCGTGTGTTAGCATTTTAGGGCACTTGCTGTACTGGTGGGGCGCGTCACGAGGTGTGCGGAGGCGCCGTAACACGTACGGAGAGGCGGGGCGCGTGCGCGGATGGGGAAAGGTGCGGTGGGTGGGTGAGTATTGAGGCTTTTAGTGTGGTCGTTGGGCATTGGTAGAAGAAGAACGTGTGTGTACAGCGAGAGGCGCTCGAGAAGCACAAGGAGGGCGGGGGCGATTGGGTGTTCGGGTACTTTGCGGCGTGAGTTCTGCTCGGAAACGACGCGCGAGTTCGTAGACTCGAGGTTCTCGAGTTTCCAACTCTCGTGCACCTCACACTCGCTGTCGTTTTCCGAGAAGCAACGGCGTGCTTTCCGAACAGCAGCGTGTGTTTGCCATCGGGGTAGATCTGTTGGGTCAATAGACTCACGAGCCGGCGGCACGGGTACTACTGTATCGCGCGCGAAGTGTTCGCGGGGAACACGAGGATTGGCCGTGGACGCGACGCAGGGCGTAGCACGGTTGCTGGTCCAGGAAAATCACGGGCATTGGGCTACCATACACCCAAACATCACGAGGGACTTGCGCAGCGCGTGCGGGGAAGGGCTAACTGTATGGAAGTGCGGGGTAATTAGGGCCGCACAGTGGACAATTCGAGGTCGCGCGTTCGCAATAGGAAGAAGATTGCCCTTGGCCGTGGAGATTGCGGCTGGGTGGTATGAGGGTGGGCTTTTCCGGCGAAGCCTGGGAGGGTATATACGGGTTAGCTTGGTTAGTTCGGTGAGGAAGAAAGGCTGGGATAGTCGCAGGGCCGGCGATTCGTTAGCTGCTGTGAGGCAGAAAGGGCATGTAGGCGCTAGGGCGCATGCGGTCAACAAGGCCCGCGGGCGGGCCGGCTGTACAGCTGCATGCAGATGAACGATCCCCTGGCGGCGACCTGTGTTGCTGTGGCCGTTTGGCAATGGCAAGCACGCAGGCGGGAAGCATGAGGCTCGGGCAAACACGGGACGCAAGAATGACGGAGACAGCGGTATTGTGCCGGCAACGGAGAGGTGCATGGCCTGCTGTGCTGGAGCTTGAGGCTCTCGCGTATTGCCAATGCGCAGAACCTAGCCAGGGCGCGACGAAATCTGCGGGACATGCATGAGGCGGCGCGAGCGCGATACGAACAGCGCTACATGTCAGATTGCAGGAACTGATGTGTGCTCCGGTTCATGTTTCGTTTGAGAGATTGAGGGGTCCGCTGGCTGTACACATAGGGCCCGAGCCGAAGTGGGAAGGTAGGGTACGGAGAGGCTTCCGGATAAGGCGGACGTGCGAGAGCGGACAAAGGAGGCAGACAAAGGTGTACGCGTATCGATGGCTCGGAGGCGCGCTACTACTGTATACGCATTTCTTGGTGCATGTGCATGCTCGCGTTTGGACTCAGTCAGGGCGGCCGGATCATTCGTGCGCGGGCATCCCGGCGCCGAGCGACCGGGTGGGTAACGATCGGGACGAGCAAAGAATATTCATAGACAGCGAGGGCGGGAGGTGGGGCGACGTCGAGCTGGAGTAGGTCGACGTCGGGGGCTATGGATATAAGCGGGCGAGCGGCTACTCAAGAGGAGAGGTTCCGTTCGGAAGGTGGGCGGCAGGGACGGTCAATCGGTAGCAGTACCGGCACGTGGAAGGGCAGGGGCACGGCATTATAATACTACCCTTCCCTTTTTCCATGCGAGAGCCTCGCACCTCCCCGACAACTACGCGCACTCTGTCGCCACACACATCCGCCGTCGCCGCCGTCGACGAGCGCTTACGAACCACAGCCAGCGCCGGTAAACCACTTGGCGGCTGATCTGATTTTTCACGAGCCGGTCTGACATCCCGACTCCACCTCCTCGAGACTCGACTTCGGCAGTCCGCCTATTTCGTCACTTTCCGTCCGACCACCATCTTCAACATCACGACCTCACGCCTCTACCGCTCGCCATAGCCATGGCCAGCTATCTACCTCTACTGCTCTCGTCGGTGTCTTCGCAGCACATTCCCAACGACGACACGAGCCTCTCGACCCAGGCCCGGGGCCAGGTCGATTATCTTAGTCACGAATGGAACGAGGAGGATGTCGCACGTTCGTGGCGGAACATGACGCGCCAGAAGAACGAGATTGCGAACGGGCCCCGCCTGGAGAACGCAAGTTGGCGGACGTGGTGGAAGCAGAGGAATAAACTCAAGACCATCTCGCCAGAGACGCTCAACTGGTGAGTTTGGATTTCCTTTGTTTCATCTTGGCCATTGCGGCGGCGGGGACGTTGCGTGCAAGTCATGTGCGAGCGGTGGCGGGGGGGGCGAGGGGGAATAGTCGGCCGGCGATCTCGCCTCTGATGCGCGGCATCCAGCAGCTGTCCATTTACAGTTGCTCGCCAGCTACCCGCCGGCTGGCCAGGCGGCATGTCCGCTGCTTAGGACAGTCTCTTTGCCCTCTTCGTCTGCCCGGAGTACTCGTGATTCCGCGACTGTCATCGTGTTCTCTCACGCCTCCCGCGTCATCATCGCGTCGGGCAGGGATGCAGAGCCAGATGATGATACGGAATGCCCATCGCTCGCATCCGCGGCAGGAGTTCTCGCGACTCTTCTTCCGACGTGCCTTGGATACTCTCTTCGTTGCAGTATGTGGCCGAGCTTCGTGCAGTTTGCGTCATGGTTCCATCAAGGTTCGACTGTGGAGTGCCGCCCGTCCGTGTTTTCAGCGGCTATCCTGCATCCAGCACTCTTTCTTACGCGCAAACCTTCCTCGTGGCTTACATTAAATGTGATGCTAACACGGCTTCTCGGTCCAGGCTCAAGGACTCTGATGTCACTTGGCTCTACGGTCCCCTGCACACCGCCATCGACTGGTCACCTCCGCCGAGGCCTCAGGCCGACCCGACGTCGGTCGATAAGGAAGATCGCAGGGCAGAGGATCGCCTCCATCTTGCCGTCGGGCTCGGCGTAAAGCCTATTCTCAAACACCGCACCATCGGCGAGCTTTTGACCAGTGCACTGCCCACTTCTCATGACGACTACACGGCAAACTTCGACGATGGGTTCATCGAGGACGCCGCTGACCGGCCGCCGATAATCCAGACACGGAGCGACTCGAACGTTATCAAGTGGCACCGCGACCAGAATAACCCCATTCGCAAACAGTCGCCGCCGCGGATCGTAGCCGAGGCTTCGCAGGAGCCTTCTGCCACGCCTTCGCCGCAACTCGAGCACCCTCCTGGCTTGCCGCACTCAAACTCTAGTGACTCGGCCAACGGGAGCAGCACTGACCTCGCGGCGCGTGCGAACAAGCGTCACATCACGTTCAACACGTTCGTCGAGCAATGCATCGCGATCGACTCGCCGCCCAATACGCAGAAGAAGAAGCCCAGTCCGGATGGCCGATGGGCGCAGTATGAAGACTACGACCACGATGACGGGTCAGTAAACTTCCTTATCGCGCGTGCGGTGACACTAATTTAGTAAACCTTCATTTCCAGTTACGACGAGGACAGCGAGGCTGGCTTCAATGACCTTGATGACGGCACGATGTTTTCCGATCATGACACGGACGACGAGGACGAGGGACAGCTTGAGATACAGACTGCCGCCGGCCGGGCCCGTACCGCTGCGCAGGTGTACATTCACCAGCCGCCGCCATACCCGCACCACCGTGTGACCGCCCCGACATTCAAGCCGAAGCCGAAGAAGCGCACCAGCAGCACGTCTACTACGCGTGAAGACCACGTCACCATTGCACCTATCGCGCCGACCATGCTCAAGACGACCGGTGTAGGCAATCATTACCTCGGCGTCGACGACCAGAACAACCTCGTCTACATGCCGCCGATGCACACGCCCGGCTCGGGTCACAACAGCCCCGCGCGCGTTCTCAGCTCAGAAGACGTCTACCGCCACCGAGAGGCGCGATGGGCAGTCAACGGCAACCACGCCGGCTCATCTTCTTCCACGTCTTCTAGCCGCAGCCCGCATCGTCCTCTCGTAGCATCGCCGCCAAGCGACTCGGATGACCTCACCGATCTGCCCACCGCTATCGCACAGGCGTCTCCGATGCCTTACGGTCCTCCATCGCCCGGCGCCGGCTTGCTTCTCAAGCCCGGTGCACTACCGAACGGTGATGAGGATGACGTGGCCGCGCCGTCCGTTCGTAACGGGGATTACTTCGGCGTCGCTGCTGCTACCGCACAGCCGATCTTTAGGCATGACAGCCACGAAGACCTCGTCGACATCGATGTTCAGGAGGTCGAGACATACCAGCCGCCAAGTGAGGATGATACGCCTCCCACTCAGGCGCGATCACCGCCCAGGCCGACGCTCAACGTTCAGCAGCCGTCGGTATCGGTCGTCGTTGACGAGCCGTCGCCCCGTGTGGGGCGGGAGAGGAGTAGGAGTCGCAGTCGTTCGCGGAGTCACAGCCGCACGCCTAGTCCAGCCGACCTCGCGCTCGAGCAAGCCAGGAGAGAGAACAAGAGTTCTGCACCGGTATCCATTCCGCGGCGCGCGAGTAGCCAGGAGGCGCTCCTGTCGCCCGACCGCGCAGGCGCACCGATCGCCAGGAGTTACTCCATGGACGGTGTCGGATCGGGTTCCGAGCGCGGGCGTGCGAGAGATAAGAGCGTGTTGAGTGACCGCGAGAGGAGCGCGAGTCGGACGCCTGGGACGGGCAGCCCGTTCGGTAGCGTTTCTCCTACGGGTATCGCGGGTCCCGCTGCGTATTCTGGCGGAGGGAGGAAACGCGTTCGTGAGGAGGGCGAGAGCTCGAATGGGCGTGGGAGGCGGCGCGCGGGGAGCAGCGATAGCCTGAACAGCGCGACTTCGTCGCAGGCTGCTTCGAGTGTCAGCCCCGTTGGCCGCAGTCCTGGTCCTGGTGCTTCGGGTGATATGAGGAGCCTCGATGCGGGCGTCGAGGAGAGCAGGAGAGGGAGTGTACCTGCGCCTGTGAAGGTTCCGCCTACGATCGGAGAGGAGGACGAGGCTTGCTCCGCGAGTGGCAGCAGGGTCGCGACGCCGAGGGCGGGAGAGGTTACTCCCACGCCGTTCAACTCTCCGATGAAGGCTGTGGAGCTACCGAGCGTTGCGAGCAGGTTGCAGGCGAGTCCTCCGACGAGCCCAATCAAGGAGGTGCCGACGAGTTCGGCAGCGCCGGCGACCGCACCCGCACCCGCGACTGTGGCGACGAACCCGCCTGCGCCTGCATCCTCTGCAGCGGCGGTGCCGTCGACTGCGAAGAGCACAAGTCCAAAGCGCATGTACCCGACGCCAGCGAGCCCAACGACCGCGACGTTCACACAGCCCGCGAAACGCGAGCGCACCGCGAGCGGCGAGTCCGTACAGTCCGGGAGCGAGTCGGAGACGCCGTCCAGTCCCACACTCGTTGGGCGCGCGGCAAGCGCTGCGAAGGGGTTATTGGGAAGTATCTGGTAGTTGTTGAGGATAGCATCTGAAGAAGAAAGGAAGTGGATGAAGGACCCTCCGACTCCGAAGACTGGATACCTTACCGTACGACTTTGTCTCTCCCGCTCCCCCCGCACGTCGTCTGCTGCTACATACTCCCCCCCTCCTCGCATAATTTCACCCGGTCCTGTTCTGTTGCATTCTCCCAGTTGTGTTGATAGTGTGTTTGTGCCATCTCTCTGTGTTTGATTACTGCACGGCGTCTCTTTCTCGTATCGAGCTCGTACGACTCTCTGTCCGGTCTCATCTCACTCTTCCCGACACGCATCCAGCATGATTCATGTTCTTTTCGACGAGATTATCTATGCAATGTGTTTTGCCGCTTATAGTGCAGGAGTCACCACATGAGCAGTATACCGCTCTGATGCGAGGAATACAGTATGATTTGCAATGCAGTACGCCAGTCCGGCGCAAGTGGGTGAGCCCGGTGGGAGGAGCGCGCTGTAGGGATTTTGTGAGATCCTGTGTGTCAGCTGGCAAAGAGGCGAGCGAAGCTCGCCGACCCATCGCGGATGGTGATAGNAAGAGGCTGTACATAGGATGACTGTGCTAGAATACTGCGGATTTGTAAGCTAGGGGTATAAAAGGACAGAGCTCAAAGGACTCGTTTCGGAGACGATACACAGAGAACACGACCATATTGTACACTACGTAGAGTAGCTGATGCAATAGACGCCCTCACAAGGGCATTGTGTCGAAGCTGACCGTCGGAAACCCAACACGCGCGCTGTGGATTCGGCGTGTCGAGTGACGCCCGTTTTGGCTCTTACCCTCATCTGTGCCCAAACCCAGAGCACAGGGTACGCTGCATCCCTTGAATACCGCAATTGACGCAATGGCAAAACTACTTGGGGTTCTGTCTACATATGGAAGAAGAGACTGCTTCAAACCTGTCGTCGTGGCAAATATGATGAAATATCTCCCTGGCCGTTGTTCCTTCCTTCCTCCGTCGCTCCACCACAGTGCTCGCCGCGCACGCATGATCACTACCTCGGCCCGCGCACGGCGCGCTCGACTTCTCAAATATCAGTAATTGCGACCTGCTGGCTGTGCGGGGTCATTATCGCGTTCCGTGCCTGTCAGCTGAACAAGTCATGTCGCGTTCGCGTCCAGCGGCATCCTGCCGCGCGCGCTGAGAATAGAGCTCGACGTAGTGTGGCGACCGCGCTTATAACGATGTTGAGCGCCGGCGGGCGCCACGGTTCTGCTTTTGGCTTGCAAGTTGCCTTGCCATGATGATTGCCCGTCTTGGTCTCCCGCTCGTCGTCATAGCGGCTCAGAGCGCGCTTGCGGCTGACTTCTTCTGGCCTGATATCACCAATGTGTTCTCGTTCGGAGACTCGTATACGGATAGCATATCGCGCATTGTCAATGGGTCGCTCTCGCCGCCCAATGATGCTGGGGTGAGTGTACTCAAAACGTCATATTCAGCTTGCACTGATGAATTGCTTTGTAGACGGCAGGAGGCGGGCGCATGTGGATCGAGTTCGCGACGCAGACGTACAACGTCAGCGATGTGAATCTTTTCAACTTTGCGTGCGTGTCAGGCTATGCTGTGCGAGCCTCAGTCCCGTTCGCTGATACCTAGCATATAGCTACGGCGGCGCTGTAACGGATGAGACGCTCATCGCTCAGTCCTCTCCAGCAACGCAATCATTCAAAGATCAAGTACGTCCACTCTCCATTCTGTCACTATGAGATCTGCGTACTCAACGTGTCTATAGGTTGGAAATTTCCTTGAGTTCTACGCCAATAACACGGAATTAGCGGATTGGGATGCCAACAATACGCTTGTGACCGTATTCTTCGGTGTGTTGAACGATTGCATCCTCGCTTATGAGGCACTGACTCTCAGTAATAGGTATCAATGACGTGGGAAAGTCGTTCTGGTGGACAAACGAGACGGTCGCTGAGACGAATGCACGCGTCCTCGCTTCTTACTTTGAGCGGCTAGCTTTGCTGAGGGGTGAGGTCAGCCCAGTCGTCGTTTATGTATACCATGCTAATGCGTCTTAGATGCCGGCGCGAGAAACTTCCTCCTGGTATGCCGTTCTTCGCTCAAGAAGATAGCCACACTCTCACGCAAGTCAATATAGTTAGAGGTACCTGACGTTGGGCGCACACCGAATCTCATCAAGCAGGGTCTAAACGGAACACTCCAATCAAATGCCTCCGCCGACTATAACACGCAATTAGCTGCTGCTCTACCCATCTTCGAGCAAAATTCGACCGATGTCGGCGCACCCGTGAACGTCAAGATCCATCCGACGCGCGAAGTATTCGACTTCCTACTGGATAACGCAGATGTACTTGGTTTCCATAATGTCACCGGTGCGCATAGCCGTCTGTCCCGCAGACCTGAGGCCTCACAGCATGCGTTCTTATAGCTGGATGGTGGCAAGGGTTGAGCACAGAGCTTCAGGGCGAGGTATCGCTCGCAACATACTTCTGGTGGAACAAGTACGTTGGCCTTGGTATCTCACTGGGAAGCCAAAGCTGACGGAGCATCTCTGCAGCTTCCATCCAAGCTGGGGTGTACATGAGTGAGTAACACGAAGTCACAGCTGTGTCGTATCGTTGACTGACCGTGGGCATCTAGCTTCCTTGGTCATAGCGTAGCAGCGTTCTTGACGAAGTGGTCGGGGCTATAAACGTAGGTAGATACCATGGATCCTATGGTACTTAGCATATCTCTATCTCAGAGTGGTCTGTGCACATAGCTACGTCTCGAATGTAGTGCATGTATCGTGGGCGGCCTAACACAGCCTACTGCTGCTTTTCCTGACCTTGGTAGCGAAACAGCTCTGAGCCCTCTGCAAGATCCCTGTAGCGCAAGCTTCATCACATACTTCTTCGTATAGTCGTATGGGGTTGCAACGAGTAGTCAATGACTAGATGGGCAATATAACCCGAGAGTCGGCATGGAGGATTTGGACCACGCGTTCCAAACGCCATCCGACAGACCGTGTGGCGCGCGCGTCATCCGGATTCCGCACTTGCCTTCCACCCTCATCTCAAGGGACCGTCAAATGCGCACTTCGCTGCCTTTTTCATGTGACTGACATGGCGAGATCTTCCGCAATACCCTGATGGCTCCGAAGGAAGTCTCTTCCATATACGGACATACACTGTAGCCCGTCCTCGGCAACGGCGGCAGCAGTCTAACCGACTACCATTGGGAATGCTCTCCAGAACCGAGGACCGTCAGTGAGGAACGCTGATATCCTTCACCCATGACCATTCACCCTCTCGCTGCTACGGGCTTCTGCCACAACCTCTACAGCGTACTGACTCGGGCCGTTATCACCGCCCATACTGACTGGGCTGCTCGTGGACATAACATCAAATCCGGGCCGGAAACCCAGCGCTCAGCAGCATCGCCGCGTCCTCGCCTTGTCCTTATATTCCATGTACCTGTATCAAAACCCAAGCCTCTTGAACCGGATGAACCTCGCTCAGCGGGCCGCTTCTGAGATCTGAACCTTTTACCGACTTGCAGCATGAAGGCGAAGTCTTCCGCAAATCAGCTGCCCTAGACGTTGTGCTTTGTACCCCTGGTGCAGGTCAGCCGCCCGTCCTCGAGCTCTGACTTCGGCGGGGGAGCACGTCACAGCGCGCGACGCTCATCTCCGGGTCTCTATGCAAGTCGATATAAGCATGAAAACGAATACGCCGGTGAACCTGATTGCCTGGGTTCGCCATGAGGGCACTCTGCTTCCTCGCCGCCGTGTGCGGCGTTCTGAATGCGCTCATTGCGCCGGTCATCGCGCAAATCAAGTCCACAGGTCTGACTACGGACGTCGAATGGGATCCGCACTCGCTGTTCATCTTCGGGCAACGCGTCTTCGTGCTCTCAGCCGAAGTGCACCCTTGGCGCTTACCAAACCCGGAGCTGTGGGGCGACGTCTTTCAGAAGATCAAGGCGAACGGATTCAACACCGTCTCGTTCTATGTACACTGGGGGTTGCACTTCCCGACTTCTGATACAAACGGAGGCGCAGGTGACTGGCAGGAGGGAAGTTACAGGGACATTCAGAGGTTCATTAACGAGGCAAAGGCTGCGGGACTTTGGCTCATCGCGAGGTGCGTGGCATCAAGGACTTCCGAAAGCTATACACCGACACATACCCTCCAGGCCAGGACCCTACATCAGTATGTCTCTTGTCGTTTGAACGCGGCAACGGCGTCTGATGTACACTAGACGCGGAAACTAGCGGCGGAGGCTTCCCGGGTTGGGCCGGCAACATCGCCGGCAGCGTGCGAACGGATAATGTGAACTTCACAGCTGGTACGCCTCGCTGCGCGTACACAACCTATTCGTTTGTTGAGCGCATATTCAGCATGGATGCCCTATCAAACCGCCATCTCAAAAATCATAGCAAAGAACCAGATCACCGAAGGTGGCCCCAGTGAGCACCGATGTCGCTCCTGTACACAACAGCGGTACTTACCAGCTTCAAGTCATTCTGGTGCAGGCAGAAAACGAGTTTAGCGCCGGCACTGGCCGGAGTGACTATATGCAGGCCGTCATCGACACCTTTAGAGCCAATGGCGTTGTCGTCCGTGCGTGGCCGGTCCGCTTCCCATCGCTCACTTCTGGCCCTGACACTCTTCCTAGCCTTGACATTCAACGATCAACACTCCGGCCAGGCCGGTAACTTTAGCCCAGACAAGGGTGGTCAGGGCGCCGTTGACATATACTGGTCCGTCCATCTCCCGAGAAGCACACTCAAATCGGGCGCCGACCTTGCTTCGTAGTGGCGATTCTTACCCTCAAGGAACGTCAAGATGGTCCCAGACCCAGCTCGTCTACTACGCTTACCATAAAGCGGCGGCTCCGAGTAATCCTCTGTGTTTGGCCGAGGTAGGCAGGCGCGACCCGAAGTTCTTCTTCGGCATCTGATAACCTATAGTTCGGGGCTGGATGGCTTATGGGGTGGAACTCGGGTGCTTTGGGCGGTACGGGTTATGAGAAGTACGGTGAGGTTGCTTCGAGTGTCATCGTTACGTCGCGCCTTCTCATTCTTCCGTAGAGACCACCCTGGACAACAACGAGTATGGTAAGTTTGAGGCTTGAGTCTAAAGGAAGTGTGTGAGATGAACCCGACGATCGCAGAGGCCGTCTTCTACAAGGATGCATAGTGAGTAGACATGTGAATCTCGCGGTACGCTTTCCTAATCGTGTCACAGTGGTCAAACGGCGACCATCTTCAATGTTTACAGTAAGCTCGGACTCTTTACATACCTTCGTGCTCGTCCTGATGATGTTTGTATAGTGGGCTTCGGCGGAACCAACTGGGGTCAAACAGGTTCGTCGACGGCCGATTCTGCTACGTGTGGAGATTGACGGTCTGGCGGTAGCCGAACCCACTGTGTATACCAGTTACGACTATGGCGCCGCCGTCAATGAGAACCGTGTAGCGACGCTCAAGATGAACGAGATGCGCCTTCAAGGTGCCTTCCTTCGCGTCGCGCGCGAGCTCACCGGCACCACCCAGATCTCGAATGGCACCAACTACACTTCATCTTCCCTGATTCACACAGCCGAACTTCGCAATCTCGAGAGTGGATCGGCGTTCTACGTTCTGCGCCACAACGACAGCACGTACGTGCAATTGCGCACACAGTCTACCCGCCGCTGATACTCTCTCGTCCAGCTCACTCGACCTTACAACGACTTCACTCATTGTGAATACATCGGAGGGAGAGCTTGAGATACCGAAGTCCGGAAACATCACCCTCACTGGTCGCGATAGCAAGATCCTTGTAACGGACTTTACTTTTGGCGCTAACGATACCTCTATCCTATACTCCACCGCTGAGTGCGTTACTCAATGCTTATTGTCGGGTAGTATACTGATCTATGTGGTAGGATCATGACTTGGACGACGTATGTCAGGGAGCTGATGCCTTGCTCGCTTGATAGCTGACGATGAGATGCAGAATCGGAGATAGGGACTACCTCGTACTCTACGCGCAACCCGGAGAAAACGGCGAGACGGCGCTCAAGTTTGATACAGAGCCAACGGTCAACTTGACCGAAGCTCCGACCGCCTCATCCTCCTACGATAGTGGTCTTCTCGTCCTCAACTACGCTCTAGATGGAGACCAGTATATCGACATCGAAGGAAACAATTCGATCACTGTCGTTGTTCTCGACAAGACGTCGGCGTACAGCTGGCATGCTCCGATCTTACCTGGCGATGGAGACTTCCCGAATTACTTCTCGATCGGGTCGAACTCGTCGTACGTGCTTCACGATCATCCGTCACCACTCAGAAGCTAATACCCCCCTCAGAGTGCTTGTGAAAGGGCCGTACCTCGTGCGAAACGCGAGCATCTCCGGAGATACCCTGCACCTTGTAAGCGCCCCCATTTACCTGTCTGAACCCATCACTGAGTGCATATATGCTATAGACCGGAGACATCAACGGAACGACAACCGTCGAATTCATCGCTCCGCCTAACCTCAACACGCTGCTCTGGAACGGCGTCTCATACGATCTCACTCCGACATCGCACAGATCCTTCGTAGTGCAGATCGAGGCGGTAGATGCCATTGCTTTGCCTATCCTTGGCACGTGGAAAGTCTCCGGGAGGTGCGTATATGCTGCCCATGGTGGGTGAGACAAGTATCTGATTCTTGGCATGCAGCTTGCCTGAAGTAGATCCCGACTTTGATGAATCGGATATGGTGACGGCGGACTTGACGGCTACGAATGTTCGTCGATCTCACGCTCGGAGGGGCGTGCAGCTGACATCATGTGCAGTACACGAACCTGCCTCCGCTCTCAGGCGACGTCGTACTCTACTCTCAACAATACGAGTGAGCCTCCGCCCCCTCATCGTCACTCTCAACGCTGACGGTCCTCAGCTTCTTCGGAGGCAACCTGATCTTCCGTGGGAACTTCAACGCCTCGGGTACTGAGACTGGCATCAACCTCACGGTCATCGGCGGGTTCGGGTTCGCGTACTCTGCGTTCCTCAACGACCACTTCCTTGGGTCGGGTCAAGGCAACTCGACCGTAGCGCAACTCACGGATGTGTGGGATGTTACCGCCGGTATGCTCAGGGTTGGGCAGGATAATGTTTTGACTGTCATACAAGGTACGCGGCGCCTCGTTCATCGTCATCGTCACGGGCTGATAAATCGCTTTGTAGACCATATGGGGTAAGTGGTATAGCTGGTTGGAAGCAAGAAGCGCTGGCACTGACACTTCGAGAAGCATCGTAGAGACGAGCTGTACGTCGTTTCTTCCGTGTTCGATCGTCCCTTCTCGCTGACACCGCCCTCTCTCAGCCAACAGCGGCAAAGAGCCGCGAGGCATCCGCGGCTACGAGATCCTTGGCTCGAACGCGACCTTCACGTCCTGGAAGATCCAAGGCAACCAAGGTGGCGCGCGTGACGCGCCCGATACGTTCCGCGGCTACCTGAACGAAGGCGGCTTGTACGCTGAGCGCATCGGCGCGCACCTTCCCGGGTTCGATGATTCGAACTGGAACACGAGTTCGCCTCTTGCGTCTGAAGGAGGGGGACTCACTGGTGCTGGTGTGAACTTCTATCGCACTACGTTCAACTGGGTACGTCTACATACCGAACAGTTTCACCTTTCGATGCTCGAGGCTGATCGGAGTGCAGTCTGCTCCGCTCGACGTGGATGTCCCTCTACGGCTTTCGAGCACCCCCAGTGATATCGGCGTGCACTTCCGTGCGCAGATCTACCTGAACGGATGGCAGTTGGGCAAATACGTGAATAACCTCGGGTACGCCTGTCCCTGCTCCTAACGAGAATGCCCTCATTGACGTCTCCTGTAGCCCGCAAACCGTATTCGTACTTCCGCCAGGGTATGTGCCTCCCCCTACGACCGTCTGTGTAGGTGTACGTTCCTGACTGTCCCACAGCATACTCAAGCGCCAAAGCGAGAACACGCTCGCAGTGTCTCTCTGGTCGCTCGATGACGAGCCGGTCGGGTTGGCTGGTCTCGAGTTCATCTCGGACGGCCAGTTCTCGTCGGCTTTGAATCTGGTGGACTATGAGCTCGCTCCTGACTACGCTACTCAGGCTTCTCTTCGCCCGTCTCCTCTTCTTGTCGCACCGATGTAGACCGTAGCCCATGCCTAGTAGGACAGAACGAATGGTACTTAGTAGGAAAGGAATTATAAGAGCATATGGTTGCACATAAATACACGCACAGATGGGCCAGTAAGTAAGTAAGTTATCCCCGGGGTCAACCGAATTGGACTGGGGAAAGGTGGACGAAGAAAATTGCAGGTACATGACAAGATTAGAAAAAAGACAACAAAGAGACAAATGGCCATCGTGGGGATCGAACCCAAGACCTTCGCGTTATTAGCACGACGCTCTAACCAACTGAGCTAGACGGCCGATGTGATAGGATAAAGTAATACGTACGGATCTAAGTGTCTTGCGATAAGCATCCACACATGCCGCGCGTCTTGCTCACTCAGCCGACTCGCCACAAACGATCATGCAGCACTCGTCATCCTCACTCTATCCTCCACCACTCCTAAATCCGCCCTACACACCATGGCCAAACTACTCATAACCTACCGCGGAACCACACGCGAGCTCGAAGTCGAGGAGTCGACCACATTCTCCGACCTGCGCTCTCAGCTTGAGGAACGCTTCGGCGTCTCGCAAGCGAACCAGAAGTTGCTGTACAAGGGCAAGAAGGCCTCTCATGACGGCGATGTGGCGTTGCGCGACGCTGGGATAGTTGAGGGGACGAAGATCACGCTGTTAGGGCCTACGAATGAGGAGCTTGGAGGGATGCAGAAGGCCGAGGACGAGAAGGCTAGGAGGGACAGGATCATGCAGAAGCGCGCGGCGCAGGGGACACCAATGGTGCGCGTCATTTATGAGTACTCTCTGATCAGTACTGACAGGGTATACGTTCAGGTTCGCTCGTCGGGCCCTTCCGCATCCAGTCAATACGTCTTCCATCGGCTGGAGCCACTCAAGCATCTGCCCGAACCCGACACTGCGTTGTCGCTTTTACGCCGGCTATCGACCGATCCGGCTATTCAGCATATCATGCAGACACATAAATTCGCCGTCGGACTGTTAACGGAGCTCGCGCCACACGAGCAACCGCATCTATTGGGTACGTCATATGCGCACTGCAAGCCTCACGCCGTCGTACTGATCAGCAATAGGTCTGAATGTCAATGCCGGACAAGCTATAAAGCTGCGTCTGCGTACGGATCGGTACGATGGTTTCCGAAGTTATAAGGAGGTTCGACGCGTTCTGTGCCACGAGCTCACGCACAACGTATGGGGCGATCATGATGACAATGTGCGTTTTTGCACACATCCGCCAGTTCTCACTGATCCTTACACCTTCTCTCTAGTTCAAAGAGCTCAACTCGCGCCTAAATCGCGAAGTCGCCGAGTACGAGCAGCATTCACACACCCTCGACACCGATCGGCACTACTCCGGCGCGCAATCAGAGCTCGAGGCCGAGGCGCGAGCGTATGTGCTTGGCGGATCTGGTGCTGCGCCGGCGGCGAATGAGTCGGTCGAGGAGAGGAGGAGAAGGGTGCTGGAGGCTACTATGAGCAGATTGAGGAAGGAGGAGGAAGAGCTGGAGGCTAGTTGTGGGACGACGGGCGCTCAAGCGACCGGATCGTGAGAGCTGGAGGTGTAGACTCATTGTTGTGGGTATCGTGTTCTCAGTTCCGGGGGTGTACCAGGATGTAACGCTTCGCTATGCAATATTTTAATTGCTGATTGAGTGTGTACTACGGGTTGAACTCCCCAACATCGCCCGCCTAGCTCAATCGGATAGAGCGTCAGACTCTTATCAGGCGGGCTTGTCTCACTGAAGACATCTGAAGGCTGCGAGTTCGACCCTCGCGGTGGGCTATATCTCAAATCGCATGTCGGAATTTTTTGTCCATGTTACCGAGGCGAGGAAGCCACAGTCAAGGCGAGATCCCTCCTGTTCTTTTTTGCTGTGCTATATCGGCAGGATCTATGGTCGCGCTACTTACTCGTTCGTATCTGCGCACTATCAGGATCATGTCACCGTAAGTAAGTAAAATATAAGATCTTATCGAAGGTACGTGACGTAGTGTCGATTTCAAATGCGACGTCAATCGAGTGCTATGCACCACGTGTGCCCTATGGATCGCGAACTTGGAAGGCAACCACGTACAGCCAATATTATTTGTGTGGCCAGTCACAGGGCCTCAACTCTCGATATTTCGACATGCGAGACACGGAAGATGACGCCGGGTATGTACGATTTTCGAGGTGGAGAGCACCTGTGGACGATGAATGCTTCACCTTGAAGGCTGTTGGGCAAAAAACTCGGGTCTATCACTCTATAGCCCACCGCGAGGGTCGAACTCGCAGCCTTCAGATGTCTTCAGTGAGACAAGCCCGCCTGATAAGAGTCTGACGCTCTATCCGATTGAGCTAGGCGGGCATTGAACGCTGCGCAGAGCACGCAAATACGGACGGCGTGAGGATGAAGCGAGGACTCGTATGCGGTTTGGCGCCGCTACTTTGCGCCTTACGAGGGTTCCAAACCCAAGGTAGCCCTCTTCTGGGTGACCGTCATACTGTCGATGCTATGTAAGTTTAAAACACGTTCGTGTTTCGTGGGGAAGGGTCTTGTGCTGACATGGACGAAGGAAGCTGGAGGAGGACGGATAGACAGTGCGGTTAGACATATGCATACGACGTACCCTGTACACACAGCGCAGCACTTGATACGCGCTCCGACGATGTAGTCACAGGATCGGCCGGTAGTGGGCAGTGGGAGGCTGTACTCGCGCGCGCGAAGTTCGAGATCGCGTCGCGTACCCCATAAAATCGCCAGAGACTTCGAAGAACGTACGAGGTCCCAGACTACATCTCTATCATGAAGCAGAATAAGTGATACAACACCGGAGCACACAAACTCATCGCCCAAAGCACGGTTCTGTCTCGCTCGCCCGAAATTTTAGAAAAAAAGCGACTCGTCGAAATTTGCTCGCATTCGGAAGCGGGAACAAAAGACACAACGAGAGGCTATAGCCCACCGCGAGGGTCGAACTCGCAGCCTTCAGATAATCTATCCCGCCTGGTAAGAGTCTGACGCTCTATCCGATTGAGCTAGGCGGGCGATGAATGGTTTTCGGCGGTTACAGTTAGCATGTGCGAGATGGGTTTCGCTTCCACCTCTGCCACTCGTGCTACCATTCACGGCTGTCACGTTTCGGAGTATGACCAGAAAGGCTCGTTGTAGGGCGTGACGAGGACGGGTGGGCGGCAGAAGGCGTCGGCGGCCGGATGTCGACGGATTTGGATGGGAAGAGAACGACGCTCGAGAAGGCCGGGATCGTCGGCTGAGGAACGTCTGAACGGCGCTCAAAGAATGTTACTCGTCGTATTGAGTGCGTTGGACACAGAACGTATCGACTCCAGAGCGAGGAGGTGGTGGTCGCGGTCCAAGCATCCGTGAGCGCCGCCCGCCACCTTTAGTTTGGCGCCCATAAAGCGTGACCGCGCCCCTCACGTGCCAGTTGAGATGGTGCGGCAAGAGGCCACCGGCCGTCCGGCTCGTGTCTCCCTCCACCTCCCACCCGCACACACCCACCACGCGCCTCTACGATGGCCTACCTGGAGACGCCCTCGCGCATCATGCGGCGCTTTGAGGCGCAGGCGGGGATGGACATGCCCTCTTTGCCCTCGCTCCCCGCGTTCGACGAGGAACCGGAATCCGGGCTGGAGGACAGCGAGGCGAGCCGACTGTTGTCGGACGACGAGCAGCCGCTGCAGTCTACGCCCGCGCCTACGTCCGCGCAGAACACCGCGCGGCTGAGCGCGCTGCAGAATAGCGCGTCGAGCACGGCGCGGTTCGCGCATTCGCTCGCGAGCCGCACGAGCCGGTCGCAGCTCTCGTCCAACTCCCAATCTCAATCCGCATCCCAGTCCGCATCGGCTTCTCTGCGCAGATCGGGCGCGGGGAACGAGATGAGCTTCAACGATGTCAGTCCTATTGCGGCGCGGCCGCGGTTTGGCGGGGTCAGGGAGTTGAGCCGGTCGGGGTCGTCGTTTGGTAGTGGTGGGGAGGCGGATGAGTTGAGTTTGTCGGACGCGTTGAGGGATCTGAGTAGTAATAGTGTGCGGCCGGGTGTCGACACGCCGCAGTCGAAGAAGAGAGACTATTCGGGGATCGGGCTCAGTCCTTCTGTAAAGGTACATCTCTACCACATCCATTCTATCGAATACGCTGGTCTAAAGGAAGAGATAGATGTCGCCCCTCGACAAAATGCGGCACATCACAGCCCGCAAACCGCTCCCGCCCCTCCGCACGCCTTCTCTATCACGCACGACGCCCTCGCCCACCAACTCGTCCCCGGCCAACTCCACGCCCCGCTCGAGCGCCTCGCAAGATCTGCCCGCGCCGATGCCCACGCTGCGCTTCGACTCGCCCAGCACCGTCCCGCTCCCGCCCTCCCAAGAGCCGTCGCCCGCGAACGTGCGGTACGAGCGGTCCAGCACGGGCGGGTCCATCGCAGAAGAAGAAGAGGAGGAGACGCATCACCCTTCCCAGAACTCAAATAACTCGAACTCGCGCGAACCGACGTTCTCATCCGAAGAAGCCAACACGCCCCAATCGGCCCTCTCCCTCCGCTCCGCCCTCGCCGCCTCGCCCATCCCCTCCAACGCCCTCTCATCCGCAACACCCTCGACGCTATACACGCCCACACCCGCCATCGCGCCCCGCCCACGAGCGCGTTTCGGCGCCACCACCACCACTACAACCAATGCGAACCTTATTCCTGAGACGCCGCGAGTGGGAGGGGGAGGAAGTGGAGGGGTGGAAGACGACTTCACGACGCCCTTCGCCCGCCGCAGGAGTTTCCTAATGGACGTCATAAACTCGACCGCCCGCCCGCGCTTCGCCGCGCCGACGCCCCACCCGCGGCACGGGCCCGCGATCTCGGAAGAACCCGAGAGTGTCAGCGTCGCCAGCGGTAGTAGCGGTAGCGCACGCCAGGCTAGTCAAAGTCCTAGCGTCGGGCAGCCCGGAAGCGGGAGTAGTGCGCGCGCGGCGAGTGTCGAGCCCGACGGCGACGCAGACGAGACGCTCGACGCGCCGCCGCCCGCGCGGCTGCCGTCCGCATTCGTAGGCCTGACCCCGAGCGCCCGCCCGCGCGTCCGCTCCCGCGCGCGCCTCTCGCACCCCCTCGCGCGCACATTCGCCCCCATCACCTCTCCCTCCTCCAACGACCTCGACGCCGACAATGATCTGGATGAACGACCTAGTTTCGCCTCGACAGCCTCCTCGCACGACCTCGTCCTCCACGCGCGCGCCAACGCCTCCTACGACCCCTCCACCGGCCTCGGCTCCCTGGGCCTCGGCCGCTTCGACGCCGCGAAGCTCAACGCATATCTCCACGGCCTCAACCGGCGGCTGCAGGAGGAGAGCGAGAGCCTCGCGGGGCAAGTTGAGGTGCTGAAGAGTGAAACTGTGGAGCTGGCGGAGGAGAACGCTGTGCTGGCGATGCAGTTGGAGGAGGCGAGGAGGGCGGTTAGGAGGGGGAGTGGACAGCGCGGTAGAGTCAGTGACATCGCTACTACACTACAGGGAGTTCAAGAGGATGTGGGCGGCGAGGGATGGATGGAGGAGAAAGCGGCGCTCGAAGACGAGCTCGAGAACGCGCGGTCGGACGCCGAGCGCTTGAATGACGCGTACGAACGCGCTGCGCGGGAATTGGAGGAGGAGCAGGCTGCGCGCGCAGCAGACAGGGAGAAGTTCAGGGAGCGGATGGGCGAGGTCGAGAGGGGCGTGCAGGGCATTATTCAGGATTTGGAGGCGAGGGTCGAGGCGGCTGAGGCGCGGGCTGCTCAACAGGCCGAACGGATCAAGGAGCTTGAGAGGGAGCTGGCGGAGGAGAGGGATGCGCGCGCGTTCGAGCATGCACGTGCAGAACGCGCCGAGTCGAATCTCGCGAACAACGAGGACCTCGGCGGCGAGCTGCGCGCAGCCAACGAGCGCCTCGCCACCGCGCACGCCGAAGCCCGCGCCGCGCACTCCCAAATCGCCACCCTCGAATCCGAGCTCGAGCGCCTAACAGACGCCCTCGAAGACGCGCAATCCCGCGCGCAAGACGAGCGCGACAACACGCGCAAGCTCCAAGAAGAGCTCGACGCGCGCGAGGCGAACCTCAGCTCGATGGAGCACCACGTCGGCTCGCGCGAGACGGCGCTGCAGCAGCTCGAGGCGGAGCTCGCCGAGGCAAGGGAGTACATCGCGGAGCTCGAGGCGGAGGGGAACGCGGTTGTTGAGCGGGTCGAGGTGTTGGAGGCGGAGCTGGGCGAGGTGGGGGCGTGGGAGGGGGAGAGGGGGGTGTTGGAGGAGGAGGTGGGGAGGGTGAGGGATGAGGCGGAGAGGAAGGAGGAGATGGTGAGGGAGATGGAGGAGGCGCTGCATGAGGCGGAGAGGAAGGCGAGGGAGGACGAGGCGGCTTTACACGAATTACAGCGCAAGGTCTCGCACCTCGAACGCGAACGATCGCGCCTCGAGCACTCCCGCTCCTTCCACAACGCCAACGCCCAAACCACCTCCACCTTCAACTCCGATGAGGAGCGCGAACGCGAGCAAGAATACGCCGCCCTCGAAGCCGAGCTCGAGTCCGCCTACCGCCACATCGGCCAGCTCGAGTCGCAACTTTCACAATCGCCAGCACGCGAAGCGCTCGAAAAAGCGCGCGAGGCGAGGATAGAGATGTTAGAGCGCGAGCGGGACGAGCTGGTCGAGCGCGTTAGGGTTTATGCAAGGGGGATGGGGCAGACGCCCAGTAAGATAGGTGGTATGGGAGGGTTGGGGAATACGAGTATCTCGCCGATGCATCGGGCGGTGCTTAATATGACTATGCATGCGCCGAGGACGCCGGGCGCGCCTTTACGCGACGTACGCATTTAACTTTCTGTTCGCCTCTGCGCTCCATACTAACCGCATACACAGATGTCCTGGCTCCACTCGACCGCCCCCGACCTCACGACCTCGCCCTACCTATCCGAGATCGCCCGGCTCCAATCCGAGCTCGACAAAGCGAACCTCGAGATCGACGCCAAGCTCGACAGGCTGAACGACGCGCGCTTCGGCGCCGTCGAGCTCACGCAGCAGCTCGAGGAGGAGCGCGAGCGGACGCGGGGCTTGGAGGACGAGGTGGCGCGGCTGGGGAGGAGGGAGGAGAGGAGGTGCAGGAGGCTGGGGAGGGTGCGGTGTCGCGGGTGTAGGAGTAGGGTTGATGTGGGGGTGCTGGGGTTGGGCGGGCCGTTGGATGCTGATGAGAGGTACGCTTTTCATCCTACTCAACGAAGCAGCGCTAGAGATACTAACGATCACCGACAGCTCAATCGTGGATCAGTCGTCAATGCTCTCAGTCGTATCCGATGCGCCCAGCCGTTCACCCGAAACGCTCAAGGCCGAGCTGCGCGCTGTGAACAAGGAGCTTACGCTGATGAAGAAGCAATGGCTCGACGAGAAGCGGCAGTTGATGGGCGATAAAGCCGTCCTGCAGGACGCGGCGAGCAAGCTCAACTCGCAGATGAGGGAGGTCGAGCGGAGGGCGGACGATGTGGAGCGTGCCGGCGAGCGTGTGCGTTCTTCACCCTTCACCCTGTTTTGGGTGTGAAAGCTGATTTGCGGTATAGGAGCTCGAGGAAGCGAAGCGCACGATCGCGGAGCTCGAGGACGAGCTTAAAGCCCAACGCACGCGCATGCGCTCATTGACGACCGAACAGTCCCGCGCCGAACGCGAGCGCGAGAGCGTGCTTATGAAGCTCAAGCGTACGGAGTCGGAGATCGTGGACGTCAAGAACGAGCTGCAGCGCTTGAAGGCGAATAATAATGAGCTGGAGAGCGAGTTGCGCCGTACGTCTATTTGCCTTCATCAGGGGATTGAGCGGAGGCTAACGAGGGAGAACAGTGAACACCGTTGCAGAGCAGAGGGCGCGGCTACTTGAGGCAAGGACGAACGAGAACGTCGAGACGATCGAGCAGCTCCGGCACGAACGTTCCCAGCTCGCCTCCGAGCACAAACACCTCCAAGAGCGCTTCCGCGACGCCAACGAGGTACGTACACCACCGTTCCTCAGACCAAACCCTCGCTGATACATCTCCCTGTAGCGCCTGAACAAGCTCCGCACAGAGAACGCAGCGACCCAACACTCGCTCGACGAAAAGCGCCACGCGCTCGACCTCCGCCTGCTCGACATCGCCGACCTCAACGCCGCGCTCGCCGCGCGCGACGCCGCGTCCGACCTCGCGCACACCCGGGCGCGCGCCGTCGCCGAGCTCGAGTCCGACCTCTCGCGCGTGCGCCGCGCGGCCGAGGCGCTCGGGCGCGACCTGCGCGCCGAGCGCTCAGCGCGCGAAGAAGAGATCCGGGCGCGGAAGGCGGTTGATGGTGAGAAGAGGCGGGAGCTGGAGGAGGCGCGGCGCGCGGCGGAGAGGGCTGAGCGGGCACGGAAGCAGGTCGGCGCTGAGGTGAGGGTGTTGAGGGAGCGCGTGGGCGTGCTGGAGGGCGAGAAGAGGGGGTGGGAGGCGCATGTGTGCGAGGCGGGCGAGGCGCAGATCGGGGCGCTGAGGGCGCAGCATAAGTTGGAGAGCAAGGGCTTGATCGTGCAGATCAATTATCTGAAGGCGAAGTTCACGCGCGAGAATACGCTCAGGATTGATCTGGGGTATCAGAAGCGGTATTTGTTGGTGTTGCTTGCGAGGCACGAGCGAGGGTACGTGGGCTCGCTATCTCTTTTGTGCGCGGCGCTGACGGTTGATACAGGGACGAGAAGGTACTCGCGGCTATCGCCCGCATCGGCTTCGCGCAACCCCATCCGCCGCCCAAGACCAAACGGCGAAACCTTAAGCGACTCGCGCAGGCCGTCATCTTCATTCAACGCGTCAAACGCGCCAGCGACGCCTGGAGAAAGGAGTGCGAGGCGAAGCCCGCCATCAAAGCCGCGCTTGACGATGTTCGCCGTAGGAGAGCAAGGGAGGCGCGCGCAGGACCATCTTCGTAGACCGATTCGGATTCGTTCTAGATATTCTTACTTTTCGTATATTTTCGCGCATCGTTCACTGTATAGTAGAGCAATTGTAGAATAGGGTCTTTCATGTAATGTGTATTTGTACTACGTATGACCTATGAATATGACCTATGATACTGAAGAGAGCGTATGCGGGGCAAGATCAGGGTGACTTGGGTGGGTCTTGGGGTTTGGCTGACACTACATAACCGCCCTCCTTTGAGAACACGTAGGTAAGACCGCTCCAGATCGTTGTTGTTGCGACGGTATATTGGAGACCTGTGAGAAGTATGGGGAAGTCGATTGCGTGACCGGCAAGGGTGATGAGAGCGCCTGTTGGGAGTAATGGGCTGACGGTCGACCAGCCCATCAAGAGGAGTTGTAGAGCAGTGTTGACCTAAGCGACACGTAAGTATAGTTTAGAATGCAGAGTATGGCGGCTGACCTTGCTGATGTACGTTGGCCGAACCTCGGCCGAAGGAATGGAAAAGTCCCAATACCTCTGGAACGTCTTCGGCACAGGCAGCGTCTTATATCGTATCCAGAACGCGGACAAGCTTAATAGCACATCACGTCCGATGATGATGACCGCTAGCGGCACTACAGCAAAGGGTCAGACCAAGGACTCCGCGAATGAAGTGGCGATGTACGTGGTAGCAAGCCTCTCATCCCGAGACTGACCGTGAGGGTCGTGACCAGGGCCTTGTCCGCGGCAGGGTCCAGTATAGTGCCTAGCGTAGACTTCTGGTTATAATGCCTCGCCAAATACCCATCCACCTAGGAACCTCGTCAGGACGCCACCCGGCGTGGACAACACTGGCACGTACCCAGTCAGACAACCCCGCGTAGACCAGCAAGCCAGTAGCAAGCTTAGTATGATCCGTCATGATAGCCCATCCCAGCACCGGACATGACAGTATCCGAGACGTAGTGAGCAAATTCGGCCAAGTGTATATGTTCTCCCGGATTTCGCGTAGTTTAGTCTTGCGTGGAGACTCTGGGACAGGCTGGTTGGTATGATTCCATCGGCGCTGGAGTAGAAGGGGTGCTGTCGGTGATGTATAGTGCGCGTTGAGACGGGCTATCGAGCTAGAGGCAGGACGAGCATGGTGGAGGGTCTGGAGTAAACGCATTGACGTCGCGGCGCGGCGCGTCGGCGCGTTCGCGTTCACGGCACAGTCCGGATGCCACACGTGCTGATCTGTGCTGATGGATACCCCACAAGCAAGGCTTCTTTCTTGCTTTCGACCACCATCTGCGTATTGAACGGTCTCTCTCCCGAAATCTATGGACATCCGTTTAAATTCTGTTCTGTTTGTGCCAACAGCCTTGGTCGCTGCACGTCGTGCTGGACTGGCGTTCAGCTGGAGCTGCCTGCGCCTCAGCTCGTAAGTAGCGATAGCCCGTACCGCATCTGGCTGCTCCGTCGCCCCTGCTCTTTCGACTCGCTCGCTCGAGCGGAGCATAAGTACTGTCTGCCATTTGGAACCGCCTTGCAGTAATCCATCCGTCTGATTCTGTCTGTCTTGAGGACATATGCTTAGCCGAGAACAATGGCTTTTATAGCCCGCCTAGCTCAATCGGATAGAGCGTCAGACTCTTATCAGGCGGGTTTGTCTCAACTGAAGACATCTGAAGGCTGCGAGTTCGACCCTCGCGGTGGGCTAATGTGACGCGTAGCAATCTGTTTTTGCGTCCGCTGCTTCGAGCTCTTTTCAGCGAAATCTCAGGAACACTATGCCAGGCTCGGACACTTACTTGCCTCGTCGAGCGATCGAGCCGAGAGCGATGATAGTTGAGTCGGAGATGTCCTACCCCTTACAGCATGAACTTCCAGCATGCTCTATTTTCTTCTAAGCATATGGACGCGGCTGGTAGCAGCTGTTAGCAAAGTATATGAGACGTGAGTAACGCGATCACGTCGTTTACCGCGCGCCTAGGTCAGCTTTGCGACGCGCATCGGCGCTCCTTCTGCAACCATCACCGTCTCCTGCTTCACGGATTCATGCATTATCACGTAGACGACACAGTTTTTGGAACTTGGATTAGTGTTTGCGAAGACTGTTAGTGCACCACTCATCCGATCCAGCACCAGTCAGCCTTCCAACATTTCTCATCCCGCCGTCACTCTGGATATCCTGACCCGAGCAGCCAGGGACTAGCTTATTGCACTAGTCATTGCTCTTATCCGTTGCTGTAGCAGCTCTTCAGTGGTCCCCGAGGAGCTGGATGAGGGATTGTCGGCATTATACGAGACGGTGAAGCGTTATAATACTTTACAAAATGCTCTCTATCGCCCGCCTAGCTCAATCGGATAGAGCGTCAGACTCTTACCTTAGGCGGGATAGATTATCTGAAGGCTGCGAGTTCGACCCTCGCGGTGGGCTATATCATGCTACTAACCGAACTTTTTACACCCGCCAGGGACGAAAGGAGTCGAAGGAGGCAGTCTGCTTTCCGTTTTCGACTCGATCTCGTTCCGCGAGTCCGGATGTCGTGATCCCGGGAATGCTGCTTGTACGTCGTCCTGTACGCTACCGTCACGAGCGGCTTTCTCAGCGCGACTCTTAGATACTAAGCCCCACGAGGAGAGTTCATATGTATGTGTAGGAAGTCGGGCGTGTAATAGGACCGGTGAAGAGGCATTCTCACCGCGCGTGCATTAATCCAAACTCGGTCTTCCTCTTCAGTCCCTCGCTCCAGACGATGATTGTCAGTATCAGACCGCTCACAAATGGTATGGTATATTGAGCCTGTAGATCATGTGTACACACTCGAGGTTTTGACGATAGGAGTCATACGTGTGAAAGCTAGAAATGGAGATGATAGCGAGTCGGACAGGGAAGATAGCGGTATAGATAGCGTAAGTATTGTCAAGCGATGGGAGCATTCGATAACCGAAGCAAACGATATACAAGCTGAAAAGCAGATAGCGAGAACATTGCGGATGTGATTGTAGCAAGTATACGGGCGTTTTTTCCTGGTATAGGTCCTTCAAAGCAATTCCCTCCTAGTCGGCCTCATCCTCCGACTCAGATTCCACCGCACCCTGCTCGACACGGACCGCGTCGAGCCACTTCTTGACAGCCTTCTCGTCAACACCGCACCGGTTGAGCCTCTTGTTGTCCGAGCGGTAGCACGCCAGACAGGCCAGCTTCGACGCTCTTGTGTTGGGTTTGAACAAACAGCGCGGCTGAGCGGTGTGCCTCATGGATCCGGGGAACCCGTATATTTCGCGCGGACCGTCGCGGCATCTTGTACAGGTGAGGTGCGGAGGAGCCTGCATGTCTTGTGAGACACTGGCGCAGAGGATGATAGCGAGTGTGTATGGAGTGCTTACTTCTACGACACTCTCGGGAGTGCAGATCGAGATGGACACTGGCCCGTTGGGTGTGCTCTCGTCCGTCTGTAGCTTCCAGATCTTGAACGTGCGCTGTGGCGTCGGGAGGGTGTTGTTGCGCCCTGAGATGTAGATCGAGTTATACGTCTGGATGATGTCTGCACATTTTCCCTCGACGAGCCGAGGCGCAGCGGCAGCGGTTTTCTAATGCAGTCATGAGTATGATTGATCGCTTGTACGAGTGCTTAACAGGACTAGAAGACTCACAGCATTCTGACGCGGCGCCGCATCTTGAGCACCGCCATTGGACGCTGGCGCTTCACCACGACTGGTACCGGCCACCTCCGGTTCGTCTTCAGCTTGATCCTGGATGAGCTCGCGCAATACGTCGCGAACATTCACGACCCTGGCGAGCTTCGCATTCTCAACCTCGGACTCCCTCTTCGCACCAACCTCTTTCAATCGCAAAGCCTCAACCTTCTTCCTCGCGTTCTCTAGGGCCTTGAGAGCCTCCTCCAGCTCGGTGCCAATGTCTTCCTCTTTCTCCCGCGCGTTGTCGTGATCATCTTGTAAAAGGTCGACGCGGTCAGCAACGTACTTCAGCACGGTCTTCTTTGCCTTCTCATCGTGCAGCCTGGCTACAAGATCTTGCAGAGTGGCACGGATCTCCGCTTCGGGCAGCGTACAGTCTGTCGAGTACAACCGCCGGAGTTCCTTCTTCCATACTTCGACTTCGAGCGGAGGGTTCGAAGGATCTGGGCGAGACGTGCTGCTAGGTGTCTGGGGTTCAGAAACGGGCCGGTTGTCGAGTGCGGAGCTCTTGCGTTTCAGGGTACGCGAGGTCGAAGCCTTGGAAGGGCCGGGCGCAGAGCTAGAAGTCGAGGGCGTGGGAGGAGTCGGCAGCGTGTTGGTACCATTCGATACGGGTCGAGCCTTGTGCGAAGATGAACTGACATGCGTGTGAGTAGTGATGACACGTATTGCGGAAGGAGTGGGGTGTGCATACCGAGCGTTAACATCCAAGGCGACTTCCACCCTTTGCCTCTTCGCGCGAGGCGTCGTGGTGGCGTTCTGGCCAGGCTTCGACGCAGATGCGGGTGCAGACGACGAAGTCTCTGCGTGGCAAGTTAGAGTCGGGTAGTAGGCATATCTGAGACGACGTACTGCTGGGAGTCTTGACAGCCGGTACGCTAGTTGCGGACGTCCTAGGTTTTGCGCGCGCGGCGAACCCAGCTGTGGCGTGCATACCAACTTGAGTCTCGGTGTCACGCAAGCTCGAGAGAATAGATACCTACACGCGTTCTTCCCGGGGCCGGGCTTGGATTGAGACATCCTTGAACCACTTGACCGTTGATGATCACGGTGTGGTTCAAGAGCATGAGAACGTCGTGTGTGGGCGCGTCGGTTGGGATCATCGAAGCCTCAAACGCGGTCACGCGTGTTTGGCTTTAGCAGCTCGGCTATGTCCGAAACTCCCATCTCCGTGGCTGATGATGATCTCAGGTAGCGGTGTGTACTTGTGTAGTTGCTATCTATGCAGTCAACGGTGCGCATATACGAGCTCGGTCCTCGTCCGTGCCAGTGTTGAGATTAGGCGTCGCGCGAATTGGGTCCAGTGCTCTTCCTGGAACTCTCACTTGAAGCTGAGTCGAGACCGTGAAGAGGACTATGCAACACCTCTTCTAGTATGCATACACAAAGATAGCAAGGTATCACAGACACATAACGAAGCGTAGCGCATCGCGTCATCTCTATTATTCCGGTATATACAGGTATATACTCGTCTTCGTCGTTGAACGCGGTCACGGGTGTTTGGGCTCTGTTCGGACACGTCACCGCGATCGCGCGGTACGCTAGTTGAACTATTGAGAGAATCCTCATTTGCAGTAGGTATCTTGGATTACAAGATCTAGATGTCACTGCATGCAACGACTCTAATCGCCGTAGACACGACTAGTGCACTCCTAGTCTGAAATGCACCCCGCGCCTTAAGATCTTAGTCGAGTAGGCTAATACGTATTCATCGGGATAATGTCTTTCATGTGACCTACAGGATCACTCACAATCATCATATACACGAGACTAGTCCCACACGCAGAAGATGAGGGGTATCAAACGATGCGCTGTGAACCAAGTCGCCGAGTCGACTGCGTCATTCCCCTCGCGCTCTCATAGCATCGCGCACAAGATCCTGGACAGCGACCTTATCGACACCACAACGTTCAGTTCTTCTGCCCCTGCACATGCGTCTACACGCCAGGCAGATCACCGCTTCGGTGATACCCTGGAGTTTCATCGTGTAAAGACAGCGAGGCTGTACGACCCGAGCTTTCGTCGGATCCGTGGGGAAGCCGCGCAACAACCGCGGCCCTTCTTTGCATTTGGTGCATGTTAGATGGGGAGGAGCCTAAATGTGCTCAGAGTAAGCATAAAATCTAGTGTACGCAGTAAGAGAGCCCTCACCTCCATCACATCTGTGGTCGAGCAGAATGCGGCGGCGTCCTCTCCCTCGCGAGGTTTGGGCGTAAGAGACCAGATCTTCCAGTCTTTCTTCACCGTAGGTCTGACGCCTACGCCCTTAACGCAGATCGCGTTATACTTTCTCTGGACCTCTTGCAAGTATCCGTTCACGATGATCGGAGCGTCGAAGTTCTGTGGCTTGAGAGAAGGTCATTCGGGCGCGGAATTGATGTAAGTTACGACTTACTGGTTCATCGGCTCTAGTGTCAAGATGAGGTTCAGATCTGCGCAATCTACCACCAGCATTGCGCGTACTCGGCCCTGCAGAGCCGCCCACGAAGCCATCCACCAACGCGGATACACTCTTCACTCTGGTAAGCTTGGAGTTTTTGACATCGCTCTCGTGCTCCGCCTGGTAGAACTTCTCGTCAAAAACAGCCGCCTTGCTCTGCAACTTCGCCAGTTGTGCCTGCGTGCTCTTCAGCTCCGACTCGATGGTCTTTCTCCGCTTGCGAGCGTGATCCTAGTCGGCTTGAACGGTTTCTTGGATGGCGTCACGGAGTACACCAGCGTATTCGGAGGCAATCTTTTTCGTTGGTTCGTCTGGAAGTTCGGCAAAGAGTATCTTCAAACGAGCGCCTACGTCCTTCTCGGAAAGTGGGCAGTCCGCTGAGTACAGAGCTCGCAGATCGTCCTTCCATTTGGCCATGTTGAAGGCGGCGCGCACAGTCGTTCCTAGGTCAGACATACTTTCCGCCAGTTCGTCGACTTCATCGTCCTCCAGACTGATGATCTCCCTTTTGATACTTCTCGACGAGGACGACGCAATCGACCTTCCAGTCGATGAAGACGCAGTTGTGGCACTCTGCCGCACGGATCGTGTGGCTCGTACGGGAATGCCATGTAGAGATGGCGTCGGTGTACGCGCGTTGATATCCAAGACGACTTCGACTCGTTGGCGCTTGACGCGAGGAGCTGCCTGTGACAGTGTCCGTTCCGTTGACAACGGAGATACACGATCCGGATCTATCTTCAGTCCAGCTATAGCGTGGCGAATGTCAGACCCCAGCAACCTTGAACAAAGATGTAGCACGCACCCGAATGGACACCTGGGCGCGGCCGCGACATAGTAGATTGGCTTGACTACGCCGCGCAACGATGGTGGGCAAGGGCACGCCGTGGCGTTGCAAGCGAAATCGGCTGTGCAGACTTTATACGGGAGAGCTTAGAAGCTTGCAGACATCAGCTATTAGAGTTCATTTGAGTGAACTAGACTCGAAAGAGACAATGTAAGCACGAACGGGTCAACGATAAGCCCGTAAGCGCTCATACACCATTTCAGATCACCGGTTCTCTGTACGCCCGAGGGATAGAAACATAGTCGAATGTTCCGTAGGAACAGGAGGATGTTCATCTCTTCCTGGATCCTCATGCCATGGGTAGGAGTAGTTGACGGGTGAATTCCCGCGCCCTCCCACTGGGAGGGCAGTTCGACTTTCTTGCAGAAAGTGCACTCGTATTGCCCTCATTCCTACATATCAAGACAACCATGAGTATTAATATGACCGTCACCAGAGTGACGGGACTACTACAACAAACAACGAAAGGATCGAGACGCTAAGACGACATACTAGACGAAATCTGCTCAGTTCGCACGGCGCTTGCCGAGTGCTCGACCGGAGGGACGTCGTCCAAGATTCCCGGGCTTCTCTGCCAACCGATGGAGTACATCCCATTCTTTTGAAGCGGCTGCCAGTCGATTCTGTGGCACACGCACTGCACGATTCGACGGACAGAATTCCAAGGCTGCCTCGGCTGCAAAGAAAGCGTCTTTGACCGCTGCGAATGGCGCCCCGTCGTCGTAGAGTTGCTGAACTATCAATGTCGCATGATCGGCTGCGGGATCCAGTATCTCCAGGAACTTTGTGTGCCAATCGACTCCAACGAGCGTACGTGTGCTGAATGAGTGCATAGTACGAGAACCGGAAGATGTAGAGGGGCCAGAGTCGTTTGAATGATTCATCCCGCTGGATGAGCCCCGGCGCTGAGGGCTTTCATCGAGAGTGGACTGTTCGCTGGGGATGGTAGAAGGGGTATCGTCTCGACGATCTGTAACGAGGGGGGTTGAGAATCGAAGCGCCTTCTGCTGGTGTGGGTTATCCGACGACCGTAATGAAGACGAGGACCTGCGCTTCCTGGGTGTCACAGGTTTAGGCTCTGAATCCACCGAGGAATCACTGTTGTCGTCATCAGCTCTTTCATAAAGCCCAGCTAGAGCATCTGAATTAGCTTGGCGGCAGCGGGTGATTGTGAACGCAACGCTTACGGAGACGTCCACCGGGACTGACTGAGCCACGGGTCTGAAGGGCAGTAGTGTTCCTGGGAGACGTCTGAGTCTGAGCCGTGCTGCGAACATTCTGAGTCTGGGAGAGCATCGTGCCCAGGACAGGATGCGCTGTAGACGTAGATGTCGGTTGACGTTGTTCCGGGGCCTGGCTCATCTCAGCCTTAGCAGGCGTAGGCATAGGGAGGCTGGACATGGACATATCGCGAGGAGAAGGTGTGGGCGCTGGGGTAGGATTTACAGTAGTGCTGACTTGTAGAAAATGATCGATGCCTTCAAGACTCATATAAAACTTAGACGGTGACGATCTATGAAGGTGCATGTGCCAGCGACTATTGCAGCTTGAATCGGTGCATTGATAGCACTCAGTCTGCATGTGTCTTATGAGTGATGGCGACGTGCGAGGAGATTCAATGTATACACACGAGTGTATGAGCCCATTCGCGATCGGAACATGTACCACGGTCTGCGCATTTCCAGACGTAGCCGTGGAACGAGCCCTTGAGCTTGCTTGTCACCTTCTCAGCGGCCGGCGGAACTGTGATGGAATATGAGCGAGTGCTCAGGAGAGCGGACGAGGGGGTTGCGGGGGGACGCACTTTGACATCTGCATTTTTGACAGGTCACCATCCTTTCCGTAGACCGCGCCACCTCACGATGGTACTGATGAGTACTTCAGTGGCAATATGTGGATTATGGTTTCCTAGAAATGGCGGCGGAAGCATGAAATGGGTGTATTGGCGTGATAGTAAGTAGTCCGCTGGAAGGAGTAATTCACGAGAATGAAGTGCTGCAGCTAAAAGCACTGCCCACGGCAGTTGTCTATTTGGAGGAGGTCGTTATAAGCAGCCTTGAGCTTGAGCTTGAACGTTTAACTCTACTCAGTTTCGCGGCCGGCCGTATTGCGCAACTTCCGGGCGCCGTGTGAGTGTTCTCACCATATAGGCGCTCAAGCGCTCACCACCAGTGACACCGTCTGAGCCAGGGCCCGGAAGAATAGGTGCAAGCATGTTCGGAGTCTCAAGGCGAAACCGCAGTGACATTGTGTTGATGGTGGGTCGCAAGACGCGTTGCACAAGTGGGAGAAGCGCAGGTGAGGATCGGAGACCCTCTTAGCATCCACCATCTTCATACAACCCCGCATCACCAACACATTACCTTCTGCGCACTAGCTTCAAATACTAACGGATGGTGTCGAGATCTCGAGCGCACGATGACGTTCGGGGACGGGTCCCCCGCAGCTCGACGGTCAACATTGTATAATAATGACTCTGCGACAACGCCCTATGACCTCGCCTCGATTCAACCTCCGCTTCCTCTGCCCCCATGTCAGTGGCTATACGTGCGCGAGAGGCTGGTCTCCCCTTCAATGCACCCGACGCGGACATTATCCTCCGCTCGAGCGATGGAGTGAACTTCAGAACGTACAGGAGTTATCTGACGAGGACTCTGCATGGCTTTGACGGGATCTTGGTGCGTTCTCATATTCTCCTGATCTCCAATATGCACTAACCAGCATGTAGCACGATGGGCATCTCCCCGGTATAGGCAACGCCGAAGAAGCACAAGACGGTTTACCGGTCATTACCCTCCCGGAATCCTCAGCCGTCCTTGACCTCTTCCTGCGCGTGCTCTTCCCCGCTGAGCTCGGATGTCCCCCTATGAAGGACAACATCGACCTACTCGCGGATGTGGTCAGGTCTTTGAGCAAGTACATCGTCAAGAACTTCCCGCGCAGCGTCTACGATGCCCTAATGGCTGCGGCATCTAAGGAGCCCGAGCGCGTCTATGCGATTGCCTGCCGCTACAACGCATTCCCCGATATCATCACGGCCGCGGCAAAGTACACCCTTCTGAACCCACGCCGTCTTGACAATCTTTCGATGGCAGCCGTCGCTGAGATGAGCGGTCCTCAGTATCATGCGTTGACCATGTACCAATTAGCCTGCCGCGACGCCGCCAAGACAGCTTGCCAGCCATACTACATCAACACCTCGCTCAACGACACGCCCGGGATACAAGCGCACGTTGCCCAACAGTGTCGATGTCGGTTGGATCCCGAGCCCGTCCATCTCGAATACGTTCCTGGACCTGCGGAGGATCCGGAGGAGTGGGGAGCGTCCGCATGCTTGTTGCCGTTCTGGCTCGCCCAGTATCTCAAGGATGTCCAGCAGGGGATTGGAAGTAGCCCGAAGATCTGCGGGGAGGTGGCGCTGAAGGCAAAGTGCATTGTTACGGCCATTGAAGCGGCGAGTGCGTGCCCGGGGTGTTGCAAGGAGACGGAGAAGTTCGTCGCGTTTGCCCATGAGCTGTCGAAATGGATTGACGAGGCTTTCGCGGAGGTGAGCACGCACTACTATGATGGCCACCCGCGTTTGTCTGACGTCGTATACAGGTCAAGTTTGAGGGCATAGAGGGCAATGCCCTTATAAATTGATGTTTTGATGGAGTCTACGGGGTTTGACTGACGAATCAGATGCCTCATACTGTCACGGAGTGTCTACAATATAAACTAGAACTACGCGTGAAAGTGTAATAATATGTCTACTACAGCTTCCTCTGACTTAGACGCGTGCTCTGACGGCTAGCGGCTAGCGAAGGCCCTGGCGCAAGACCAAGCGTCTATTTCGCACTTTGTTTGAGGGCGTTGAGGATGAAGGCATGGACTGTCGCCTGATCAGCGCCACAGCGATCCAACTTCGCAGTACTAAGGAAACGGCGGCAGGTCAAGCAAACGATATCTTCAATGTTTCCTGCCCTCTTCAGCCTGTAGAGGCATCGTCGTTGCAAGACGAGCTGAGAAGTGGACTTCTCAGGGAACTTGGCGCGCGTCTCCCGAGGGCCTTCATTGCATTTGGCGCATGCTAGGTGAGAGGGGGCCTAGAGGTGGAAATAAGCGTTGAAGTGGGTCACTATAAGGGCCCGGACTACCTCCACAACATCGATGTCTGTGATGAAAGAGGGGCGCTGAACGCCATTTAGTCGGTCGTCCTTCTCGCCCTTGTCGTTCGGCATGAATAGAGGCCACACTTTCCAGTCTCTTAACATGGTACTTTGAGGCCGGGAATTGCATCCAAGGTAGATTCCATTATAGTCCTTCTCGATATCGTCAAAGAAGCCGCGTACAGCGAATACGTTCTCTGGATTCTCGGGCTATGGAGCGATCAACCGATGCAACATACACTCACGGCTCGGAGAGAACATACCAGGTCGTCCTTGGCGTCGCTTACCGACTTTGGCGTGACATCCGATGGTGCATTCGCAATCTCGGCGTCTTCGCGATGTGTGCTTGCAGTGCCGGCGACGAGGTCCTCGATCAAGCGAGAAACACTTTTCACCCTACCCAGCCTATCTTTCCGGTCGTCGCTACCGCGTTTCGCCAGATCAAACTCCTTCTCGACTTCAGAGACTCTAACCTTCGCCCGCGCTAACTCTGCCCGCACGCTCTCGAGATCAGCCATAGCGCCATCCGCCTGTTCTTGGGCCCCGTCATATTCGGCCTGTGCATTCTCTCTCACAACGTCTCCCAAGACTGCGACGTAGTCCATGGCATCCTTCTGCGTCTGCTTGTCCGGTAACTTCGCAAGAAGGTCCTTCAGTCTCGCGCGGACATCATCGTCCAGAAGAGCGCAGTCCGGAGAGTACAACTTCCGAAGGTTTTCCTTCCACTTCTTCATGTCGAATGGGGCTCCGTGCGGTGGACCGTCGTCGACTCTCCGACGCGAGAGACTCGGACCTGCGATGCACTCGACCGATTGGGAGCGCTCTCTTTTCAGGGATGTAGTTCGGCGCGCGTTGATATCCAGCACCACCTCTACGCGTTGTCGTTTAACACGGGAAGCCACGCTTGTCGACTCTTCGTCCGAGTCCGAGTCCGAGTCCGGCAAGCGCTTGACCTCATCTACATGCATGTTCAATGTGAGGTCAAGAGATCTCGTCAAGGTATGTAGTACGCACGTTTTTGGACACCAGAACGGGATAGTGACATGGTAGGCAAGTCGAAGGAGGACGGTTGGAGATGAAGGATGCGCTCGGCCTAAGAACAGTGAGCAGCGCGGCCACAATGAAACAAAGGCAGTTCGGAAGTGGCAATAGATAGCCAACATCCATAGAACACGCATACCAGCCGCTACGGCGCATCACACGCTGCGGGACTACGTCCATTCAAGAGGGATGTACAGTCAGCCTATTCTAAGAATCTGTATGCATTAGACTCAAAGGCGACAAAGCATTGCAGAACATCCAGAACATATAAGCCAAAACCCAGATAAAACATGCACTAGGAAGAGCACCGTCGTTCATGTCGAAGGTCCATTGACAGAGTCCCTCCGTTTGGCTGCGAACCTCTCCGCTGATGGGAATCGGAAGCAGGAGCCTGCGTGCCGATGCGATGTCCCAGTCCGGGCCTCGTAGCTCCGAGTCTTCTTCCCGCGCCTTCTCCGCCCCCGGTGAACAGTCAGTGACATGAGTGGCCCTACGCGTCGCGATTTCCTTGAATAGAAACTCGAATGCAGTGTCAATCTGAGTAGCACTGGGACATCAGCTTTGCGCCAAGAAAGAATTGAGGGCGAGAAGATGATCATAGCACGGCCCACCGGGCGAGAGCCTGGTCCCTGGACTGGTAGCCTTCGAGATGTTGTCCAGTGTTGCACGTCGGAGGGATGCTCGGGTGAGATGTTCGTTCGTTTCTCCGTCCCCGCAAGAACTTTAACGTATCCTAAACACGACACCGCGAGCCCAGGAGCCGACATCGGACATCGGACATCGGACATCGGGCACTCGGCCCGATCCACGTGACGGAGCTCACGTTGATTTTTTGCAGTGCTCGTTCCCTTCTACATAGGGACCAGGAATACCACATATCGACATTGATTCGGTGATTCGAGCGGAAAAAGCACAGCCCCGTCACTACACTCATTCCGAAAAGGCAGGGTCATCCACTTTCTGAGAGAGCATACGTGAGCAGATTACCGATTCCGCGTGGCAGTTGAACGGAGACTTACATGTGTCGCCCTCTTAACGGACGGTAGGCAAGATCTGTTGAATGTCGCGACGGTCTTTCAGGTAAGGAGCCAGAATCTCGGCGTGATTGCGTATGTAGACTTTGAACGCGTCGCTCTCCCAGCGTCCTTTGAGTCGCATCCTTTCTATTGACAACCCATTCCTCAGATGCCATAGGGTATTGCCTATCCGCGCACTGTGACCCAGCGGCAGCTTGATTCCGGTTCGAGAGGCAGCTTGTCCAAGACAACGATCCATGGCCGCACGCGTCAAAGGTCTACGGCCTTGCTTGGAATCGTATGAGAAAAGGAACTCGTCCAGGGAGGGGCGATTTACACGACAATGATTCTCAAAGGCGTCGACAGGATTGGCGGGACCGCTCTGTCTGATGAAATAGACGTCTTCGCCATCGACAGGTGCACATTTCGTCGACGGTAGATGAAAGGTGTGTGCCTCACTCCCATCAGAACTTCGTGTATGGCGATAATCGGATAGTTTGACGTGTTTGCCCGGAAGGAAGGAGGAAAGCTTTTGTAGGGTAAACTCCCCGCATCGGGCGGTGCACCAAAAGGTGGTCACGAGAGCGCCCCACGAAGCGGCCTGGAGTGGGTCGTCGAGGTCAAGTGCTCCACGCAATCTCTCCATGTCTTCGACCATCAGTGGGGACCGCTTCTCTTTTGGTGGCGGTGCGACGTTCTTGGCCGCTCTCAGCAATAGACGCTGGACCTCATCTTCAGCTGGCCACCGCAGGCGATGCAGGATGTGCCAGGCGCGAACACCACATACATATGAACGGATGGTACCCTCGCGGTATGATCCTAGAATGTGATTGAATATATGCATGCACATACCAATACACCCTGAAGACATCGTACCTGCAAGAGAAGCGATGAAAAAACGGAGCAAATCGACGCTTGCCGGCGCGCGTTGATCTTCCGGAACTTTCTTCTTGTCGCAAAAGACATGGTAGTGTAGCAGGCCCGACCCGTACGATTCAAGGACTTTTTCCGAGAATGCGATATCGAGTAGGTCGCAGACACGTTGAATATCGGCGTCGGAGAACGGAAGCGGCACGTTATCGTAGGCCACAGGCACATGCGGAGAGCAACCTGGTTTCCACAAACGCAGCCTATCACGCGCAAGTACACGGGGCCGTAGTTCGGATGAGACGAGAGGCAGTTTTGCGGGATACGGGCGTGGACGGGAAACCCTCTTCTCCGGGCGTCTGGATGGCCTTTGATGCGATCTAGGGGTCGCCGCGCTCGAGACCGGGCCAATTGTGGCGATGGCAACGCTGTCGAAATTTTCGCATTTTTCGCATTTCCCTTCAGACGGAACGGGTTCGTCGTCTTTTCTCCCTGCATAGCAGTTTGGGTGCCATCCTCGATCGCAGCCAAGGCAGTGGAAAAAGTCATCCTAAAGGTTTCGAGTGAGTATGATGGACCGCGAACCCCATTGGGCCGGGCCGTAGACGTACCTCATCAAAGTTCTCGCAGCAATCCCAGCATGTACTGCAATCCTCACATAGCCACTGGTACTCTTGTATGATGTACGCAATCTTGGTCAAGTCAAGGCACCCAAAATGGACTGTCATGCGTCGGTGAATCATTCATGTAGGAAGACCGAGGGTCGAACTTCGTACTTACATCGGCGATTGCACTCGACGCAGCTCACCACCTCGCTCGCCTTGCCCTCTAAGAGTCCCATGTTCCATTGGCAGTCCGGCGCGGCGCACACCTGGGGCATGGCTAGTTTGATTGATCGATCCAAAAGCCAGCACGAATTAGGAGGGAGGTGATGTGGACAGTAGGCACTGCTGGGGACGCAGAGACCCCAAGTTGTTAAGGTGATCAGTTAACGACTCGTAGATGTGATCCCTTACAGTATATTCGCTTACAGCGTTGTCAAGGATCGAGGTAACCTGGAATAGTAGCTCCGAATGGTGCGACTTCGAATTGCGTGCACATGTGACTGACCCTTCTCGCCGCCGTATACGCATCGAGGTGCTGACAATCCGGGATGTAGCGTCACTTTTCCACATTATTCGTGCAGAAGCACAGAGTTCAGAACGTACCAGTCTCGCGAGTCCTAGAGCGCTGGCGATCCTGCTCCTGCGATATGAAGGCATGACAGCGTAGTGGCCGAAAGTCGGTGGCAAGTCGGTGGAGAGAGCGGCGCGACAGGCGCCTATCACGGCGTGATCGCCCCCACTTCACAGCGCTTCACGCGGCTGACCCTGCCCTTCTGCTCTCCCCACCACTAGGAGATGATGTCGCCATGCTGCACTGATCCTTCGGCCTGTGCATTGCATGCTTGATCCTCATTCATAAAGTCGCGAATAAACCTACGACGCGCAGTGTGACGGCCAGTGACATGAGTGACTCTACGCGTCGCGATCTCCTCCGATCTCAACCCTCACGAGCCCCTGTATCCAGCGCTCCTATCCTAACGCTCATCCTCCATGTCGGATCCTGCACCTGAAGAACATCAAACGCGCGAAGCTGGCGCTCCATTTGACGCCCTGAACGCCGACGTCATCTTGCGTTCGATCGACGGTGTTGATTTCCGGACGACCAAGAGCTACCTGACGCGGGCGCTGCATGGGCTCGGCGACATCCTGGTACGTTCAGCGCACCTATATACGTTCTATGCGACCTTATTGACGCGAGGAACAGCAAGCAGGGCACTTGAACGGAATAGGCGGCGTCGAAGAGCAACAGAACGGCGTACTCGTCATCCCGCTGCCCGAAACCTCAGCCGTTCTAGACCTCTTCCTCCGCACGCTCTACCCCGCCGAGCTCGACTGCCCGCCACTGAGCAGCAAGCTCAATCTCATGGCCGGAGTATGCAAAGCTCTCAACAAGTACTGCGTCAAGAGCTTCCCACTCGCCGTCTCCGACGCGCTGATGCTCGCGGCCAAAGAGGAGCCCGAACTCGTTTACGCCATTGCTTGTCGCTACGCTTCACTTGCCGAAGTGACAAAGGCTGCGGCGCGGAATACGTTGAAGAAGCCAAGACGGCTAGACAACCTTGGCGAAAGTGATATAGCCGACATCAGCTCGCTGCAGTATCATGCTATAGGGCAATACCAAATTGCATGCCGCATCGCAGCCGTCGAAGCATGCGAACCCCCCAACATGCGAAGCATGCCATCGGATACACCCGGAGCTCGTACCATCATACCCTCGCAGCAGGACGCCTTCCACAAGGACTGCTCGTGCCCGATACACTGGGAACACATACAGCTTCAGGAGTGTTATGGTCCGCCAGACGAGCCTGTAGACGTCGATACGCACGAGTGCAGGTACCCAGTATGGTTGTATGAGTACCTTTATGCCGTGAGGCATGAGGTGCTGACGGGTGATACGCTCTGTGGTGAAGTGGCGATGACGCCGATGTTCCTTGGGCAGGCCATTGCGGCGGGGAAAGAGTGTCCGTCGTGTGGGACGGGTGTGGGTGTTGCGGAGTTCATCGGGTATGCTCAGAGGTTGAGCCAGTGGATCGACGATGCTCTCGACTGCGTAAGTGCTTACGTACCTGTATGAGGAATGCAATTCTGATCTCGTCCACAGGTTGCCTTTCAGAGCACTGCTTCTGCTGCATGAAAACGCGGGTAGCAGGTGTTGACTATGGGCATGCATCACGGGCGCCTGTTAACTTATCTCTATGTTATGTTATGGAAGTGTCACTATAGGGTATCGTACTTTAAGTTTAACGAATAATTGCCTATTTTCTCGTACCGTTTTGTCCTTGGACCTTGCTCAAGATATCAGGTGTGGCCCATCAAAACGCGACACGCGCGTCCGAGTTCGATCAACGCGCGCTTGCTCTATACGGCCATCGCGCCGCTTGAACATCTCCCGCTAATGCTTACGGGTACTTCGATCGCGTCAACATCATGAACTCGTACCCTCCTGAACTGCTCGCGCAGTTGGCGCCAGTGATGTTCGTCGCCGGTCTGGATGTCCCGACGCCGCCGGCCGAGACGGTGACCACAGGCTCGGGCGAATCACAACGGCCACAACTGGATCCATTCGACGTCTTGAGCATCCGTTTGCGCGACGCGCTAGTTGCACAACGCAAACCGGCTATCTGGCAGCCGGACAAGAGCAAGACGTTCCAAGTCATCCTCGTCGACAAGGTTAGTCCTGCCTCTCTTCGAGCAGTACGACCGAATATCTTACTTATAACACAGTAGGAAGTCCGTTTCCCACCGCGAAAGATAGCGCCTTCCAACGACCTCTCACACTCCCAAGTCTACCACTCGCCACTCTCGCCGTTGACGCCCACATCGCCGTTGCACCCCGACGGGATAATCGCGCCGATATGGGTCCGGAAACACACGCAGCTCGTGCCGTCCGTGTTTGTGCTGTTTACGAGAATATACGAGAGCCCGCCGGCACATTTGCCGAAGGCGCCATTGGATTTGCCACATCCGGATAAGGAGAGCGAGGAGAAGAGGAGGGACGCGGAGTTGGCGGCTGAGATTGCGGGGAGGAAGAAGAGTACGGGCGAGAGGGGGATCAAGTTGACCGTCGTGCTCCTGGCCAGCAGGAGGATGCTAGGTAAGCGCTCGTGTCATTCTTAGCGCTGTGTCTGCTTAATTGGTGACATAGATGACCCTACGCTGGACTCGAGATTGTCGTTCATACGACGGCAGAGCGGGCTGGACTCTCGCGCGGCATTGTTTGTCTTGAGCCCAGTCAGCGCTGCAGAACTGTCTGAATTTATCAAGAGGTATGGCTTGCCTCATTCGTACGATTGGCATGCTCTGATCAACCTCAGCTTGCAACAAGCCCTGTACGACCCAGCCGTAGAGTACTACACTTCCCATTCGAAGCGTGTCCGCCGCAAACGCAACCGTCACGCTCAGACCGGAGGCTATACAGCGCCATTACCACCTATCGCCTCGACACCAGCCCGGCCGCTACGGTCCGAAGGATGGACGGTACGATACGAGTACAAGATGGCGTGTTTCGCCGAGTTTCGCGGTGAAGATGAGGTGGCGCTCAAGTAGGTTGTCGATGTACAGCGACTTTGTCATGGTCTGATTCTTTTCCAGACACTACCAGGACGCTTACTCCGTGCTGATCCTGATGTTTGGCTCCGCGGCGATGCTTCCACCTCGCACGAAGCGCTGGGCAGAAGCGAAAGTCCTCGCCGATACGATACACATCAAGGTAAGCTGCACTCACGCCTTCATCCGTGTTCGACCATCGTCGCTTATAACCTTGCCCTTCCAGATCTGTAAATTGTACCTGTACAACAACGAGCACTCCCTAGCTCTCGCGCAACACAACTCCCACATGCGCAAATTCGGCGACTTCTCACGCGGCTGGGGCATAGGCGAAGAGACCTTCGAATTCTGGAGCTGGATCGCGCGTCAACACAGAGTATTCGCCGAGTTACTCGAGCAAGGCTCGCGTTCAACACTCCAAATACCCACGCACATACCCACATCATCGTCCGCGGCACAAGCGCCCTTAGTAGACGAAGGCATGCGCGTCCTAGGTCTAAACCCCGCCAACGCGCTCCAACACCCAGGATTCTTCTACTACCTCGCCGCAGGCGCAGCCGAGAAAAGGAGAGAGCGGTTCATGGTGATCGATCAGGCTGGACCTCAAGCCGTCGCGAACGCGCCGGGATATACGAACGAGAAGAAGATCGATCATCTGGCTGTTATACAGGAGCTGTACACGAAGTCGTATGAGCTCTTCAAGAAGCATAGTCCGGCGAATGCGCAGGGGACGGGACGGTTGATTCTGCGGATTGCGTTGAGGATTGCGCAGACGTATTGTGATGCGGGAAAGTTCGACATGGCCGTCAGGTCAGTACTTCTTGGTATCTGACGATCAGACGGAATGCTGAATGTTTTGCAGATTCTTCGAACGCATCGCCAAGACGTACCGTCGCGAGAACTGGGGCGTCATGTTGAGGCCGCTGTTGCAGACGTGGTACGCGTGCGCGCAACAGCTGGGTGATGTAGAGCTCAGCGTGCAGCTCTTAGTTGAGATGTTGGCCCATGGACGAGGTGAGATCATTGGTCAGCATATCACATCATATAGGTATTGATATCGTCCTCTGTAGAAGGAGAAGACGACGAGGAGAGTGCAGCGGAGGATCTGCTCGCCGTACTCAAGAACACGATGCCTTCGAACCCAGATGAACCTCTCGTGATTGACCTTGCCGATGCACGACCAATCTGTACGCCTACATTCCCTCCTCGGTGTGCGCAATGGTACTGATACATCACCAGTGAACACGAGCATAGTCTTCTACAAGTCGACAGCGGCAGTGAACGAGAGCGTTGCTTTTCAAATCTCGCTCACGTCCCCGGCATCGGTCCCGTTATCTCCGTTGGCCTTCGATTCGCTCTTGGTACACTTCTCGCACCGGGAAGAGCCCGTTGTGGTCAGGCATTCAGCGGATGCGAGCGATGCAGTCGTACGCAGGGTTGATCTGGGAGAGGTTGTGGCGGGGTCGGAGGTGGAAGACGTTGAGGGCCATCTGCGGTGGGATGCCGGGCACACGCTCGTGTGTTCAGGCGCCGTCGCGTCTGAGGAGCCCATCGCCATCACCGTCAGCAAGGTTGTGCTCCGACTGAAGGAGGCTTCCTGGACCGTCGACATTCCCGTCTCCTTGGCGCACACGCGCGACGAAAGCGTCACGTCGAGCAAATGGTATATCTCTATCGACCCGCCCAAGACAATGCCGGTATTGCGCGCCGATGCTTCGCAGGTCGCCGTTCATCACAAACCGCATCAAGTCGAGGTCACTTTCAATCACCCTTCACCGGCTTATCTGGACGAGGAATACCCTATCGTTGTAGATGTGTGCAACATGGATGAACGGACGTTCGACGCCGTGCTGGATGTATTACTACAGCCTACGGAGATTGACGACGCTGGTAAGCGCTCGCCGCTCAAAGGCCGGATAAGCGCGCTGACGTCATGATATTGTTCTAGTGAACAGCATTCGCATCGACGAAGAGCGCTCGTCCGGTCTCGTGAAGGACATCTCCCTCGGCCAAATAGCACCCGGTGCGACCTCCTCGAAAACCATCTACCTACACAACACCGGCGCCCCCGGCTCCCGCGTCCTAGACATCTCTGTTCGATCCTACGTCTCAGGCCGCGAGACCGACGCTGCGGAAACACTGCGCATACTCAGTGTCGACGTCCTCGCACCAGTCAAAGTCAAGCACGATGTGCGATACGTACGGTCTACGAAGCCCGCGCCCGCGCTTACGGATCTGAGCGCGTATGATCCGGAGTACTGGGACGATAGTCTTGGTGGAGAGGCGTTCGTGAGCGCCAGTATCGTTTGTGAGGGGCCGCATGGGATTGGGGTTGAGAGTGTGAGGTTGGTTAGGGAGGAAGGGCCTAATGCGAAGGTTGTCGGGTGTTCGTTGGATGCGGACGGAGGCGACCTTGTGTCTGGTATGTTGCACTTCGATAGGCCTATACTCGATGACTGACCGATTGTGAACAGACTGGCTCCCGGGCGATGAGTTCGCGGCGATCACGCGTGTCAGCATGATGGTCGAGGAGGACATCGATCCTTCCGAGCCCATCACTGGTCTTGGCTATTATGAACTCAAATGGCGAAGGCAAGTTCTATCTGGTCCCCATATCCTATACCCGTGCTCACATCTAGCTAGGTTGGGACAAGACGATGCTGCGTTATGCACGAGCATATTCAAGCTACCACTCATGACGCCCCCACGCGACAGCCTCATCGCCCTCCTCTCTCTTCCGGCATCCGCCAAACTGCACGCATCGGCTCCTGCGGAACTCATCGTGCGAAACCTGCACCACAGCCGCACAGCAGACGTACACATATCTCTCGAAACGGACGCTACAGACGGACTTCTCGTGGCGGGCCCACGCATTTCCCGCATTCCGTCCTTGCTACCTGGTCAAGAGGTCCGTCTCGCGTGGTCGCTATTGCCGCTAGAGTGCGGACGCGTGCGGGCGCCGAGGATACGGGTTGTTGATCGGAGGAAGAGGAGTACTGGCGATGGCGGTATGGCTGCGGTTGAGGATGAGGGCGTGCTTGTACGCGTGGTGGATCTGAGGAGGGATAGCTGGGATGAGAGGGGCGAGGAGAGGAGTGTTACGAGGATCGAAGATGAAGTTGCGAGGGCCACTGCTTCGTCGGCGGAAGGAGGAGAGGGATGGGCTGTTGGACCTATTCTTGTGTTACCATAAATGCGATGTACATCCGGGAGCGCGGCCGAAGACCTTTTGCTACAATAAGCACATCTTGAGCGTGGGAAACATGTTGATGTCGAGAACTCGACATGTTGTTTTCTTCCTTCGTGCCGCCATCGCACCGCCGTCCAAGCCCGGAATGCCACCTTGTCTTATTGACATCACGCTGTGAACGCTTTGCGGCGACCTTCTGGGGGGAAAGTACAACTTTAGAAAGTTAGCGCAAGCTTGCACAGCCGGGCTTACTATAGCGTCCGATACCCTGGGCGATCTGAGCGTCTTGCGCTCTTACTGCCATCTGTCCCACGCTCTACTAGCACTTCGATTCACCTTCGTCAGCTCCTGAGAGTACTACGCGGTCAGTGATGTTTATCTTCGGTGCATCTACGACTTAATTGACTATATGGACAGGCTCACCCGCAGGAACACGATGTCTAACCATGAGACTAGCGATGAACCCCATGAAGTCGTTCTCAAGCATGCGTTGGATACATGGAAGTCCTATGAGGACTCTGAAGATCTGAATGTTGGCCTGGATGCTCTCCGACTTATGCAAGAGACAGTCAATCTCGCACCCGAGCCCGATCTCATCCCTCGCTTGATTACCCTCGGCGAGATGGCGGAGGCACTCTTTGACGAGAGTGGCGAGCTTCAGCACCTCGATACAGCGATCTCGGCATATCTACGTGCCATTGAAAGTACCCCCGATGACGATACGGACAAAGCGCACCGACTCGGAACTCTCGGGCATGCATACGATAACCGGTTCGAGTGCACGGGCGATTTCGAGGACCTTGAAGCTGCGGCCACTGCGAAGCGTTTGGCTGTTGATCTCACTCCAGAAGAAGACGAAGATCTCCCCGGGCGTCTCACCAATCTCGGAAACAGCTTACAGCGCCGCTTCGAGTGCGCCGGCGAGATGGACGACCTTGAGCAAGCCATATCTCTAAAGCGGCGGGCGGTCGCTCTGATACCCGATGAGTCCGCCGTCCTGCCGGCTCTTTTGAACAACCTCGGCAGCTCTCTTCAGACGCGGTTTGAAGCACTAGGAGAGCTGGGCGATCTCGAAAGCGCCATCTCTTTGCTAGGTCGCGCAGCGGAGCTCACTTCTGACGACGCTCCTGAGAAGATGATGTGGCTCAGGAACCTTGGCGCGGCTTTACACATGCGCTTTCAGCGCACCAGTGATCAGGACGATCTTGAAAGCGCTCTTTCCATCCTGTCAAAGACCATCGAGCTCTTGACAGAAGACAGCACAGACTCAGAGACAGCTGCGTCGCTGTGCACATTCGGCATTGCTCTCTGTAGCCGCTTCGAATCTATCGGAGACATTGACGACATCGACAATGCGATAACTGTGCTGGGAGATGCCGTTGAGCTCACCTCAGACGGTAACATAGACAAGACCGCGATGCTTAACAACCTCGGCGGGGCTCTGATGAACCGATTTGAGCGCCTTGCAGCAATGGAAGACTTGGAGCGCGCTATCTCGGCGTTCCGCCTTGCGGTTCAACTCACGCCCGAAGGTCACCCTGACAAACCCTCGCGTTATAGCAATCTAGGAGGCTCGCTCTCAGACCGTTTCGAGCGTCTGGGCCAACTTAGCGACCTTGAAGATGCCATCTCTGCCTTTCGCCTCGCTATTGAGGCCGCACCCGACGTCCATCCCGGGAAATATCGGTGGTATACCAACCTCGGTAACGCATATGCGCGTCTTTTCAAGCGCACGGGAGAGGCCGATAGCATCGAAAAGGCTATCTCATTACAGCGTCGCGCGGTAGAGCTACTTCCGGCAGATAATGCTGGCAAAGCTGCTTTGATTAACAATCTCGGCACAGCTCTACTGAGCAGCTTTGAGCATAGCGGAAGGATAGAAGACTTAGATAATGCTATAGTAGCACTTCGCAATGCCGTTGACCTCGCGCCTGATGATGATCCCGATAAGCCCTTTTGGATGGGGAACTTCGGGAGTGCCTTGCAGGGTCTGTACGAGCGGAGAGGGAGCCTCGCGGACCTCGAAGAAGCGATCTCTGTCAAACGCCTCGCTATCAGTCTGACTCCTGAAGATCACCCAGGTCGCTCTTCCCTGATGCGGGAACTAGCAGTGTCGTTACATGGCCGATACGAACGCCTCGGCAGCCTCGACGATCTACAAGACGCTGTCACTGCACAGCGACTTGCGGTCGAGCTAACTCCTGGGGATCATCCAATGAAAGCGGGGCGGCTGATAGACCTTGGGCGAATGATCCAGAGTCGATTTGAGATGTCGGGAAAGCTAGAAGATCTCGAGGAAGCTCTTCGCAGTATGCGCGATGGCCTTGGTCTCACGTCGGATGATCATCCAGACAGACCTATACGACTGAGTAGTATAGGAATTTGTTTGAAGATCCGTTTCGACCGCACTGGAGAGCCCTCTGACATCGAAGAGGCTGTCTCTGCACACCGGACGTCGATCGAGATGACCGAAGATAGCCTCTCAGTCAAACCTATCCTTCTAGGGAATCTCAGCAGTTGCCTTGAACGTCGGTTTGACTACTCGGGACATATGAACGATATACATGAAGCTGTCTCTGCTCAGCGTCTCGCGCTTGATCTTACGCCCGACGATCATCCTGACAGGACCACTCGACTAGGCAATCTCGGGAACTCCTTGTGGAAACGCTTTGAACGTGTTGAGAGACTCGAGGATCTTGAAGAAGCCATATCGGTGCTTCGTCAGGCGATTGAGCGTACGGCGGAAGATCATCCGGATCGGCCGCAGCGGCTGAACACATTGTCTGCTGCTTTTGCGAGCCGTTTCGAGCGCCTCGGGGAACTCGACGACATTGACCGGTCAATAGCTGTATCGCGTCTCGCAGTCGACATCGCACCGGATAGTCACCCGGACAAGCCCGCATTCCTTACGAACTTGGGCAACTCCCTGCAAACACGCTTTGACTATGTTGGGGAGACTAGCGATGTCGAGGGTGCTATCGCGGCGCAACGCTCAGCGATCGAGCTTATGCCCAATGACAGACCTGTACAGGATAGGTGCAGTCTGCTCGATAACCTTGGGAACACCTTGCATGCCCGCTACGAGCGTTCTGGCGAGCCCGGTGACATCGAGGCCGCGATCGCCGCAAAACGTCAGGCAACAGGGCTCTTGCCTGATGGCCACATTGACAAGCCCGGACGGCTGAGCAGTCTTGCTCTGTCCTTATATCAACGCTTCCAACACGATGGCGATATCACAGGTTTGGACGAAGCTATCTCCATGCAGAGAATTGCAATAGAGCAGGGGTTCGATGACCATACCCGCAAACTGACCCAACACGCTCGATTGGCTGTCTTTCTCCAAACTCGTTTTGAAGGCACCCGGAACCGTCCGGATTTCGACGAAGCCATATCGTGCTACCTGGCCGCGAGCGATCAAAGTCTAGGACTTCCCCTTCTCCGATTCGCGAGCGCCGCGTCTGCCGCCAGTCTCCTATCCAACCATGCCGACTTCGGCCAAACGGACCTCCTCCTGCAAGCGCATGCGCGAGTCCTTGATGCTCTCCCAACGATTGTGTGGCTCGGTCATAATGTGAGCAGACGATACGAGGAATCGGCGAAGTGGAGCAAGTATGTCAACGCTGCTGTAGCCGCAGCGATACAGGCGGGCGCGCTGGTACAGGCTGTGGAGTGGCTTGAAGCGGGAAGATCGCTCGTGTGGTCGCAGGTGTTGTCTTTGCGCACTCCTGTTGACGAGTTGGCGGCGCATCGTCCCGATCTTGCTGAACGCCTCCTGTCTGTAAGAGCGCATCTCCAACAGGTCGCGCACGTTACAAAGCAGAGGGATGCAGCTTCCAACGAGGGCTTTGATATCACTAGCGACTCCAGTTCCGCTCTCGACGCGGATGCAACGGTGGACCATCGTCGAAGGCTTGTCATCGACTACGAGCATGTACTCGAAGAGATCCGCGCATGTGTCGGTTTTGAGAACTTCTTGCGGCCACCAAAGCTGGCGTTGGCGCCAGGCATGATCGACGAACCTGTTGTATTCATTAACGTGGACCCTTCTCGATGCGATGCTCTCATTCTCTCACCGGATGGGGACATAAGACTCGTCCCGTTGCCTGACCTCACATCGGACCGCGCGCAGAAGCTTCGCTCTCTGTGGACGCTGCGCCTGAGACAATGTGCCGTTCGCGAAAGAGCGGCCGTACCGGTGAATGCATCACACGGATCTCGCTCTCTTGACGTGCCTCTCGAGCGCACCTGGGAATGGATCGTGGGTCCTGTCATCCAGAACATTGGGGATTACCAGGTGAGTACTCACCGTGATTGATTCTGAGTGGTATCAACTTCTCACAGCGACGTTTGCAGAGTCAGGAAGATGATCTTCCGCAGATTACTTGGTGTCCCACCGGGCCCTTGACACAGTTGCCCCTGCACGCTGCTGGCGTATACACCCAGGCTTCAGGGCCTCGCGCGATCGACCTTGTGGTGTCATCGTATACCCCATCTCTGTCGGCGCTGTTGCGCAGTCGCGAAGGCGCGCGCGAACCAATGTCGGCGCTTAGCGTCCTCGTCGTCACTCAACCCGCGACCCCAGGTCTATCCCGCCTGCCCGGCACAGTAGCCGAGGGGGAGCAGCTTCGGCAGCTTCTGTCCGAGTCCAACATCACTGTGGAAGCTCTAAACGGCCAGAATGCGACTGTGACCACGGTCAGTACGGTGATGAACCGGTACCCTTGGGTGCATCTCGCATGCCACGGCTCGCAAAATGCGAGCGACCCGACCCAAAGCGCGTTCGCGCTCTACGACGGTCCGCTGACCCTGTCTACTCTGATGGGTACAGCTGCCGACAAAGCAGAACTCGCGTTCCTCTCTGCATGTCAGACCGCCGTCGGAGACGAGAAGATCCCCGAGGAGTCCGCCCATCTTGCTGCTGGCATGCTCGCCGTCGGATTCAAGGGAGTCGTCGCGACAATGTGGTCAATCGGAGACGCGGATGCGCCTGTCGTCGTCGGAAGCTATTACAAAAGGCTACTCGAGATGCGGAGCTCGGGCATGACTGGAAAGGGGCAGACGGGAGCGGCGTATGCGTTGCATGAGGCAGTGAAGCATCTGAGAGAGCGGGTAGGGGAGAAGAACTTCGTGAAGTGGGCTCCTTTTGTACATTTTGGCGTCTGACTGGTCTGTCACATTGGCTTGCAGTGACCTGTACTCGCATGTCGGGATGTATGTATGTGTATGAGGATGGTATTAGTGCAGCTAATGCCAACGTCGTCGTCGTCGAGAGAGAGATTTCTCATGGGCGCTGCATGTGCAACGTTGATGCCATCAATGTTCGAACCTTAACCCAAGCCCAGCTTTGGTCTCTCACGTTGTCGCATTTGCCGTCAAGATGAGTGTATATTAGGATATCATTACTCTTGTATGAGAGGCATAGTAGTCCATCACAGCCTATCCGCGCATCCATTCTTGTATACGATCCAAATGAGCCCAGCACCGTCCTTTCTACTGCCCTCCATTCATCTCCAGTAACGCCTCGATACTCTTCCCCAAATCCCCTTCGTTCGCCTCAAGCACCCATCCCAATATCTCCGAATCCACTCCAGGGAATATTTGCGCCAACGTCCCCTTCGCAGCATCCGCCGCCCTCTCATGAGCCCTATCAATCTCCGCCTGCATACCCGCAATATCCAACTCCGACTCCGCGTTCGCCGGTGTTGACGAGCGCGACGGAGGCGTGAACTGCCCGAGAGTCGTCGAGGGTTGGAGAAGAGAAGGCGGGACTGCTGAAGCGGAGGACGCGGAGAGGTTCGATTGATGGTGCGGTACTGGGCGCGGAGGGCGTGAAGGCGATTCTTCGACGTATGAACCTGCGGGCGAGCTGGCGGGTGATCTCCGGATGCGAGGCTTGTACGGCGTCTGCACTGCGGGCGGGGGTACCCACGGCTGATACTGCCCACCCTGCACTTGTCCCTGCCCTTGCACGTATCCCTGCTGTGGCGTACTTGTTCCACCAACCCATGGCCCAGGCGTCTGGGGCCCCTGACCCAGTCCAGGCGGAGGCGGCAGATGCTGACTGAGCATGTCTTCGGCACTATCCAGTGCTTCGCTGAATATCCTTCCAATCGCGTTCAGAGGTTTGCTCAAGTTGTCGCCCGTGCGCTGTAGAAGGCGTTTGGCGTCTATTGCGGGTAGAGCGAGAGGCGTTGCGGGTTCGTCGCCCGCATGTGGCGATGTTACGGGCGCTTGTTGGAGGTTAGATGTTTGGAGAGGTGTGGGTGTTATCGGTGGTGGGAGGCCAGAGATGGGTGAAGGTAAGTTCGGTTTGCGGGTTGGTGTCAGTGGTGTGGCGAGTGACGAAGATGAGGACGAAGACGCAGATATCGGAGGGGATTGGGGTCTGGAGCTGGGCAATGCCTGAATGGCGGCTTCCACGTTGCTGTGACGCTTATGAAAAGGGTATGCGTGAAGTCGACTAGTGATGTGCTTACCGTTCGAACTCTTCTTGAGTGATGTTGGAGAGCGATGTGTGATCCATTGTCTCGATGAACGATACCGCGCCCATCTGCGCAGACGATGAGTATCAAAACAATCAATGGGTGTGCAGGCGTACCAGACTGGATAGATAATATCCTGCTTCACTTTGTAGCTTCGCAGGATTTCGGAACCGGTTGATGAACTCGACGTTCGATAGCAGGTGTTCCGGATTTGCCTTGAGCACGACAAAGATGAGTATGGGGATGAATGTATCGGCGCTCTCGGCTGTCCCCAGATGTCGTATCAACCCTGCACGAGCACAAGTCAGCACGAATATGAAAGGAGATAGGAGGGGGAGGTACCGAAGATGACCTTGCAGGTATTCAAGATACAGATCAACTTGTCCCGAGGTGCCTTGTAGTGGTTAACCTTGATGAGTTCTGCATAGCGCCGTCAACATCTTTCTCTGGGCGGAGCACTGAAGGTACCACAAACCTGACTGGGCGAACATCAAGAAGCCGTTCGTCCCATTGTTCCCTTCACCGACTGGCACATCCAGATGCCTCGGCTCAATCCATCCAAACAACGCGATCCGTTGAGCGAGCACTCTGTCCCGTTCAAGATCATCGGTTGTTACGGGCCGTGGCGGGACAGCGCGTGCAACTTGTGGCGTGAAGATGCTGGGCCCTGTATCAAGCCAATGAAAACGACGAGTTTAGTGGGAAGACGCACAAGTCGTACAGCCGGTTCATCACGAGCTTCTCCATGCCCTCCATCGCGTTCTCGAACTCGGCGTCCGACGCGTTCTTCCACGGCTCGACATCGCGCATCTTGTGCGATATGAACTGCGCTTCTCCTGCGTCAGACTCGTCGCACATTGAGTGAGAAAGTAATAGCAGAGCGGTACTTACGCCGAGGAAGTCGTTGATGAGCTTGATCTGGTCCGCGACCGTGAACGTTCTCTTTGTGAAGTTATTCAAGAACCTGTAGACAACACCATTTAGGCCTTGTGCTGCATAGATCTTACAGCACGGACGTACGATCTTAGGTACTTTGCGATCGGCTCCGCACTCTTGAGCTTCATCTGATCCAAGAACCTCTGGAAGTCGAATGCGGGTGGGTCGCCTTCCCTACTAGCCCTACTCCCTGGCCTCGACCCCGATGCTTCACGCGAGATGGCTTGTACGCGTGGTTGAGCGGGACCAGTACCAGTACCAGCCAACTTGGGCGATCCGCGCGCATCCGTTTCTGGGTCATCTGTGGGCACCAGATTCGACCTCGCACGCTCAGATTGCTGTTGTTGCGCAGCGAAAGACCCAGCAGAGACGGGTGTAGGCGTCTGAATGGCAGTTGCAAAGTCCATAGACCCCGGCCGAGAGTGTGAGCGCGATCGGCCGGTGCCCGCCACGAGCGTCTTGATGTTGACGCTTGGCAAGGTGAATTGGCGTGCGATATTGGCTATTGCACCGGGGAATGGGTTCGGGTTGCGTGGCGGTTCGGAAGTCGAGGCTGGAAGAGGTTCGGAAGAGGGGCCGGCAGTAGAGGAGAATGTGTCGGGTTCGGATTTGGAGGGTACGGGCGGTGGGTGGCCTTCGGAGGATGCCCAGGCGTCGTGTGCGGCTTTGTCCTCTGCCAGCGGGTCGAATGACTGCAGGACGTCCGGATCGGCAAGTGCATGGTGCATCTCTTCCTCATTGTCCTCTATCCTAGACTTCTCTTCAAAGCTACTCGTAGGCTCTGGGGGTACGGGAGCAGGATCTGAAGCATGAACAGGGCTCGTCATAGCAGGTTCAGCCGAACGCCACGGATCCGGTTCGGCAGAGTCTATTCGCAATTCGGATACAGCCTTGGGTAACTCATCCTCTTCCTTAGCCTCCATATCCTTAACCCAGACTCGTAGATAGCCAAGAGACAAGAAAGGAAGAGATGGAGGTTTGTGGCGAGAGCACGTACCCGCCGGCATCGTGACGCGCGCAGCCATAATTGATGGTATTGATCGACATCAAGCTTGACCCGATCGGAATGACGCGCTGTGGGCTGCCTCTTGCTTCCATCAACTGAGCGAGATATGTATAGTCACCTGCCCTCTAATGCCAGCTGGACCTCCTGTGCGTCTCTTCACAGAGTACCCGCGCCGAGTATCATAACTGATGTATAATATCTTGTGTGTAGCATCGCGTGTATTGCCTCCTCCGGAGCCTGAGACCCGTACAATAAACCCTCACGTCCTGCACGACTATCCGCATAAACGACCTCGACTGTCCGAACCGACTCATACTGCGAATGCACCAATATACTCGACTAGTCAGCTTCACCCCTTGTCAACGCACCCATCTCGCGCATCTTCTCCATCAACGCTGCAGATCGACCCCGTGCTATATGACACAGCTCCAAGCACACTGCCGTCCCCGCCTCCCTCGCGTATCTCCCGGCCTTCCCCTCCTCAACCGCCTCCCTCACAACCTCCATCATCATCGTTCGACTGGGAAGACTGGATCACCCGTCGTCTAGACGGTACACCTGCTACGCCCTCGGAGTCCTACATTCAGCGTGAAGACTTGCTATGCGAATTCCCCAGCCGGGATAACCTACGTGCCGCTTTGGTCTTGGTGCAAGATGCCGTCGAAGGCGCAAAAGCGAGGAGGGCACAAGCGGAGGAAGATCTGAGAGATGCGCAGAGGAGATTGATGCAGGCTGATGGCGACCTTGTGTTGCTAGGCAGCGTGCAGGCGTGGATGGGGGACGAGCTTGCGAGACCGCCAACTCCCAAGTCTTTCATGAAGGAAGAGGACGAAGACGAAGACTTGCTGCCGTATACGCCTGTCACGCCCTCCGAACCTCCCAAGTCCGCTCCTACCTCTGCCAAGAACCCGAAATCCAAGCCCAAACGACCGCGCGCCAGCCGCTCGCATGCTGATCCGAATCGCGCACGCGTGCGCTCGACTCTTGCACCTAATGGGCCCTCGTTCATTGACGTCGGCACACCTGAGGATCTATGCGCGAAGTACAAAGCACTGCTCCTGTGGGGGAGCTACAGGAAGGTCACCGGGGAGGGCCGGTATAGGATATGGCCGCCCAGACGAGATGAGGGAGGGGAAGAGTCTGACGATCTGGTGTTCGTTACACCCGAGAACGTCTACGAGGTATGATTCCTTCTTGCCGTACCCTCGAGCCCCCCATCTGACGACGCTTCACAGGTCCCTCCGCACCTCTCCTGCCCGCACTGCCGCACCTCGAAACGCTTCCGCAAGATCCCCGGCTCCGATTTCGACCTGAAAGCTCTCCCTCGATGTCTATGGCTCACAGATAGCAATCGACCATGTTGCTTGATCTGCCATCGCAGTAGTAGTCACAAGAGCGGCGGGACGAACCTCTGCGGGGCGGACTACGATGCGGTCGTCAAGTTCAAAGATATAGCGTGAGTATGATGATAAGTTATTGACGGAGACGCGATCCAACGATGCAGATATGTTCTATTTATTGATACCTTACTCACTCGATGTATAATAGCCTGTCTCTGCCTGTCCTATCCATATGTTCCTGTAATTCCGAAGCTACTTACATATCGGTCACGAATCTCCCGATCGCATCGCGGGCGCCTGGCGGCAAAGTCGGCCTTCGAAAGTGATGCGGGAGGTGTGGCAAATTCTCACGACCGCGCTTCTTCGATTCGATAGGCGCGCGCGCGTTCGAACTTGTTGGCTTTGGCCACAATCACCTTCACCTGTCTAAACTGAGTTGTACGATACACACTGACGCGCCGCAGACCACAACGACCTGACATTTTTGCTGACTGCTGACGTCCCCTTCTCAACCGGCGCTATATCAATGCCATACACTCCTCCACCCGGTCCAGATGGATGGGACGCGCCGTCGAACTGGTACGAGATGCCACGGAAGTGTTTCGCGGCTGGCTGCCGAGGGGACGACAAGAACTACAAAGGGACGCGAGAAGACCCCAAGGATATGCTCAGATGCGCGGACTGTAAATGTTACTGTGCGTACTCATGCTCACCCGTTGCGTCGTGTCGGCGTGTCTCACTGACCGAGGACAATGCCACAGTCCATGCAACATGTCTAAAGCTCGGTTACATCGCAGACAAAATCAGGGGTCGTGAAGGATGGACGTGCGATAAGTGCAGCAAGTGCGCAGCCTGCGAGAAGGACGACAACGAGGTGCGCCGTGTTGCCCTTCTTGTGTATTCGCTCCTAACTACCGTTTGACCGCAGGCGCACTACTTTTACTGCTACTTCTGCAACCGCGCTTGGCATAGTACATGTCTGGCTCTGGAAGAGATCCCCGCGAACGACTACAAGTGCATCACATGCCAGGAAGAAGAGGCAGAGGCAGCGCAGTCTACCTCTTCTACGCGCGCACCCGCCCCTCCACACCCCAGTGTGCCCCTGGCCTCGGACCGCCATCGCGCGCCGGTCGCTGCGCCAGCAGCCGGACCAAGCCAACCCAAGCGCGCGTCTCCCAACAAGTCAGCCTCAACAGCCGCTCCTGTCGCTGGCCCCAGTCGCCTGCGCACTACGGCGACGTCGAGTTCAGGTTCTACACCCGTTCCCGCATCTTCCTCCAAGACCACACCCAGCCAGCCTACCAAACGATCTAAGCCACCTCAGCCAGTCCCACGCACGTCCTCTGCGTTGGGTTCCGCATTCGCGCCTCCCCCCACGCAAGTCAAACGAGCAAAAGAGGCGCTCAGGGTTTCGCATCCAAAGGACCTGTATCGAAAGTCTGGCTCAACGTCCACGTCCGAGTCCCCCACGCCCACTTCCCCCATTCCCACTAACACCACTTCTCGCGCGCCCCCAACCCAGGCGAGGGTGACCGCTTCCCCTCGTCGCAAGCGCAGGCGCGTCGATTCAGACGACGAGGAGAACGAGCCGCCGGCGCCGGCGTCTACTTCGAGCACAGCGCCCAGCCGTCGGCAATCAAACGCGCCGGCGCCTACTCAAAGGGCTGCTTCCACGAGCGTTTCTGCCGCCGGGCCGAATCGCACGCGCTCCAGTGCCACCATGTCGCCTTCGAGTTCGAGACGCAGACCTAAACCTGGCCACAACGCCGATGGCGCGGTTGTCTCCGAGGACGATACTATGAATGTTGATGAGCCGACGTTGGACGAGGATGGGTCTGGGCAAGATTCTCGTGAGTGTTTATGCTCTGTGCCGGAGTTGGTACACGCGCTTATGTAGCTCATTTAGCTGTGGACGACCCACCTAGTGGTACTCCGGAGCCGCGCCCTCGAGAAGAGCTGCTCAGAGAAGGCGGCTTGCGGTTTGCTAAGAAGCAAAGAGTGCACTTCACGCCTGTGCCGGGGACGTCTAGCACCACCCCGCCGAGCGACAGGGAGGGGTCCAGCTCTACCGCTCGTGGAGGGTCACGACGACGGAGTGGTACACAGGAGGATGAGGACGAGGGAGACTACAATGAAGAGGTCGATGAAGTGGAAGATATACCACTCACTCCTTCCGCTCTCGACTGGGCCGTTCAATCATCCCGCATACTCGATGCGCCGCCCGGTGCTGATATCGAAGCCATGACGCTCGAGCTCTACGAGAAACACTCGCTTGATCCACAATGGCACGGGATGATGGCGGCCACAAGGCACGAGATGTATGAGCAGTTTGAACGGGCGCGGAAGCGGTGGGAAAATCTCGACAGATCTTATCGAACATGGGCCAAGGCGACGGAGAGGTCTCGGAGGGAGGACGAGCGGGAACAGGAACGCGAACGGGTGGAACGGGAGCGCGCGCGAGCAAGAGAGAGTGGGAGACGACGGGGTCCGCCCACTGGGACATCACAGCGCCCAAGTCAGCCGGCGCCGCCTGGCGCTTCTGGCCAACAACGACGTCAACCGCAGCCCTCGGCTAAGGCGATGGGAAAGCGACGCGACCCTGGGCCTTCCAAGTGAACAATCGTGTATCTCTTTTTGCGTCTTCTTTTGGGTTGTAGTACTTCTTGTGTGTCGGCTGTTTCGCATTGTCTTGTTTTGCTATGTTATGCTAGATGTATTCCTCTCCAATCATTATCGAGGTCGTGCAACGTTGCAGCGTGAAGTGCGCGGGCGCTTATGGCCCATCGGCCATCTTTGCGAATATGACGTAGGTACAGGCGCTCCGTTCACCCTGTACAACTTGCTTCTCGTCTCGCCGTTCATTTGTGCAAAGTTAGTATGAATAGCAGTAGGAGTTTACATAGTATAGATTTGCTCTAGGCTCCGACCGCACTATCCTTCACACATCCCTGGCCCACATGGCAGAGTTCGTGTTAGACATCATGCAGCGAGACCACTGGTCTGGAAGACAATCTGAGGAGGTGGTCAGTAAAGACTACAACCTCCATAGCACCGGATACTCACACAATCGATCGCCCCCTGGATCCATTTTGCCAGCCTATGGGCATACCTGATGAATTCATCCATACCGGCTTCCGACCCACAAGACGGACATTCCTTTGACGCAACGATCGCGGGGGAGAGGTGCCTTCCCTCCAATGCTAGCTCCCCGCTTATCCTATCGCTGATGAGGACATGGTCCCGCACAGACCCCATGTATTTCCCCAACCACTCCGGGATCCTGCACTCGTGATGCTCAAAGTCAGGGTCATCGGGCGGGCCATACAGCTCATCCATTTCCACGCTATGCCAGTAAACATCGCATTTACATTCCCTATGGAACTCTTCAGCACAACCTGGGTTCCTGCTCCGCGCTCCAGGTGTCTCCGACGGCATACTCCCCATCGCGGCAACCTCGCATGCGCCTGAAGCTGCCGCGCGGCAAGCGATCTGGTACTTCCCAAGCGCATGGTACTGCAACGAGCTGATCTCAGCGATGACATTGTCAGGCAGATTGTCTAGCCGTCTCGTCTTCCTGAGTGTATTCTTCGCAGCGACTTTCATAGCTTCCGAGAGTGCGGCATAGCGACAGGAGATGGCGTAGACGTACTCGGGCTCCTTTTCGGCGGCGAGCATCAGAGCGTCGGATACGGCGAGCGGGAAGTTCTTCACGCAGTATTTGTTGAGAGCCTTGCATACTCCGGTCATGAGGCTGAGATGGTTGCTTAATGCTGGACAGCCGAATTCGGCGGGGTAGAGTGAGCGGAGGAAGAGTTCCAGAACGGCCGACGTTTCTGGGAGCGGGATGACGAGTACACCATTCTGTTGTTCTTCGACGCCGCCTATCCCGTTCATGTGCCCCGCATTCTGTGCGCATGTAAGCAAATCGCGCGGTGTGCATTCTGCAGAAATATTGGTTCACCAGGAGGTCATCGAGCCCGTGCAATGTCCGCGTCAGATAGCTCTTATACGTCCGAAAGTCCACGCCGTCTATCGTGCGCAACACGATATCGGCGTCCGGCGCATTGAAGGGAGCGCCTGATTCCCGCGTCATAGACACTTCTGGTGCAGGATCTGACATGGAGGAAGAACGCTCGGATATGGTCCCCACGGGCGTGGTCGTGGTCAAAGCCGAAGGAAACGACTGGGGACGACGCGTAGCAGAACTCGACGCGTATGGTCACTCCCTGTCACTATCTGTCACGTCGAAATCAACAAGCATCAAACTACAGGCATTGGGCCCTCCTTTGAACACTTTCGCGATCGAGGGCTCTAGAGAGTCTCGAGATGACTTTTTCTACCGGATTTTT